AGAGACCCGGCTGTGGAACCGCTGGTGTGGTGCCAAACTGGGATGACAAGGGGAGAGGCCCAAAAAGGCACCGCCAGCACTTGCGAGCACTCTCGAAGCGCAGAAGCGTGCTTCTCCACTCGATGCGCCCCTGACTAGGTCTTTAGCGCAGCAGCGTTTCCGCCAACGCAAGTGCAGGGAGGGCCTTGCCAGCGTCTCGCGGCCCATTGGCGACCGGTACCTATCACTCTGGATGGGGGCTTGTCGACCAATCCTCTTTGCAAGTCGACCAATTCTCGGTCGTATCGACCAGGCGTCCTTGCCCGTCGCTTGCCCGTCCGTCCACTTGCTTTGATTTTGCCCTCGCTGTTTGCTTCTTCGTTTCCCGCAATCTCGACCAATCTTTTCCAGGCTTTGGGCAAGTCTTTGCCCTGTCTTTGCCCCATGTTTCTCGCGGTGAGTCTTTAGAAACAAGCACTCCTCCATCGCAATCTCTGTCAGGATAAAACACCCCAGTTTAGTTGATACGGGGAAACGTGGTCACTGTAGTATTTTGTCCATACTGTAGTACAGTGTGTACTTGTCCTCGAAAGGAGTAATACTCTGTGCTACTACCTGGTACCCCGTAGCATTAGTCGTAGCAACAGTAGACATTCTTGGAAACGGAGTAGTATTACCATTCGCAGGTGTATCAAAGGAGAAACTGCATTTTCCTGTATTTTCTCCGAGCGTCCCACATTCCACAATTCGACGCCCCCTATGTGTAATTGCACGCCGATACAAGTTTCCATATTGGGCCGCAGTAACAATACGGAGTTGCACTTTGCAAATTGCTATCAATAGCAACCAGTACAAGCATACGCTCGTATGCCTGCAGTATCGGAGTCCAGGTAACATGTCATATTGTACTCCATATCGCCTACTGCCGTCCAAAAGTCAACAGGCCACCGGAAATGACCAACGAGGTGGCAAGCCTGAATCTCTCTTCTTCTAGACTCATTGGCGAGATTCGGAGTCCCGCCATATCGGTGATCCGAAATTAGGAATCATGCAGAGCCTTGCTCTCACAGCTCAGCGGCAGGCAGTCTTACATAATCCGGCTCACCAATGAATGCAGCTGGATTTGTGCTTTGCATGCGGTGAATGCATACATGGCTACGGACCGTATGATACAGTACGTAGACTAATACTTGGTAGACAGACCAGAGATGGAAGACATGTAGATCGATAACGAGGATCTAAGCGCCCATGGTCTCAGCGGCTCAGCGAGGCGCCATTGCTGCGTGTCTTACCGAGGGCGTCATAGTTGAGCTTGCTGCCGTTCATTGGACTAGTGCCATTACCATTTCTCAATCTTCAGGTAGGGAGAATGATCATGTAGGGAGAATGACGATGTCTAACATAATAGCGCTGCGATGCTGCGATGTGGCGTCCGTGCTCCGCTCAAAACGGTCGTGACTTGAGCGTCTCTCTTGCGTACGAGTGAAATATGTACCCGGGAGTTGAAAGAGAAAAACACAAGCTGCGTTGCTGCCTCTTCTCGCCGCCGTTTGCGTATCTGAATGTCACTGTATTCCGGTGAGAGTAGAGTAGCGGCAGTTGTTGTCGTCCACTGAGAAATGCAGCTGCGGCAAAGACACACCAAGCTCCAGTCTCCATGCTGCATACCTTCCTCACCACCATCACTTGTTGCTATTCTTGAGCATGATCGCTCCCCACCACATCCAGTTCAGTTCGGGCTGGCGGGGAATCGTGACGTCGCAAGCGCTCTCTCGCTGCCGCTGCTGCGTCCATACTCATACACACACGAGTGCTGGGCTGTACCAATACGACACAGCTTGGATGTGCAGTTGCGCGTTGCATCACCGGCAAACGCAGCGGATGGGGACAGGCCGCCAAGGCGCAAAGATTGCTCTCAGCGTGTACCGCGCGAAATGGTTGGCTGAGATGCGTCCGTGGGCCGTGGCTGTTTGTGCGCTGGAGCCCGTCCGGCGTGCCTCTTTGGCCAGTCGGGCCGCCGTGGCCACTCAAATTGGCAGGGGCCGCAGCTGCTGATGGGCTGTGCTGATCTGTTTGGCATTGAGCAAGGGTGGGGGAGGCAAGTCAAGGAGGGATGATGCCGGCTGGGAGAGAAGACGATGACGCCGGTGATGGTGGATGAAGATGAAGATGGAAGAGCGAAGAAGGAGCAGGCGCAGTTGGTCTCGTAGAGGTACTTTGTGCTGTCTCTGATGCCCTGAACAGCGCGAGACAGCGTCGCCAGTGAATGCCCTCAGGAGGCTTCAATGCAGTTACAGCGATTGGACACAGAGTGCGTAGCGCTGGAATGTTGGCAGATCCAAGCACCTAAAATAAAGCCAATCTACCTCGCACAGCCGCACCAAGCACAAAGGCACGAACCGCTCCTCTGTGATACTCTCTCATCTCCCTGCGGTTCCGAGCAGCGATCGCGCATCGCCTCTGCCCTTTCGGCACGATCGCCACGATCCAACCAATTTTTTTTCCCGCCCTCCAAGGCTTGCTTTTCCACGCTCACGGCTGCAAGTGGGACGCCGATCTCGAATTTTTCATGCCTGCCAAGTCGCACAATCCGCACCAAGACGGGGAGCGACTGGGCCTTGGGCTTGGCTTCACCAGATGCGAATATTCGTGCTGTGCGTCTCGAGTGGACCTCATGGATCTCTGGCATCATAGAAGAGGCTCTGCCTGTGAGCCATTTAGTGATTTGCCTACTAGCTAGTTGAGCCTTGCCAAAACCTGTTATTCTCGGCAGTTGATGGAGTAGTCTTGCGTAGTTGAGCCCTCTCTTTTGCCTATTGTGTCGTTTGATTATCGGTGTGTGCTCCGAGGCCCTTTTTCCATTTCCATTTTGCATCTTCCCGCGTGGTCTGAATACGAGGTACAGCTCCATACTGCACTGCAGCCACCAACGCTCCATGCAGCTGTGCCATCCAGTCATATCCGCTACAGCTGCCATCCTCTGCTGCTGTGTAGCCGAATAAGATGAGATACTGCAGCTTGTTGTTGCGCACGTGTGAGCAAATGCCGGATGCCTCAACTTCCACCGCAGCCTTCGATCCATGCAGGGTAGTTCCCAGAAGCAGGAACCTCGGAGTTTGTAGGTACGGAGCACAAAGACACAAGATCCACTGGCCAAGGCCCGCCATTCCGCATCCCGTATTCATCGTCAGGAGAACAAGCTTAGCTGCATCCTAGGCTACCGCCAGCACGGCGGCCTCTGCCAGCGGGTCGCTGCTGTGTGGAAAGCCGGAGACTTAATGTGTAAATATAGCATCAATGCCTCGTATACGCAGTGTGCTGGCCAAGTCTATCACAACTCATACGAGGAGGAGTCCTGATATTGCCTGCAAAGGATCAGCATGCGGAAACCATCGTATTAAGCTTATACAGCCCTTACGCTGCCGTCATGCATTGTAAAATCCACCCTTCAAGTGAACGCCAGCTTATTTGGGAGTTGTCTTGCCAATTTCCATCAAGATCACTGCCTCGTTCTAGCAATACGCCGTGTGTGAAACGATGCTCGTAGCCCACATGCTCGGCATTCTCGGGCAGCCACCTTCTCCAGTCATTATGCCCCATCTTCTGCCATACCCAACATCATGGTGATGCCTCTTTCTCGGAAGTGGCCCGACCGCCAGGCCGTCCCTTTGTGTAGAAAGGTGGCGAACGGGGCGATGAAGCCACCGACTTTGTTGTCTTGAGTCCCCACAGTCAAATGAGGTTACTGGCAGCATCAGTCATTTCAATGAACTCAGCCATGTGCGTATAGGATCATCCTTCTTTCAAGATGGTGCCCGTACAGTATGTAGAGTACAAGGGACGAAAGGAGCTAAACCAGCAGTCTAGCTGCAAGAATCTTTACTGTTCAATGACGAACTGAGTTGCTCATTTCTCCTCATTCCCTGTCTTTGGGTTGGAATTGTTGGCTCGGCGGTGAACACTATCGCTGATGGATACTCGGTCAATCTGTCGTTGGGGCTAAACTCTGCCAACGGGCGTGGCCTATCATCATTTGCAGCCAACACGTCAGTTGAGACATGATTATTGTAATCACTTCCATGATCCATTCGGCCAATGGGAACTTCAGATACCTCAAATTCCTGTGGTCAGGCCAGTGGTCCGCCAGATGCCCCGTGCCTCTTGGGCAATTTGGTGATGGCGAGCACAGGCGCTGATTGATGCCTGAGCTAGATATCGCACTCATCCTTAGCCCAACTTGTTCTTATATGCACTCGTTACTCACGGGAATGCTGCAGTGATTGGATTCCAGAGCGAACAAAGAAGTCCCGTATAACGCAACGTTGTTTATCTTGTGTCACTTTTTTATGCTCAAAGGACAGCGATATTCCATATGGATGATTGCGCAGTACTCCTATCTATTGCTAGAAAGCCAGACTGGATAGTTCATTCCCCTTTCCATACCATACACGACAATACCTTGGAGTGCGGTTGGACGGCCTCGAGTCGTCTCTCTTTGCCTTACCGGTATAATTTTGAGATTGAACGACCTAGAATGCTCCATATATTGGTTAGTATGATGTAGAGACGGAGAGAAATAGAACACAAACTTGATTTAACCCAAAATGCTTTGAATATCTGCTTGATGACATTGCTACCGGTCGTATACTGCATTTTTCATGCGTCTAGCATGGGACGCTCTAACTCAAATGAAGCAGCGACAATTATATCGAGCTCTAACTATCGTAAAGAAAGACAAGTTCCATCCTTATGCGTGATCTAGATCTCATATCTCATCCTCACAGCCGTGCCCATACCAGGGAGCGAAATTACCAGTCTCAACGGATAGCATCTCTGAAGTGGAGTGATTTCTTTTTGTTTTCTTCTCTTCTCTTGTTTTCCCTTTTCCCTGGTCCATCTTTTTGGAGAAATTTGGTGGCGATAGAAGCACAACTGAACTGTGCATATGCGAGCTTATCCTGGGTTTATAGAATCCACACGTTCTTCCAGCGAATATCTGTCGGGTCGCTGGATATCACGGCCTAATCTTTTGTTGTTATTGCAATGGCAATTTTTCGGCTAGTGGCCTCCAACTGATCGCTTTCTATAGGGTCGAGCTTAAGATTATCCACGACGCGGATTTCGAGACACTCCACCTCGACCGTCTCTGCCTTCTTAGCAAACAAAAAATCTTTCGTCTTATATGCATCCATTGGAGATCCGTCAGTCGGAACAACCTTTGGGATGGCGATTCGTAGGGGAGGCCTTTTGAAACCGTGCGGCCAGTCTGGCTGCTTGGGTACTTCGAGGTGAAAGAGTGCGACCTCGGCTGGAATATCGCAAGGCGGATCCAAACGACAGCCCAAAAATGGCTCGCCGAATTTACTTCGCTTCAATGTCCGCACAACTACCCCCTGAGATTTGACCCATTTGGCAATACGTTTGACATGTGTATTGTCATTTTCGCCGCCGCGCGCTCGAAGTTGAGAGGCTATTTCTAGGGCGTCTACCCATCGCTGAGCATCTTCAGGCCCGGAGGGAAGCTTTGCCTTTGCCTTATTCGACAGTTTATTGATATACGGCATTAAGCCCTTGGCAGCTGTTTCGACGTAAAGTTCCGAAATTAAGGGGGCGACCTCTTGTGCGATTCCCTCTTTATCTCGGATAACACTCAGCCTAGTCCGAATTTCATCTGCAGCATTTTGTACCTTATTTTCGGCCGTTCCAATAACACCTTGAACCTCTACCGCAATCTTTCGGATGTGAGAGGGAGTTTGAGGCGGTTTCGGTATCTTGAAATAACCCTGGGCAACTGACAGATCAATCTCAACCAAGGTTCCAATATCGGGCATGGCGTTTTGGACGGTTCTCATGTTGACAGCCATTAAGTAAGCTGTAGGAAGACCTGTAGCGTCTGTTCCATATTCCTCCTTGTCGTTCTCTTTTGCAATCCATTCCGAGTCAGGTAAGGGAGTCAGAAGGGATCGAAATGGATGGTTTGGTGTGTTGTCTGCTTGATGGTACTCCCCCGCGACTCTGCCATAGGGACTCTCTTTGTGCTCATCGCCAAAGATTATTCGCCAATCCCGTCTCCATTCTTGGTAGAAAGGGAATGTGATCCAGAATCTTATCGGGCTCTCTGGGCTCTCAGGCGAGAGCATGGATTTGATGCGGTTAGCGATGGTCCGCGTGGCCATTGATTGGCGGTGGATTTGCCTCCAAAACGACGATGGATACTCCACGATAACTTCGCCAGCTTTTGCTTCAGAGTAGATCCAAACTATCTGGTCGATTTGGGGGCAGACGAAAGTGCTAGGGCGCGAAGGGGCACTATCATGTTGAGGATCAGGTAATCCCAACCTCATGAGATCAAAATCCAAGCCATGTGTAGGATCCATAACAGTAGTCGAACTAATATATGTAGATGGTATGGTAAAAAAGGCCTTCATTGCAGTCGTATTTGATACTTCAAGAACATGGGCCAACAACGGAGATTGGTTTTTGCTGACTGGCACAGCAATAATCGCAAAAGGATTCCATGTCTCGCCACACTTGAGTCGCAGCCTCATGAGAAGCAAAGGCACGGCAAGAGTTCCAGGCCGAGCTAGAATTTCCACTCGAAGTCCAGGAGAGTCGTTTGTTGCCATAGAGCGAATGTAACCGAAGTCGAAGCCCGGTAAAAGACTGCCGTCAACATGAAGTATAATTTGAAGCCATTCAGAATCGGCTTGAGAATGACTTGGCTCATTGTTGCTGCCATGCTGAAATTCCTCACTGGCAACCGCTGTCTCCGCGGCGAGAGAATCGGACTCCATGGCTGCGATGGAACCAACGATCAATAAAATGTGGTATCTCACGCGAGAGAGTAGTGACAGTCGACAGATTTTCTCACAGAGGAAAGAAGGACAGAAGAAGAAGAGGTTCTGCAGTTTAAGGCGCTGTGCTTGTGGTGTTGCAAATAAATTTGTGCGCGGCTGTCACCTGATTGCAGTGTTTGAGGTGTGGAAGGAGCACTGCGTGCTGTGACAGCCCGAAGGCGGCAGCCAGCTGGCGACCGGAAGACGTCAGTGGACTGATTTGATGAAGATAGGTAGGGGCTTCTCCTCCGCTGTTAATCAGGTAGCAATTGGCCAATGGGTATTGCTCGAACAAAATCTGCACAAGATGGCTATAAATGTATCAGAAACGCTGATATTATGACAAGTTGGCAGTCGTGTGTGAATGAAAAGTAGAGCAACAGGCTGAGAGTTTGGATTGGAAATCTATCTAGGTAGCTCTAAATAATTGACTTTAATCCAGCATATGGTGCTGGATGGACAACAATTCGGGCTATCATGCCACAGCATCCACAAGATTCCCCTGTGAAACAACTTCTTACAAGATGTCGAGTACAGATAATACACCTTACGAGTAGTGGTCTATGGCTCGGTGAGAGCAATGTCGCGAAATGCATGCTCAAGAGGCTCGCCACATCTGAGTTTCTCTTTCATTGAGTCAATAGACTAATACGGGACGGGTATATAGACAGAAACGGGGTTAATCCAGATTGGTTGCTGAGTTAGTACGTCTATAGATGGAATAGTCTAATGGTGGATCATAATGTCGTGCATCGGCATAGTGGCATTGATGACATATTGATACTAGGAGCTGATTGCTTGCTCTGAGTTACATTTATATCTATTCCAAGAAACCACATGGGATCTTCTAGCTATGGAACCGCAGTATGACGCAGGTTGAGAGACGAAGCAGTAAAAATCCAAGCAGCGGATCCAAAATCGAAAGTAGCAAAATCCGACATGGTGTATACAATGACGTTCGCATATGTTCAAGATCGCCGGGCTGACAATAGCCTACCGGCAAATTTGGGTGTAAGAGTCTAAAACTGCACATGATACATGTCACCAACAGATATGTGCCAACAAAACAAAAATTGCTCAATGAAAAGCGGCAATGTAACCAGAAAACTCCAGTCTATCAGATAACGCAAGAAGATTGACTATTATACAACCCTTAGCGGGGATGCCGGTGGTCTGCCGATTCTATACTCTACTCCAGGCAATCAAGAGATGTATACCGGCGCCTTGTGTCTAAGGCCCTCTTCATCAACCCGATTAAACAATCGAACAAGAAACCAAATCTCTCAAAGGTCTCGGCCGAAATGGAAACTGTTCCCTTTCTATATGTAACAGGAAAAACTCCCAGCAACCCAAGGAAAGCCCAGCTCTTCTGGGCAATACCGTATATAGCTGCCCCCTCTTCGAAATCTCGGTCCATTTTCACTCGCCCTTCCAAAACCCCATTTTTTGTCATCAAATCATAAAATATTAAATTTATTTGGCAATCTCAACACCGCCAACGGCGCCGAGAGCCTTCTTCAGGTCACCGTAGATGGCGAACTGACCAGCGGTCAGGGTTCCGACCATGAACAGACGGGCACCAATACCGGTGTAAGAGCCACGGAGGCCGAGCTCCTTGCCGATCTTGATCAGACGGGAGGTGGTTCCCTCACCGGGAAGGCCCTTGGTCTTGTTGATCTTGGAAAGCATGGTGTCGGCAGGCTGGGAAACGATGGCAGCGGCGAAACCAGCAATGAGACCAGAGCCCAGGTTGGCAGTGGTCTGCATGCCGCCGGACATTTCCTCCTTGGGGAAGGCACGGAAGACGGCCTCAGAGACCTTCTCGAAAACGACGAACTTGGCCATGGTGTAAGGGATCCTGGAGATGGTGTAAGCACAGTTCTCTGACATTAAGACATTAATATGGCTGGGGAAAAAAAGACTTACTGCTTGAACAGGATGGGTCCGAAACCGGCGTAGAAAGCACCGATACCCTCGTTCTTCAGCATCTTGGAGAAACCACCGACGAGACCGTTGGCATAGGTGGGCTCGGAGACGAGACGGATACGGGTAGCCTCAAGAGGGCAGAGGGCAATGTCGGCGAAGAACTCGGCGGCGGCAGAGGAGGCCAGGTAGATGGCAGTGCGGTTGTTGGAGGCAGTCTCAAGGCCGAGCTGGTTGATGAACTGGGCCTTGAAGAACTCGTAACCGCCGAACTTGAAAGCACCCTGCAGGAAGTAACCGGCAAAGGTAGGGCCAGCACCAGTCAGGAGAGCGCCAGCACCCTCATTCTGAATAACCTGGCGGAAACCACCGATGAGACCACGGTTGTAGGTAGCGGGGTCGAGCTGGATACGGGTCTTGACGCTGTGTTGCAGAAAGAAAACGTGTCAGTCAGCCATGAACGGTTCGTCTTCACATGTAAGAGAATGGCGGTAACGAAGCCATCACCGCCAGCCAGCCAAGGGCCAGGGCGAATCCGTGCTTCCACCATCCGCCATCCATAAATAACAACTCGGAACGTGTCAAACATACACATCGACGGGAGTCAGACCACCGTGGGTGACGGAGCAGCAGACGGCACCAGCGAGGGCGAAACGAGAGTAGAGAGAGAATCCCTCGAGCTTCTTGGGCTCGGAGACCTGAACTTGAGCAGCAGCCATTGTGACGGAAGGAATCGAAGCAGCGAACAAACACTGAGTGGGGAGAAAAAGAGAAAGTCTAGGGAGGGTCGACAGATCCGACGTGGAGAGGTTTGAGGTTTTGTCTGGGGAGAGTGGTGAGAAGCAAGCGGCTTTTGACTGAGGTCTTTTTTCGCTGTTGTTCCCTTGTTGCCGGGCGCTAGTCTAGGGGCAAGAAAAAAAAAATTGATGCCAGGGTGGGTTCGGGAACACTCGGGTAATTCGATTGGACGGATCAAAGGGCGGGCACAAGCCATGATGAAGTGGCTGCTTCAGCCACAGGTCCCAGGGCGGTGTCGAAATCGGCCTTTCCGAGATACCGAGATAGGCGTCGCGATGAGGCTGAGGAGAGTTTTCAGTTTTTCTTATCAACAATTTCTGATCGGCCTGTCCTGTGCGCCGCTGATTCTGTACTCATCTCACCCATCCGGCATCTTGTAGTGTCTACAGCCTCTGATGGGAGTCCTCAACCAGCCACCTTTCTAGCAGATTCCTCTCGTCGCGCAATGGCGCATCTACAGTTGATAGATGTCTCCTGTGGCTGGTGTCGGGGTCTCCCGAGGCTCTCGGAGCCATTCATCTTCCTAGCCTTGCCAACGTGGGGGCTTTGATCGGCCCCGCTAACCGCAGCATGAGGGCATAAGCATAGATGTGCAGATAGCCGATTTCGATGCATTTAGTAGTGAAGTGCGATGCAGACCAAGTGAAAGCGCCCAGTTCGGCCACACCGGGTTTTGCCAGTTGGCCATTTTCTGAAAGCCAAAACATGTAGTTCAAATGCATCATTTTTCCTGTACTTTATTTCGCCTTTTTGGAGTCCGTGTTGCCATTTACAGTATGAAATTTTACAATATATTTCATCTTGTCTACATGCACAATGGCGGAGACAGGGCAATATTACTGCTTCCGTTGCTCCATGCCTAGAGCTCTATCTGACGTTCGGGCATTCTCGCAAATGACGTTGCATTTATTTCCATGGCTTAGTTACATATTTGCTGAGAGAGAGGTTATAATTCCCCGGATCTTTTTTTTTCAGACTTGTGGAGAAGCAAGTGGCATTTGTATTTCCCCATATCAAGTGGTGAACAGCACTATGCCACTAGGTCTGAAAGATGCTGGTCATTCCTTTTTCAATTACAGACAACATTCTTTTCTATCCTACCGCAAGTAATAATTGGGCACAAGATTAGCTCGTTTTTTTTTCTTTTACATATTTTTTTTTTAAATTATTACTTTTTTGCTCGCTTGTTTATGATTCATCTCCATTTTAGCACGTCGTCTGCCGCACAAGTTCCCGGCTACCCTGCATATGACGCCGCGCTGTTTTTAGATCTCTTCGTTTGTACTATCAACCGACCCGAGTCTTTAATCCAACGCGCCTCATTGGCTGCTGCACGTATGACGCAGTCACGTGGCCTCAATCGGTGAGTCGCAACCAATCAATGCTCTGCCAATTGGGAGACATTTTTGTATGTATTCTTGTTCTGCTTGAGGTTGGGCTCAAGATATATGAATAATGACCCAGTCAAGGTCTGCTAAGTAGCCGTAATTGAGATAGTTTAATAAAATCAAGAAGCCAAATATCCTTCAACGCTCCCAAGATGAGATATCGCGGCCTTTGTCGGAAAGCCCCGGCCCAAAGCGATTATCAAACGGTTTGCTAAGACTTTGCTCCTTATCAGCACCGGCGTTGGGTCGATCATGCTTTCCATCAACCACGCGGCTGGCCAATGAGCTGGGAGTGAAATCAATTGGATTTATGGTGCGCCCATCGACGCCTTGATCCATCCCTTTCATGTTCCTACATCGGCGCCGTCTTCACAATGTACCGCCGTGCAGCGACAAGGCAGCTTAGGCAGTCGGGAAATGCTGCCTTACGGGCATCATGGGCTTCATCAGGCGTGTCTACACGGCAACTCGGTGTGGCTGCCAACTACACGTCTAAACATTCCTTGACACCATTTGCATCAAAGTATCGAGGCTTCAGCAGCACGGGTTCAGTGCGGAACAACTTCGACGATGACCAGGGAACCTACAGCGAGTCTGATCACGAACATGCCGTCATCTCAACCTTTGATCTCTTCTCCATTGGCATTGGCCCTTCATCGTCTCATACGGTTGGGCCAATGAGAGCAGGCAATATCTTCGTCGCAGACCTTCTGGCGGCCGGCTTGCTCCCCAAAGTCGACAGAATACGCGTGGCCCTCTATGGCAGTCTTGCACTCACAGGCGAGGGCCACATGACGCCATCTGCGCTTCTGCTTGGCCTTGAAAGCGCCGACATTGAGACTGTCGATACGGCCTACGTGCCTGAACGCTTTGAGCAGATCAAAAAGGACAAGAAGCTCTTCCTGGGCCACCAACTTCCAGATGGCAAGGGCAAGGAAATCACGTTTGACTTTGACCGGGACTTCAAGTGGGAGTGGGGTAAGAAGCTGCCGCTGCACAGCAACGGCATGCGCCTCATGGTGTTTGACAAAGAGGGATACATGTTGGCAACCAACGACTTATTCAGCGTGGGCGGCGGATTTGTTGTCAACGGCGCCATGTCAATCAACAAAGCAGATTCGGATTCTTCATCTGCGACAGATGCCGGCTTGGGGCTATCAACGGAAGCCCAGGGCGCGCATCCATCTGATCTTGCGGAGAATATGTATTACAAGGAGATTCGGCGAGAAGATGCAGCAGGAGATCGACGCACCGGGCAGGAGATCAAGCCGGTTGGAGACGCTGCTGGCCTGATTACATCTGGTGCTGATGGCGGAGATGCTCCTCCCCTAGCGAAATCCTCCACCGATGATGCTTCTTCATCTGGCGACGCGCATGGTCATCAGCCTCGATACCCGTTTAGAGACGCGAAGAGCTTGTTGGCCCTGTGTGATAAGCACAACCTGACCATCGCGCAAATCGTGTATGAGAATGAGAAAAGCCACGGTTACACAGACGATGAAATCCGGGACAAGCTGTTCCGAATCTGGGAGGTAATGGACAACAGCATCTTGGAAGGAGTCCAAGCACCTCCGGATTCAACACTGCCGGGCAGTCTCAAGCTGCACAGGCGAGCACCTTCGTTATATAGACGACTCACAAGAGGTCTATATCCGTCGTACACTACCTCAGCGAGCAATGCCGCAGAGCCCGCTCAGGCCCAGTTGCCGCTTGACAACAAAGAACCGCCGTCAGGTTCACAAACACCTGGATCCTTAACTACGGCGCCGGCCTCGTCATCTTCTTCATCTGGCCGCAAGGACATGGCTATCAGGCGAGCGGCAGCTCTACGCACCCACGGCTCCTTTTCTCACCCAGTACTGCCATCACCTCGACGACGCACAACATTCCCTGCTAGTAAGCAAATTTGACATCATGATTAACTTGAATCAATAGCAAAAACTAACTTGGGCCTCCTTAGTGGACTATCTTACGGTGTATGCCATGGCTGTCAATGAGACCAATGCAGCCGGCGGACGCATCGTTACAGCCCCGACAAACGGCGCAGCTGGTATCATCCCCGCAGTGCTCAAGTATACCGTCGAATTCGTCAGCGACGACCCTGAGCGAGACATTTTGTCTTTCCTCTTGACAGCTGCTGCGATCGGTATGCTGTACAAGCGTGGTGCCACCATCTCAGCTGCCGAGGGTGGTTGTATGGCCGAAGTAGGCGTTGCCTGCTCCATGGCCGCCGGAGCATTCGCAGCATGCATGGGCGCCAGTCCTCAAACTATTGAGCAGGCTGCCGAGATTGGCATCGAGCATAATCTGGGCTTGACGTGCGACCCCATCGGTGGCTTGGTGCAAGCGCCATGCATCGAGCGTAATGCTTTGGGTGCCATCAAGGCCATTTCGAGCGCCAACCTGGCTCTGAGCGGCGAGACTGGCACGCAAAAGGTCAGCCTTGATGATGCCATTCGGGCCATGCGCGTTACTGCGCAGGGCATGAGGAACGAGTTTAAAGAGACGAGCTTGAGTGGTTTGGCTACAAGCGTGCCGCTTCATATTCCTGTCAGCGTGCCAGACTGCTAGGTTCGATGGATGTTTTGTACTTGATAGCGCAATAAAATAGAGAGAGGCAGGCAAATAGCTACGTTGGGTGCTAAGATACTTATTCATTATGGCTAGCCACAGATTCCGTCAGAACGGCCTTTTTTAGTTTCTCAAAGTGACATGTTTGTGTTACCATCAGTCAAGGTGTGTCTCTACATATTTGCGCCTCAGGTGGGTGGTACCTGTAAATAAGGTGTTGTAGTACCAGATGCGTATAAAATACCGCCAACGCATATATCATCGTAATTGGCGCAATCGGATTTGGATCTACAAATCTAAATAACGTTTGATATAAAACCATTTTCGTTGTATTTAATCAACGATTGTTCTCAAAATTGCTCGTGCATAGGTCCCTCAGCGATATACACGGAATCTTGTCTCTCCAAATAGGAAAACTCATGATATTTACAACTGCGTCCGCACAGCCACAGCACACCGGCCGCGGTAACTGGCCAACAAACCGAACAGCACTCCTCCTACGCCTCTCGTCGAGCCTATTGGAGCTCAGTTGGTAGGCCTCCCGCAGAATCTGATGATGTTTTAGGCGCCGAGTGACGCACATAAGGCAGCGGGCGCCTAGTGAGGGGCTCCTCGTTATACGTACCTAGGTAGGTACTAGATATTGACGCGAGGCTTTCTCTTTTTTTTTTTTTTTTTTTTTTTTTTTGACTCGGTGCTTCCTTTTGGCTTTACAATTTGACAACTTTTCTTTGCAGCTCTTTTCTGACATCTCGATGCAAAATGGTTAAGCTCATCATCGACGGCTCCAGCCTGAGCTCAAAAGAGCTGGAATATGTATTTCATCATGTATTCTTACCCCCTCAGCTGCCAAACGGGGACGATGCATCTCCCACAACCGAATTATGCCTCATTGAGCTGGTCAGAGACTGCTTGATCGAGTTTCTACCAGAGGTTGATCTGAGCTACCATGAAGCTATCAAGAGTGCGGCGGCTTTGATGAAAAACATTCATACCTCCTCAAGTTTGGACGGATATCTACAGGAAGATGGAGTGAGAGCCGTGCTGAAACAGATAGGACCTCATAGTATGTTCTTGCAGCGCTATATGCTTATGCTTTGCATGCCGCTGACTTTATTCTTTCAACAGACTTCTCAGAATCTTTTGCGTCTTTCCATATTACAGCTCAGAATGCGGGCGTCATGCTTCGCTTGGACAATGATCTTGTCATATTCGAAATGTTCGAACTCTGTCCAACCAATGGGTCTGTCTACTCGACCGCAGGACGCCTGATCCGTCAATTTCCCGCCATCGCGGTCGGTATCCCTATCCACATCTATGCGGATGATGGTTTCCAAGATGTCTTGATCAAGACGCTCGTGAAGATGAGCTACCAAGCGGTCGGCGAAGCGATCCCAAAGACCAAAAAAGCCAAGCAATTACACAATGAGGAGCGAGATACAGTCGACCCAAAGATAGTTACAGAGCTGTTGTATGGCTACCTACGGGGCATGGGCAGCGAGGCCCACGTCAGTGGAATCACAAAACATACTCGGGAGGAAGTGTTGTGGAAGCAAAGTAAGCTTCCGTGGAGGCGATCTGCCGTATGGCTTCTCATTCGAGTTTCTCTTCAGCTCACTCTGGATCGTACTGCTGTCGGCTCTGGAGAGCTCTACAAATCCTTCATCGTTTTCTTCTTGTCTCGTGTCCTTACCGCTGCGACCGATAAGAAGATGGATAGCGAAATCCTCATGACAATGTCAGCCAAGATTTCCCGGCGCCTTCTGAAATTGCGGCACTCTGCACATGGGAGGTGGTTGGCAGATGTACATGAAGCCGTGTCTACTGCGACGAAATTTGTGAATATTCGATGGCACCGAATTCGCAATGAAACCGAGTCGCAACTTGATCTAACAAGACTACAATCTCTTAACATGGCTGGCGATACGAGGATAAATATTCCGGGACTGACAGATTTTATCTCGTCCATCTCTAGACGCCAGAATGCAAGCAAAGTATCATCATTCTGTCCGAAATCGGGTATTATAGTCTTTATACCGGAGAATCTTCCCAGCACCCCGGACGAGTACTATGAAAACGATACTCCTTATCATCTTGCCATGGTAGAATCGTGGGTCGCCGCACATCTCGGCAACTGGATCAATAAACACGTTGGAGACAAGTCAGCTTGCATAGACCTATACCGTTTGATGCGAGGGTATCATGAGATGGGTAGGGACTGGTACTCGAGCCGGCCGGAAGGGGCATCTAGGATGATTCTTGTTATGCTGGAGCTCTGGGTTGCTGCCGATAAAGCCGCAATTCACGAGTGTGCACTACTAAAAGACTATCAACATGAGATTCCTATCGAAGTGTTTCAATCTCTACTCCTTGGGTCCAGAGAAGATATGGAAAGGCTTCATCTAGTTCAGACATACCTGACTAAGCGGCAAGATTATGCGCGATCAAAAAAGAGACCGTCAATTTTCACCTCTTACGGTCAAAGAGAGTCTTTCCCGGTTGAGTACTTTTCGCAATCGACACCCCATCAGAGTCATCTCAAACTCATTGAGGCGCGAGCTCATCTTGCCAAACAAGTCAAGTTGAACGAATACCAACGGTGTCGCTTGCAATACGAAAGACTTATGCAGCGATATGAGCAAGAAATTTGTCAAAATGTCGAGAGGGAAAAGGATGGAGTATATTATACCGAGCACGCTCCCAACTGCAGCCGTTGCGCGTGCCGTAAACAGGCAGCTGGAATGTCGATTGATGTTTATGAGTGGCCCCTTTCAAGCTCTCCCCTAGAAGCCCAGGCGACAGTCTTTGAATTGGCCCTCCCTCACACCATCGGCGCATGGCGAGATGCCACCCTTTATGTCATTGATGATGTTCTTCGAAACACGCGCTCTTCAGGCGCAAAACTACAGTCAGACTATTCATTAAGATCATATGCTGCCCTCAAGGATTCTTTCTTCTCTCATCCTAGGTGGCGCATTCATCTTTCATCTGAATCGAAGCCCCATGTGGTCACTCACCGGCGAAATATTAAGATTAGCCACAGCACCGAATCAGATGTATGTGTAAATAACGGACTTCGATTGCGTTATTTCGATGAAAACAGGAGAACCTTTCATGAGAAATTTACCGCCTCCACTTGGTTGTCTGATCTCTGTACTTTCAAGCTGGGCTGTAATTTGAACCAACTGAAGCCTTTTCTCGTTCGAACCCACAACAAGCCAACCGGCGAGGCTCCAAATACAGTTATTGCGAGTCAAGCCTTTTGCCCTGATAGTATGTCTCTTGGCGAATATAAAGCTTTGGCTACGCTACCATTTGGATATCGTATACAGTGGATGAGTATTCTCACCCAACTCGCGATGCCTGATGTGGACTTCAATAAAGTTGAGACTGCAGTATTTCTCCTACAGCTCGGTCTTCAAGCAGGACCAAACGAACAGAATACAATTGAGAGATGTGCACATGTGCGACTAAGGGATCCAGAATTTGGTCACGCGATGCTTAACCAGCTTCACGGATGCGTTTCTCGGATAAAGGAGAACTGGGAATCCCACACTGCCATGTGGATTTTGATTTTTCTTGCAGCTCGCCTGCTATCGATGACTACTTTGCCTTCCTTGAGACTGAGTATCTTTCACCTCTTGAAGGAGTGTAGAGAGATATCTTACCAATGGTTGGCGAGGCTACGCTCAAAAGCGTATGACTCGCTCAATGAAGATGAGCGGACTCAATTTTTGCGGATCGCGTTTCGAGTGTCTCTCGTATGTGCAGACACTTTTAACGTGAGCGATACGCTCTTAACTCATATACTATTTGATCCTCGCCAGGCGGCCATTTTGATTGAGATTTCCATCAATATTTATAACAATACTTCATTAATGGAGAAGTCTCAGGATGGGCTTGGGGGGATCATGTATGATAGATGGGCTTTTACGATGCATCGTTCTCGGCCCATGCTGTTGGATGAGATCCTCCACCGCGGAAATTCTTGTCTCGATACAGCTATAAAGCGATGCTGGCCAGATTTCAGTCGGATGAGCGAATGGAGCCTAGCCAATTCCACTTGCAGCTGGCTCGAGACTGTATCTGCTCAACTAAAGATATGTGTCAATCTTCTAACAGGGGAATTGTTAGTAGACGGGAGCCCATTATCTCGCCTACCTCGAAGCTACGAGATTCATAAAGATTACCGAAAGTTATTTGGGGCTTTTATACTGGAAGTCATGCCCAGTTCTTCACATGGAATGAAATTTTGCAGTTCCAAAGACGTCGAAGGCTATGTTGCACATTTCAGTATGGACGATGAATATCTGAAAGTACGTCTGGATGGCCAAGATCCGGTATTAGATCTCGTCCCTTCCCAATTATTGACCGGTTGGCTACCAAACTCTTTCATCGATGATTATACCCATTGGTACAATCAAGCCACGGGGAGTATCGAATTCCGTCCGATAGGCGACCCATGGAAGCCATCTACCAAAGGTTGGATCCTGAGCCAGCATGAACCGTATTGGAAGCTCACGCGGGCTGGAAATATATCACTACTTTCACCTAGCAGCTGTTCTGCCCTTGATATAGCATCCATCTTGTCACCGCTCGACACCATGTTGCATTTACACATGCTACTTGATGCGAAAACAGGCAATCTTGAGATCAAAGTGCCACGGCTGCAGCTTGAGTTTACGCTGAGCAAGGGAGAATCAGCCATCACATCTCGGCAATTTCGAGGGATGCAAATCGATTCTAATCAATATATTGGCACGCTGATTGGATTGAACAGTAAGCTTGTGATGAAAGACACTCGCAATTCGGAAAGCAGGATGTTGATCATCCCCGAAGGAAACATCGACTTCAAAGCAAATCCAGAGGGCCACATGTTTGTGGACGTGGCTTATGGCACCGCAAGTCGCGTCCAGAGATACTTGATTGACAACCAACTTCGCCATTTGGTCGGCAATGCCACGGCTCAAAGCAAGCTATACCTCGCTTACATACACGCACTCACCTCTTATTGCGTTCCAGATCCTTTTTTGGGTAGGACCGGGACTGAGGAGAGCCTCTCAATTCTGAAGTCTGCTTCAATACGGTCAATCGACTATTTGACCCCTGATAATATGCAGTTGCTGCAAGTTATCGCCAATCTCTCTCCTCGGCGGGAATATTATCCAAAATATCTCAAGCATATGCAAAAGGTGCAATGGTCGCCCGTATTGTGCTCCATGGCCCAAGATTCGCGATTCTATAAGATTGTCGTGGGCAGTATCCTCAATAGAATTTCAGATATGGCCTTCTTATATCCGCCTGATGAAGCTATTATAAGAGGTGAATTTGCCCCTAACGAAATAGAGCTTATCGACCGAGAGATTTTTCGAAACTCACGCTACCAAGTGTCTGGATTTGGCGCTGAAGACTTCAAAACGAGTCGTGATATCAAGTATGCACCTAGAGATCGAGGCCAATCGTCGACGGGGACCGCTAATGCATTCGAAACAACATTTCGCGTTCATAATAATATCGAAACCATTGCGCAACGGGCCGGGAAAAAATGTTTGGACATTTTTTACTCCTTTCTTTCTGGACCCAAGGAAATTCAAGCTCCCCAGAGTATACCTAACGCGCGAGAGATTCAGTATGGCGCGGAATGGCTCGGCGACCCAGAGACGATCCTCCCTGCCTACTGGTGCCGATTGCACTTTGCTTTCCAAACAAATCCCTCCTGGATTAACAAATTCCAGACGACGATCTGGCTTGCGACATTGTCCTACTCCTCTCAATGCCAGACGAGCGTTCTCCAGGCTATGATGATGCTTCCGCTATCGACTCAGTTAGCAGCCGTACCTTTACCCGCGGGGTCGGCATTCAAGTTACCTCAAGGTTATCAAGTTAATATACAATCACTCAAAAGCCTTGTGCAAAATGCGACCAGAGACTTCGGCCCTACCTGTCCCGAGATGCAACTGCCCCCACGCAAGAAGGAATCTGCGAAGAAGATACGGAAGCGACGAAAGGGCTTGTTCAACATTGAAAAGGAGAAGGCGGTTACTCTCTTTGTCCAAGAACTTGTTGCACAGTGGCCAAATTCTGAACTGGTCAAGCCTCAAAAGCATGCGCATTGGTTCGAATGTTACATAAATGTTCCAAATGCAATGGCTCTCGCTCAAGAAAAGTGGCGAATCTGGCTTGCAAACTTACGATTTAGAGCATATCTTGAGAGTTTTATAAGCACATTTAATACTATAAAACTGGGAACGGTACCTATTCCTCGAATATTGTACCCTTTTTACCAAGTTCCAGCTACTCGTCCTCATGGATATATACCCATTGAAGAGGTGTTTCGTAACACGGCACCCATTATCAGCAACGTGCCGCTTCTCAACCTGAAAGCGTTACAACGAACAACGGATACCGAGGAGGATACGAATAATAAGCTAGCCGACCTTCTTGACCACTTGGATTTGCAAATCCAGTTCGACTATGAGCGTCGATATCTTTCTGAGCTGCGGAAAAGTCTACTTGATCTTCGAGGCCTGAGCATGATGCAGCTTGAAAAGAACGACATTTCCATGCGTAGTATGGCCTTTGAGCTCTATCTACAGCAATGCAAATCGTTCGTTCAAGAATGTTACGAGGGATTATCAAAGGCTGTTCTGCCGGACTCCGCTTGCTTTCAGCTAGGCCCAGCTGATAGCATTAAAACAATACAATCAACTATTTCAGCAGCTGGATTCTATCCGAGGTCATGTCCAATTTTCTTCTTACAGCAGCTCGGGAGGCACCGGTGGCCCTCTCTCCCCAATGCATGGAAGAAGGCTATTGTTACGTACGCGATTGCAATAACCAGCCTCCAACAGGCCCAACGCCTAGTAAGCTTACAGGATAACGAAATTGATCTCTTCCAAGAACTTGAGAATACCTGCAATAGAGAATGGGATCCACTTCAATACCCGGAATGGCTACTTTTGGAGTGTGAGAGCGGAATTATCATCCGGCATGTGCAGCATCAAATCGCTGAACAGATGATCTCGCCCCAGGACAATGGGAACGCTGTAATGCAGCTCAACATGGGAGAAGGAAAGTCTTCCGTCATTGTGCCAATTGCAGCTACTGCACTCAGTAACGGGTCACAAATTGTACGTGTCATCGTTGCTAAACCACAGGCCAAGCAGATGCACCAGATGTTAATGTCGAAGCTCTCCGGCCTGTTGGACCGCCCAATATTCCGAATGCCATTTTCACGGGCAGTGAATATGGACGTAGTAAAGGCCAAGGTTGTGCATAGATTGGCGCACCGATGCATGGAAGAAGGCGGCATCTTATTGATCCAGCCAGAGCATCTCCTCTCCTTTCAATTGATGGTACTTGAATGCGCGATCAATGGACATGTTGAAATCGGTCACCAACTGTTGGAAACTCAGCGTCTTTTCAACGAATCTTCTAGGGATATAGTTGATGAGAGCGATGAGAATTTCAGCGTCAAGTTTGAACTTATTTATACCATGGGGAAACAGAAGCCAATTGAACATACGCCTGACCGCTGGGTGGTTATTCAGAATGTACTCTCCAGATTTGCTCGAATCTGTTTGCAGCTGAAGGCTTCTTTTCCAGAGTCGCTTGATGTCGATGACCGATATCCTGAGAGATTTCCCAGAATCCGAATTCTGCGTCCTGACGCTGAGTTGACTGTTCTGACCCATCTTGCTGAATTCATCTGCAACACAGGCATGTCTGGGTTTCCAATCGCACGACAACGTACACATATACGAGACGCGGTTAACCGCTACATCAGCAATATTGATCTCACAACGAATGAGATTGATGCTGTTGAACGAAGCTCATTCTGGGGTGAGACGACTGCCAGCAACATTCTTTTACTTCGGGGTCTGTTGTCGGGTGGCATACTCTCTTTTGCCTTTGGACAGAAGCGCTGGAGGGTCGACTACGGCACGCATCCTAATCGTGAGACGAAAACCAGGTTGGCCGTGCCATTTAGGGCAAAGGACAATCCAACGCCTCGGTCGGAATTTAGCCACCCAGATGTTGTCATTGTGCTTACCTGCCTGAGCTATTATTATAAAGGCCTTCAAGATGAAGAGCTTTTTGAAGCATTAGAACTTCTCATTAGATCGGACAATCCTGATCTCGAATATCGGGCTTGGGTAGAAGCTGCGCCAGGATTGCCGCTTTGCTTTAGACATCTGACGGGTATCAACATTCGAGATCGCACGCAGTGCATTAATGATGTTTTCCCTCACCTCCGCTACTCCAAGGGAAGCATTGATTATTTCCTTTCGCGCATGGTGTTTGCAAAGGAGTCGAGAGAGTTTCCGCACAAGCTTTCCGCCTCGGGGTGGGATCTTGGCAAGAGAAAGAACAATCCCACAACTGGATTTAGCGGCACCAATGATTCCAGGTACATATTGCCGATGGATATTAAGCAATTGGATCTACCAGAGCAGAGCCATACTAATGCGTTGGTGTTGAAACACCTTCTTCGTTCTGAAAATGGCATCATGTTGATGCCAAAACAGATGAAAGGAGTCAATTTGGAGAGCGAGTCACTCCTTGAGATGGCGTCGCAGATGGACTCAGATACTAGAGTCATTCTCGACGTGGGCGCACAGATTATTGACCTTGATAACCTTCAATTTGCCGAAACATGGCTCAAGCGTTATCACAATGATAGTGTCCACGCTGTCGTCTTCTTTAATGAAGCAGATGAGTTGATGGTGCTGGACAGATCGAACAAGGTTGAACCTCTACAGATATCGCCATTTGCTACTCAATTAGATCAATGCCTCGTCTTCCTTGATGAGGCCCACACGAGAGGCACTGATCTTAAACTGCCTGCAAATTATCAGGCAGCAGTAACGCTCGGCGCGAATTTGACTAAAGACAAGCTTGTACAAGGTAAGGAGTACAGACTTTTACTCAAAACTATGAGTGTATTCGTTGCTTACTTGTGTAATAGCATGTATGCGGATGAGAAAACTTGGACGAGGACAATCTGTCGTGTTTTGCATTCCAAGAGATATTGAACAAAAGATCCAAGCACAACGAGACCCCAACTCTTCTACCGAAGAAATCTCAGTCTCTGATGTTTTATGCTGGGCAATATCTGAGACTTGGCGTGACCTTCGACGGATGGTCCCTTTATGGCTAACGCAGGGCGTCCGGCACTACGAACAAGAGGCTCTCTGGAACGAGAGAGAAGACAAATTATACAAAGAACAATGGGCCGAGGAATTTCTTGAACCTGAAGCTCAAAATCTCGACTCCCGCTATCGACCAAGAACTGGCTCTGAATCAGCTCAACTACTTGAACGAGCTACACCCGCCGTGAAGTTACAGTTCCAACGGCGCTGCGAAGAATTCGGTTTGATAGAATTTCGAAGTTCATCACTTCAAGAGGAACAAGAGAGGGAGCTTTCGCCCGAGACTGAACAGGAACGGCAGGTCGAGCAGCCTTCCCATGCCCTTGCCCACAAACACACATGCCACCCAGATCTCCGCTCTTTTATCAGGCTTGGAGAAATCCCGGTAGGATCCGGCGCGTTTAAGCCTGCTTTCCAGGCTCTAAAAAGAACTTCGGCGGTTCAGTACTTTGACCTACGCGAGTTTCCTAGTGGCATATGGGTGACTGAGGACTTTTCGAAGACGGTCAAGCCGGAGAACATGCCTGATGACGGCATGGACCTCTTCCAGCGGCCGGTGCAATGGATCTTGACAAGTAGATTGGGTTGGTCGACTACAGTTAGTCGTCTTGTCATAATAAGTCCGTGGGAAGCGCACGAGCTTATGCCGGATATCGAAGCATCCATGTCCGTCACTTTGCATTTATATGCGCCGAGGAGTAATCTTGGATTCCGGCCGCTGGACCATTTAACGTTGTATACAGTGCCTCAAAGACGGAAGAAGCCAGTTATTCCGCCTAATATGATGGCTGAACTGAACATCTTTGCAGGCCAGCTCTATTTGTCGTCCTTTAAGGAATATGTCGAAGTGTGCACCAAGTTGGGCCTTGCCTGGAGCCCTGCTGATGACTCCGTTGTTCTCGGACCTGATGGCTTCATTCCGGCTGGAGTGAACAGTGGACTTCTTGTGAACAAGTCGGAGTTTACGAAGAGTCCTGTGCAGTTTATCAAGGTGTTGGTTACAAAGATTCGGCGGAACTGCGAGACTGTTGAGAAGACGCATATAGGGAAGATATTGGATGGGGTTTTGCTGACGGAGGAAGATTTTGAGGAAGATTTTGAGATTTGAATTGGGTTTCGCCATGTTGTGTTGTGTTGAGTTTTGTCTACTTTATCTGCTTTATCTGCTTTCTCTGCTTTAAACAGTCATTGACTTATATAGTATTTGGACAATTTATAGCGTTACTGTATCTGACTGGATATTAACAATGAAAAAAACAATTAATGAATATCCTGCCATGTCTATACATCCGACATTGGATTTTTTTTTTCTCAACAACATGTAAGACATTTGACTGGAAAGTTTTATCTCTCGTTTAGTCTGTTGGTGTTTTGCTGTAGCCGGCTTTAGTACATGTACCCAAGTACAAGTACCTGCCCAGATGCCCCTGCGCCACCAGACTTAGCGCCCAGCCAGTAGCTTATCCTTCCTTATCTTATCAGTTTTTTTTACGCTGATAACCAAAAATTCTTCGACATATCGATCCCGCCAAAGGCGAAACCCAAATTCCATACACCAGAAACTGCACCTTTTGCGCTGCAACCAGTCGCAAAAATGGTGAAACGAAAAGTCGCCGCGCTCGAGAAGATCGATGCCGATTTGTACGTTCAATTGCATTTACATGCGCCTATAGTCCCTCAATATGCTAACAATTTGTTCCCAGCGCGAGTCTTCAGTACAAAATCCGGCGAGACCCAAAGTAAGCTCTTCGTCACCGTCTGCTCATCTTTACTACAGACTATTGCTTATACGTTTTTTCCTTTGTCTAGATCTTACAAGGATGATTTCATGAAGCAATGGGGCCAATATGAAGCCCAGCGCGAAATCTTCTTCATGTCACCGACGACGGTCGCCGCCGACTCGGTCGAGTCTTTCCACAACATGATCGACCTCATTGCGCACGTTGCCGACTGCTATCCCGAAGAGACTCGCACATTCCCGGACGATCTAAAGACCATTGTCTCTGAAAACCATGAGACGCTTCACCCTGAGCTGAGAGAAAAGGTCGTCGGGAGTCTGGTGCTGCTGCGACGAAAAGAAGTCATCGACTCGGCTGCTCTGCTGACGACGCTGTTCCCGATCCTCGTGTCCTCGCGAAGCAAGTCGATGCGCGCGATGCTCTTCCAGAAAATCCTCAACGACTTGCGGAATGCAAACTCAAAGTCGACAAACCATCCGCTGAACCGGACGATTCAGGCGGTGCTTTACAACCTCGTCACAGCCGATCGCTCTTCGCCAAGGGCCATTTGGGCCATCAAGTTGACACGCGAGCTGTGGAAGCGACAAATCTGGACGGACGCGAAACCAGTCGACATCATGAAAGAGGCATGCTTGGCCGATAATGAGAAAGTCATTGTCGGGGCTGTACGATTTTTCCTGGGTGGCGACAAGGAGCGTGAGGAGCTCGAGGACGAAAGCAGCGACGAGGAGATTGACTTGGCCAAAGTGAGACATCAAATCACCATCAATAAAAAATCAAAAAAGCAGAATCAGGCATACAAAAAGGCAGTCGACAAGGTCAAGAGGCAAGAAAAGAAGAAGACAAAGCCTCACCCGCTCAACTTTTCCGCTCTGCACCTGCTGCACGATCCTCAGGAGTTTGCCGAACAGTTATTCACAAAGCACCTGCAGGGCACCAAGATCAAGCTCTCACTGGATACAAAGCTGCTCATCTTGCAACTAGTCACCAGATTGGTTGGTCTACACAAGCTTACTATTGTGCCGCTCTACTCGTGGTTCATCAAATACCTTACGCCCAAGCAACAGTCCGTCACTTCCATCCTGGCATCTCTAGCACAAGGTGTGCACAACTTGGTGCCCCCTGATGCTCTGGAGCCCCTGATCCAAAAGATTGCCAACGAGTTCGTCTCAGAAGCGTCGGCCTCAGAAGTTGCCGCGGTTGGTCTGAATGCTATTCGTGAAGTCTGCTCCAGACAATCTCTTGCCATGACGGAAACGCTGCTGCAGGATTTGGTTCAGTACCGCAAGAGCAAAGACAAGGGTGTCATGATGGCTGCCAAGGGTCTCCTGTCACTGTACCGAGAAGTCGGCGCAGAGATGCTCAAGAGGAGAGACCGCGGAAAGGACGCCACCATGGGCATCAGCCACGGCACAATGAAGCAGCGCAAATTCGGAGAGGAAGAAGTCGGCGGCATCGAAGGCCTGGATCTCCTTGCTAAATGGAAGGAGGAACAGCGAGAGCGGAAGCTCGCTGAAAAGGGCAATGATGCCGCTGATGACGACAAGGATCCAGATGCAGACGGATTCAACTCGGACGAGTGGGAAGTTGGCTCAGAAGACAGCAGCGACTCTGGGGAATGGATCAACGTCGAGCACTCCTCAGACGAAGACGAACCCGCCCCCAAGAAGCGAAAAGCAGACGGCGAAAATGACGAACAAGACAAAGAAAACGCACAAGACGCCGCCGCCGAGCTCGAGCGCATGACCAAACTCGCCACCACCACAATCCTCACCCCCGCCGACCTCGCCAAGCTCCAAGAACTCCGCGCCGCCTCCTCCGTCCAGAAAGCCATGGGCAGCAAGTTCCGAAAACAGCAGAACAAGAACCAGAACAACCAGGACGGCCACGCCGACGACGGCCTCACCGCCGAGAACATCGAGGCGCCCATCCGCCTCCGCAAGCTGACCAAGGAGGAAAAGGTAGCGCTCGCCAAGGAGGGCAAGCCCGATCGCGAGGAGCACAAGAGCACGACGGCCATTCGCAAGTCGAAGAAGGAGGCCGCGGGGAAGAGCACGAGTAATAAGGAGAAGCAGCGCAAGAAGAACTTCTTGATGACGCTGGGTAAGGCGAAGAGTAAGCAGAAGAGGAGTTTGGTGGAGACGAAGAAGGTGTTGAGGGGCCATGTGGAGAGGAGTACGAGAGGAGGAAGGAGGAGGAACGGTACATAGGTGTAATAGGGGGGGAAATCGTCTGTTTAGTTTGTCATCTATAGGTATACAACGAAGCGTGGTGTTAAGCAGAGTCTTACGCAGACAAAAGAAGAAGGAAAATCAGGTGGACACAGTTTAATACGGACATGCACAAAATGCGTATTCAATGTTGTATATTTGCCATAGAATCATTATATGCATAATATGAAGAGAAAACATGCAGCAATGCTGGTATCCAATGAAACCCACCAACCCAATTACTGAAAGACAAAAAGACAAAAAAACATCTACATCAATACATACCCAACATCCCTCTACTGAACGTTGGTGACCATAGGCTTCTCATGATCAATCTTCTCTGCAATCTCCTCATCGTGCGTGTGGCCCTGAATGCCAACCTCAGTCTCGCTAAAGGCATCGACAACATCACGATATGCAGGCACAAAGTTGACGCAAAAGGCGTATGACCAAGCCACGACGAAGAAGGCGAGAGGAACGACCATGCTGATGCCATTGCCCTGTCTCTCTGCTGCTACAAAGGTCAAGGGCGGGACACAGGCGCCACCGACAACACCGCCGACAATGAAGCCACTACCACGCTTGGTGTGTCTGCCGAGACCCTTCATTCCAAGAGCGACAATGGTAGGGAAGCATACGGATTCGAAAAAGAGAACAACGTAGAGCATGGCAATACCGGTGTCTCCTTTTTGGGTAGTGGCCGGGCAGATGAAGACGATGCACAGGCTGATAAAGAAGAGGAAAACCCATCGTGGCTTCACGAAGCGCATGATGCCACTTCCGGAGAATCGGCCAATGGCGAAGGCAGCCTGAGCACCGGCGAACAGCTTGGAGCCGAGACTGCTGGAAGTGCCTGGTCGGGTCGCTACAGCATAGTTGATGAAACCACTGGCAATTGCAACTTGAGCACCAGTGTAGCAAAACTGAGCAAGGGCAGCGTGGAAGAGTCTGTATTGCTTCCAGAGTGGTTTGTCGTCTGAGCTGCCGTGAGCTTCTTGGGCTTGGAATTCCATATCTGGAAGCAAATTTGTCATTAGCTGGCTGTGTCGAGAGCGTCCATTACAGCAAGATACGTACCAGCATTTGTGATCTCGGGAATATTGGCCAAGAAGAACAAGGTTGCCAGGAGAAGGACAAAGACGACAATGGCCAGGTAAACCCATTGTACGTTTTGGAGAGCCTTCTCATCGCTGAAATTGAAGAAGACGTACGAGCCAAGGACGGGGGCAATGACGGTACCGATTCCGTTGAAGGCTTGGGAGATGTTGATTCGGATCTCAGAATACTTTGGTGGGCCGCAAACTAGGGTCATGTTGAGTTAGCAGGGGGCGAAGATTGAGAAGGACAGGTTTTTAAGCATAATTGATTTGACCATCATGGCGGTACGGTACGTACCTGTGATGAAGGGATTGGCGGCAGTTTCGAGGGAGCCAAGGCCATTGCCGATGATGAAAATCGCGGCGCAAAAGCCTCCAAACGACTTTGCCTTGATGCAAGGGATGGCGATAGCAGCGCCTACAGCGTAAAGGAAGAGGCCCCAGATGAAGACGGCCCTGAAACCATAGTGACGAAGAATCCAGGCGGCATGGCCGAGCGAAGCCAATGGATACGCGCTGAAGAGACTCAATGTTAGCCAAGTTTTTAAATACGATAAAGCGTGGTGCAATAGAAGACATATGTTTGCGCGATGAGGAAGAGCAACTGACCCAAAGTAAGCGGCCTGGAGACCAGACGAACGCGCTTGGTCGATATGGAGCGTGTTCTGGAAATGCTTGTTCAGCGTATCGAGCAGGCCATAACTGAATCCCCAGAGGAAAAACAGAATGGTGACAAGCGCGATGGGAAAGATTGATTCTCTGAGAGTGAGCTCCGCAGCCCTTGTGCGGCTCTTGTCGTTGGCCTTGAGCGACCGGGGCTTGAAGAATGTTGAGACGCCCATGGTGATTGGCTCCAATCTGGAGGATCCGACCAAGTGAGAGAGGCGGTAAAGAGAGCAAAAGACGAAATTGATGCTGGGACACTCTCGATCAAAGCTTTGCTCTCGCGCTGGGAATGCGACCCTTTTGACTCAATTCGGTTGACCCAGCCCCTCACATCGCCAGCCAGGGTTTCCTTTGACTCGTAAAGAGCATTCTGGGATAGATAGTGCATGTACATCGCATTGCAACGCTGCGTTCCCTGGCAAAATGGGGACATGATCATCCGGCCTCAAAGTCCGGGTTGGTACTAGCCTCGCCGCCCTAAAATCTCCCGACGGCAAAATGGCTCCTCCAACGAGCTGCCAGATGCCTCATAGCTGTGGGTTCTTTGGCGTCTTTTTTTAAGTGTGGCGTCTTAAACCCCGACATGTTATGTGGCTGCCATGTTCTTCGCATACGATGGGACAAAGGAGAGACTGTCCGCCTCCTCTGTGGCGTCGGTTCGGCTGTTGGCGAGAATTTCTCCGCGACAAGAACGGTCGAGTCTCCCCCGAGCTCAGTGCTAGCATGCGTAGGGACGGTAGCGATCTGTACGCGCACAACAGCCGTCCACCCGTCTTTAGCAACTCTGGAGAAAAGACGGGTCTCGGAGGTGGAGGTGTCTGGGATTGCTGGGGTTGAAGGAGGCGGGGAGACCAGGACGGCTGGCCATTGGCCTGAAGCGAGCCTGGGGATGCTGGATCTCGAACCAAAGCTGCCCCGAAAGCCTGGTAATTACGCGCTGGAGTGGGCGCAGAGCACGAGGAGCACGAGATGGGCCGATGGCGAGTCGCAATGATGACGGCGATTGTTGGCCGACGGACATGGGCCCCAGGACTTCCCCGGATATGGCTGAATATCGTCACAGTGACTCGACTACAGAGACTCAGAGGGCCTCGACGTCGTATTGGCTATCATTGCTCGCCGTCTGTAGAGTCTGCGCGCAACACTGCAGCGTCGCCATCTGCTGGCGCTAGAAGCCCTGGAATTTTCCATTGCGAGCAGAGACGAGAGCAGGTTCCCCTCACCGTTCGTGGGGTGTTCAACGCAGCTCATGGGCTGGTAGCATCTGCATTTGCAGTCCCACATCTAACTGTGGCCTCCCCAGTCGGAGCCCATCTCATCTTCGCGGGGATGTCAATTGGCTAAGCATAAGCATATTAGCTGCGTGCGGAGAAGTTGTGTAGCGGCAGCCGTCTTCACACCCATTCCATCCCAGGGCGACATACTTGGAGGGTAGTGGAAGTAGCCGTGCATGGATAGAGGGATGAGATGCTACGGCGCAAGATGTAAATTTCCAATTGCAAGCAAGAAGCGGATTTTGGTGCCTGGAGTGGTAGTATTCAGGCAGTCATCGAGGCACTTGACTTTGATGTTTCTACCCCATATCGAACACCAGGCCCATCACGTGCAGCAGCCAATCTCTCAACTTCAATGTCTGAGAAGTACCCATGTACTGCATCCTGCTAATACTAACAAACGGCTGTTGGTTCTAGTGAAAGACCCCGGCTATTTAGCTTACAAGTGGCTGACTCGTTTTCCATCGATCTTTGAAAGCTCCCGTCGGCTTCTTTATCTTCTTCAGATCTCCAGCCCTTTCAGCCCCAGAAACAAGGCGCCCCGGATTACGTTGCTGAAACTAGCATCAGCCGGCTGGCTAAATTAGCGAAGCTCTATGTGTTACTACCACGCTATGCACACAACCAAAGAGAGGCTGGCTACATGTAATCATCAACTTGACCACGTTTTGGGGTCAACTATTGCATCGTCAGCCGCAATGCCGCTTTTCAAGGATGGGTTACTTTGACTGTAGCTGAGCGACGCAAGGGTAGTACGAAACACTAAGTAGCTTGAGATTGCTTGATTTGATCTCGTGGCACATCTGGAGGCTCTGCCTCATTCTCCCGTCGGCTATCAGAAGCCGAGACTCTCAGCTTGACAGCGAATACCACTGCTTGTAAGCCATAGAGCTAGTTGATGTATGGTTTTATCAGACGGCCTTGGTAGATCGTATTTCGGTGCTCTAATATTCTCCATGTCACTTCAATAATTTATTAGGCCAACTATGTTGGATCATACTTTCTGTTCGCCGCATCGTATATTCGAGGCTATCTTAGCAGGGCGACTAACACGAGAGCAATAATAATCTCGTCGGCTAAATGGATTCTGTCTAGCCTTCTTCTCGTGCCACTTCGCAACTGTTTTATGATTCTATTATTGCCGATTTTTTTTTTTTTTTTTTAAATAGCTTAAATCAAGCGACGCTGATATGGATTATAAGTCATTGTTGTCGACTCTGCTCTGATACAAGGGCTAGACTATTTGCGTGTTTTTCAGCGCTTATGAGTTGGGTTCCAGCAGAGAGCCGCAATACAGGACATTTTGAATGACATGAAGGAACTACAAAATCTCTTACCGTCTACCAAATATCAGGCAGTAAGCCATTGGATTTACAATGAGTTGTTCTTTGAGGAAATGGAAGTTGGGAAATTTGGCTCTCACACTGATGATCTATATACATACCAACAGCGATGAAGAATAAGCTGTTGCTTAGCGATATTGAATAGCCTAAACCATACAGGGATTTGGGCTTTTTGGTATGATGAGTAAAGTTTAAAAGTAGGGGGGACATGCAAATCGCTGTTCATGAGATGAAACTTGAAATTAGCATACATAACTGTCCCTCGATTTAAAGTCATTTCGACGGCTTCCCAAGTTATACATGCCATATAATCGCATCTGCTTCGGTGAAACGTCTTCAATACACACCAATTTATGAGTAGCTGCTTGATTTACAACATACTCGTTACAAGTGTATTTCCTCAAAATAGAGAAATTTAATATAAAATATCTATATCAAAGCATCCAATCCAAACAATGACCCACCTCGGTGAGTTGACATGCGCCATGGTGGGGCCGTTAGTCGCGGGGCTCACCGAAGCCAAGTCGGCGCTTCAATTTATTTTTTTTTCTTGCCGCGACAGAATCTCGACAACATCAAGAGCTTGTTCCGCAGCCTTGCCAAAATGTCCAGAAACACGGTGCAGCCCAATGGATGGGTTGCAATTAGATTGCCAAGCGAAGTGACGCGAGTTCTTCAGGTGGTTCCCCATACGTGAGCCTCTCTCTCTTCTGATTTTTCTTTCTTTCCTGACGGCCTTCCAACTGACTGGATCTCTAGAACAATTTCTCTAGGCAAATACGGCTCATTCCCGAGTAATCTTCTAATTGAACGACCGTTCCACCTCACGTATGAAATCCAAGATAAGCTTGACGGCGAAAGCTTTCCTCGACTCCGAGTCGTTCCCGGCACAGAGCTCAATGCCGATAAGCTCGCCGACGTGAGCGCCACCGAGTCCGCCGATGCAGACGAGGTTATCGAGCCGGCGAATGGGGAGGAGCTCACGCTCGTTGATGAGAGCGGCAAGGTCGTCGCGCGATCTACCCGCGAGGTGATTGACGAATCTGCACGCCAAACGCTCACAATGGCAGAGATCGACCAGCTGAAGAAGGAGGGTGCGGCGGCGGGCAAGGAGCTCATCGCCAAACTCATGCTGTCCCACACGGCAATTGACCAAAAGACGGCATATTCGCTGGCCAAGTATAAGCTGCTTAAAGAGAAGAAGTACATGCGACGGTTTACTGTCCTTCCTCTTGATGTGGCCATGCTTGGACACTGGATGCTGTTCGAGAGAGACGGAAGCAAGGTCATGGAGATGCGACAAGAAATGATTGGCTTGCTAGGATGTTGGGCCGATGTTCACTTTGGCGGGTTGCCGATTGACGGGGAGCAAGGTCCCCACGGCGGACGATGGCTGGCTGTTGATGACACAGGCGGCCTGCTGGTTGCAGCCATGGCCGAGAGGATGGGAATACTGCACGCTGAGCCGTTGGAAGGAGAGCAGGCAACCAAAGAGGCAGTCGAAGATGAAGAGAACCCAAAGACACAGCCTGCCGGCGATGAAGCAGATGCGGCGGTGGCGGACCCATCAGCGTCTCCCAAGGCCCAGCGAAGCAGGCCCAAGCGACCGCGAAAAGACGATCTGGATAACCACTATGCTCTCACAAACAGCATCACCCTTATTCACGCCAACTCACAACCCAACCTCTCTCTCCTCCGCCACTTTGACTATGAACACAGCGATCCCAACCCCCCATATCCGTATCACCCGCTCTTCACCAACTTGCTACCCATATCCTGGCTCCAGCTGCTGGACCCAGAATCCGACCCTACCTACTCCGAGCCCGTACCCGAAGTAGACTCCGACGTCCTCTCTTCCTGGAAGACGAACCGCCGCGCAAACTACCACCGCAAGCGACGGCGATGGGCTCGCACTCGCCAAATCGTCGACGCCACCCTCGCAGGCGGCTTCTCCGGTCTCGCCATAGCAAGCACCATGGATCCCATCTCAGTGCTGCGCCATGCGCTCCCTCTGCTCGCAGGCGGTGCCCCCGTCGCCATCTACTCACCGACTATTGAACCCCTGACGCAACTGGCGGATTGTTTCAGCATTGGCCGACGGGGCGCCTGGGTTTCCAATCCTCCGGCCGAGGCGGAGGGCAAGGCGGCCGTGGAGCTGGAGAATTGGCCGGGCACCGCCGAATTCCCCATCAACCCGGCGCTGCTGATCGGAGCGCAGGTGCAGACGAGCCGGGCGAGGAGATGGCAAGTCTTGCCCGGCCGGACACATCCGTTCATGACGGAGAAGGGCGGGGCGAGCGGTTACGTGTTTACGGGCTGGAGGGCGATTCCGGCGGAGGGTAATATTACGGCCAGAGGCAAATTCAATAATAGGAAGAAGGCAAAGACGGGATAATTGCGATAGTCAAGTGCGGTGGGAAATAGAATGAGTTGAATTTGACGACGGGGTGTACATGAGAGTCTGTCAAGTATGAATAGAAATTTCGAATATCCTTTGCGTGCATGCAAATTCGGCTCCCTTTTCATAACGGGATTCCCAGCTAGGCATGCTCAATGCTGGTTTATGTTGCAGTAAAATAAGAATAGTATTCCCCGATCTAGATGTCTCCAAGTACGAAAATCCCACTTCTCTACAACGACTTGCCCATAAACTTTCTCTTCGTGAAGCTCAACCACCACTTGCTCGGCTTGGTCTCGTCTTCCTCGTACACTCTAGCCAGTAACCGGGTGGCAAGCTCCTGGCGGACCTGCGCCATGTACAGCTTGAGCTGCTCCGCGTCCTGTCTGTCCCGAGGAGGCTCGTACATCTAGAGTTTGTTTCAACATTAGTCTCCTTTTTCCAATCCTACAACCGTATGAGAAAAAAATAAAAGAGAGAAAAGGCGAACCTGGTTCAGAGGGAATGCTGGGTCTCCGGGAATGGCAAAGTTGAGATCCAGAGCCAGGTTGTTGACCTCCTTGGCGGCATCGCGGGCAATGGCATTGGGCTTGATCTTGGTCAGGCAGTCGCTCACGAACCAGATTCCGTAGACGAGCAGGCGGTCGGCGGGGCCCTTGATCTCAAAGTTGCGGAAGAAGGTGTTTGCGCGGAAGAGGCGGAGGACCTCGTCGAGGATGTCGTAGCTCTCGCTCTCGATCTCGGGGGACTCGTAGGCGGGCAGCGGCGGTGACGGGAAGGGCAGGACGTAGGCGGGACCGCGGGTCTTTGTGCGGAGAGGCAGGAGAGGGAAGTTGCCGATGAGGCGAGGAGGGTTCGGGTCGGAGTTGAAGTCGGAGTTGTAGGCCTGGCAGTTGGACGTCGGATTAGCAAGAGTCGAAGATGCATTCGAGGAGAGTTCTATAGGGAGACGCCGAGAGAGCTCGAGACAGGCACGCAGCCGGCAACAGCACCGCCAATGCGGCTTGCGACAATGCGAGCGCCGTCTGGTTTGGTCCTCTCCGCCAACAAGGCAACGCACGTACCGGCATCGTGAACTGCAATGGCGCCGTGCCGGAAGAAGCTGCTGGGAGTGAGGTTGGAAGCACGAGATGCTGCAATTGGCGGGGCTGCTCCTAAGACACAGCCAGACAGACCTGGTATGGAGCAGCTGTCGTCAACCCGAGTCGCCAAGTGGGGCCAGCGCCGAGCTCAGGTGCCTTCTCCGTGCTGAGGTAAGCGCGCGCCACACGGGCCTCCTGTGCCACACTTGTCAGGCAAAACAGGCGAAACAGGCGAAACAGGACCGCAAAGCCGCCACACAGCAGCCGGCTGCCTAGATCACGTGAGTTCGCTCTACGGTCGCGCCGCCTAGACCTCCCTGGCCCGACGCGCCCGTTTGCCTGCGACCCAACAAAAGGTGTGAACATTTATTAATCGACGAATTGCCCTGCGCGGCGCGTTTGCTGCATCGAGAGAAGAGCTGTCTCACATTGTTCCTCAGGTCTGAATTCGTGTGCCTGCAAAAGACAAAACGACGCCCCTTTTGCCCCTTCTTTCATTCACGATTTGTGGTTTGCCCTTCTATAATAAGCGACCATCCCTGCACAGGCAGAATATCACCACTTGTGGTTTCTTCATCTTCGTCTCCAAATCTCTCCTTCCTCCGTTCTTGGGATTCTACGTCTAATCCTTGCACTTTTTCCTTTCCTTTCTTTTTTTTTTGTTACTTCCAGAAACAAAGAAGGGAGGGGAAATTCCGAATATTTGGAGAAAAAAGCAAAGTTTGCGGGGAAATTCGCAGGGAATAGACGTGCAGCAGGCCGTTACATTTTTCTGTCGCGTTTAACGCGGGGAAGGGCCTCAGCCATTCAGAGACAGGCAGACAGACGCATGGTAAGGTGTGAATCACGCGAACACGAGATGCCCTTCAAGGAGCTGGACGGCTTCATCTTCTTTGGAATTTGAATAGGAAACTATATTCACAGTGGCCTTGCTAACGCATCTGTACAGCTTCATGTTTCGCCGAAGCGCCATCATCGCCAAGTTTCGTGCCTTCGTGGACGAAATGACCAGCAGCCCCTCCATGCCGCCATCTTCCGACCCCAAAGAAGATGACGACAAGGTCATGGAGTCGCCTGCATCCACGCCGCCAACAACGCAGCAGCCCAAGTTGGATTCATCACCTCCACCGCGGCGCACTCTTCCTTCGCGGCGTGCAGCTCGACGGCGCCGCCCGCAAAAAGGCTCCCTTCGGGACATCCTCCGCCAAAACTCTGGGACTTCGCTCTTTGTACGCCCCATCGGCTGGACGGATCTTCATGCCAGCCTGCTGGGCGTGCGCTTCTGTGAGCTGCCGGCCTGCGACACTCCACGACCATGCAACCTGCCAGGCTCTCCGCCGACTCAGGGCCACATGCGACCGTCGCCCACCATTACCAAGTTGAGTGACGCGTTGACGGAGATTTTGTTGCTCTCTTCGGGGCTTCCCAAATCAACTTCTACTGCCGTCAAAACTGTGCTGATGACGCTGTGGCCAACAGCGTTTGCAAAGTGGCAGCTTTTCCCAGATCTGAACATATATTTTGGTGACAAGGTATACCATGATGCCGTGCGTGTTCAAGCCTTGTGGAACTTCCCCTCACATCCTTCGGCCCTATCATCGCAAAGCTCAGTTGCAACAATACCAGCACGACCAGTAAGCTCATCGTCCAGTCCGCCTGTTCACTGCAATGCGAACTTGCCGATGCTGTGTTACATTGGGAAGAACCAACTTGCATCAATACGCAAGTGCATCTTTCGTGTAGCGACTGGGCCAGATAACAATCCTAACATCCCCGTCCAGCGGCTACAACAGCTTCGCGCCAAGCTTCTTATCCCAGCAGATGCTGATAAAGATTCGCATTTCGTCGGCATCTTTTTGGCCATGGCGCAGAGGCATTTCTACACCCCCCCGATACGAACTTTGACAAGAGAGTCATCTTTGGGATTACAAAAGCCTACCTCTCGTCGGCCCGACTTTCAAGATGTCAAGATGAGGATTTTGACGCATGACAACGAGACGAGCGAGTTCTTGGTCTATACGGGCCATGTCACAGCCCAGTTTTTGGATCGTTTTTTCGACCCTTCTGGCGCCTTTTACGAGGAGGACGGCACGATTGCGGGAATGAAGGTTGAATTTACCCGCGTTCCCATCTGGCCCATCCTGGGACTACGAGAACGACTCGGCAGAGCTTTGGGAGAGGATATTGTGGGGCCATTTGATTCAAATCAAATGGAGACGTGGGAGGACGATAGCTCTGGTTCCGAGTCGAGATTCTCAGAGCCAGGGGCAAGAGGCGCAAACATCAAGCGGAAGCGGACAACTCCAGCAGCGCTTGATGGGAGCTTGGATGAAGAATCCGACGAAGATCAACCCGCTATGCCAGATAAGAAGCGGTGTCTGAGCGAGGAGAGAAATCTCGTTGGCGTTGCCGTTTAAAGGCAGATGGCTATAATTGGTAATGCATGGACGTTGCCATTGGGGCGCTAAAGGCAGGACTTATGACTAAATGTAATGTTTAGAAAGGGGGGGCTACTATATACCAAGGCAATATGGCGCAGGGTCGAACCAGTGGATTGGCAGTTTTGGGAGGACAGCATTTGACTTTTTGTTCATTCCGGTCTGCGGATATTACAGGAAGCTATCTCGCATGATACGAAGGCTTCAGTTGCGGTGCTGAGATTTCGAGATGGTGGCAAGGTTAGACCATCTCTCTATCAATATGGCACTCGGCGACTTTATTTTCTTCTTCTTTTTTTCACAGATAGGCGTGTAATGATATCACTGACGAATTGATTCGATATAATGTTTAAGCATAAGCTAGATTGAACATGTATGGTTGTGTTGTATCGACTATGATGACCTAAGAGAGGTATTGTGCTGTGTTTTTTTTTTGGGTGGCTGCGTCTTGGAGATTATGCAGATGGCACGACAGAATCTTTGAGCACTCCAAGTAAGATATCTCTTATGATAACGCATGCTTACCAATGCAGAACAGCTCTGCAGAATTATTAACTTTGCATCTGGATAGCTGTTGAGTTCATTGCTGACTTTAGATACTTCGCATCAAACATACCTTGGTATGCGAAGCATGTGACTTCTTCCTTCCTGAGGCATACATCAAAGAGCCTCTTTCTTCTCCATTCCGTCCTCCAACATGCATTATCAATTTCCATCATCAATTGCCATTATCAATCCTGCAATGAGTCAACTGAGACACCGAAAAAGTCTTACGGTAATATGCAAGTGAGACAAAGCCGTTACGTACTGCATGAATCTGTTCATTTAGCGCCGGTGGCTTGCTGTATCGCCATCTCGCGGCCAATACTTTTCCTCTGCCAAGACAAAGGTCCAGCCTCGGCGTGCATCGTGAGGTATTTCTCTCCGCATCCTTCATCTTGTGCCTGAGCTGACCTGTGCACCCCCAATAGGCAATGGGCCATGGGAGCTAATGTATGTGTGCCACCCAATACACAACTGACCTCGGCTCTCAACCTTATTCGTGCCCCTGCCAGCGTCTTTCATCGCATTTAAACACCAATTCTTTTACATGTGCTCTCTCAATAGCTTCATGAGCTTGCAATTCCCCGTGGCTCGACCACGACGGCTAAAGCTCCTAATGCCTAGCCCCCCTGCTGGCGTTGCAACTACACCCCGCATTTCTTACCCCACGGGGAAAATGGACTTCAACTAAGAGCTTCTTTGCTCTTCTAGGAAGCTCAGGAGGACAAATACAGAATACCGGCAGCTGTCAAAGGCGGGGTTTGGAGAGTTTTGCGGCATTGAGTAAGATGGCCGAAGCGTCGACAAAAATGCACCGCCTCTGCCTTTTTCAATGCAAGCTCCACCGAGATGTGGCACGAGACCATCTATGAGCGAGGAAGAAGGCCCTTTTTGTGTCCAGCTCCGGCTGCAGTGTAGCCCTTACTTTCCTTGCGCGGTGTCCTGGCGGCGGTTCCCTTTTTCACGCGGAATATGAGTGGACAGCCGTTGCCTATGAATGTGATGGTCTCTGTTTAACGCCCGGGCGGATACGTTCTGCTCCGGCCAAGAGGTCTAGTCCCCGTTCTTCAAAATCACCTCGTCTCCAAAAGCTGCTGGGTGAGTGGAGATGTTCATTATCCGACAGCATGCTGAACCATGCGGAAGGCAGATACCCAGCCAGAGCCAAGACTTTTGCAGAGACACTTCAGGTCTACCATGATGGCCTCTTGAGAATTAGTCTCTCCATTCCCCGCAAAGGCCTTTTACGGTGTGAATGACCCGTATTCGTATGCAGTTGATCTATATAAAAGACGGCGAGTCCTCTGAATCTGAGCTGGACACTATCCAGTTGTCAAGTCTCCTTCCCCATCATCTCTCTGACAACGCCTTGACTCTTCAGGATGAGGTTGTCTGCTACTCTCCCGGCCCTTTTGGGTTTCTTCTCTTTGGCTGTGGCAGCCCCAACACCAGAGACTCAAACTCTCGAGGCTCGGTCTTCAGTGAGCGTCAAACTCGCCTCTGGAACCATTGTCGGCAGCTCCATCTTGGGCATTGATACATTTAACGGTATACCCTTTGCGGACCCGCCGGTAGGCAACCTCAGACTTGCTCCTCCTCAGAAGCTGTCCAAGAACTTGGGAACTTTTAACACACCGGCACTTCCTCCTGCGTGTCCTCAAATGTTTCTTTCGACAGGCTCGTCAAACATTTTGATCAAGCTGCTAGGAAGCTTCTTGAACTTTCCCTTCTTGCAGCCTATTACTGGCCAAGAGGACTGTCTGAACATCTCTGTTCAGCGGCCTGCAGGCACCAAGGCGACTGACAAGCTGCCAGTGGCCTTTTGGATATACGGCGGAGGATTTCAGCTTGGTGCTACAGTCACATATGATGGTACCAGTCTCCTCGCTACTGCCATTGCTCAGAATCAGCCTATGATCTACGTTGCTGTCAATTATCGTGTCGCAGGTTTCGGGTTCCTTCCTGGAGCTGAAATCCTCAAGAATGGCAGTGCAAACTTGGGGCTATTGGACCAGCGTATGGGCCTTCAATGGGTGGCTGATAACATTGCGGCCTTTGGCGGCGATCCAGACAAGGTCACCATCTGGGGCGAGTCTGCTGGCGCAATGTCCGTCTTTGACCAGATGATCCTTTACGGCGGCAATGCTACATACAATGGCAAGGCTTTGTTTCGCGGCGCCATTATGAATTCTGGAACTGCCGCACCAGCTGAGCGGATCGACTCTCCAAAGGCTCAAGCCGTATACAACAATGTTGTCAACAAGGCCGGCTGCAGTGGAAAGGCAGATACCTTGGCATGCTTGCGCCAACTTCCTTACAGCACGTTTCTCAACGCAGTCAACTCGGTGCCAAGCATCTTCTCCTACAACTCTCTTGGGCTGTCGTATCTACCACGCCCAGATGGAGTTGTCCTTGAAGATAGCCCCGATGTTCTCTTTGAACAAGGCAAGTACCATCCAGTGCCTATGATTATCGGCGATCAGGAGGATGAAGGGACATTGTTCTCTGTATTCCAGACCGATGTCAACGATAGCCCGAGCCTTGTCAACTGGCTATCCACATACATGTTCTCCAATGCCACAAAGGCCCAGTTGACTCAATTGGTCAGTACGTATGATACCGCTATTTCCAGTGGTAGTCCCTTCCGGACGAGTATCTTCAATGAATTTTACCCTGGCTTCAAACGAACGGCCGCGCTCCTCGGCGATCTCGTTTTCACGCTCACCAGACGCATGGAACTTGCTACCCACGCAAAGCTGAATCCCAGCGTGCCCACCTGGTCCTACCTCTCGTCTTACGACTATGGCACTCCCTTCCTCGGGACTTTCCATGCTTCCGACATCATCCAGGTGTTTTACGGAGTATTGCCCAACAATGCCATGTCAAGCGCCAGGTCATACTTTTTCAACTTTATATACAACCTTGATCCAAACGTTGGGACGACGGGGTACGCCAAGTGGCCCAAGTGGGCGGATAACCAGCAGCTCATGTGGTTCCAATCAGCCGACTCAAATAGTCTGCTGGCGGACAATTTCCGAAATGAGAGCTACCAGTGGATTGTGGGAAACAAGGCAGCCTTGAGGGTGTAAGCATGGCGGTGATGGGCGGGCACGGCGTTTTGGGAATGGAATTGAAATGAAAAAAACTGGGAATCTCAAGGGCTTGAGCTGGATGAGTTGTATATACGGCCTATGAATGAAACAAATGAACAAATTTCTGTATATATGAATGAATGACATGAATGGATGAATATATATATATATACCTATGAATGAATGAACAAATAGTGCCGCAGTGCTAGAGGAAAGTCTAAATGTTGGCAACGTTCTCCTAACGTCATTGTACCGAATAGTTTAGCGAACAAGTTTATGCTCATGCACAGTTTCCCAAAGGCCGAATGGCTCATCTCCATCGGGTGAGAAGGCCAGACTGTCCTGTATCTTGGTACTTGTCTGCATCCAAACCAATTGTTTTCTGGAGAAGATGCTGTCAATCGATACGCAGGGAACTGTATCATCTCCGCTTATGCCAATCTCACATGTTGCTAGGTTATCGCCCACTCCATCTTTTGAGGGCTGTTTCAAAACTTTGATGTCTTTGCTCGTTCCGTTTTTAGGCCTCCTGGTAGTTCATCATCAGCCTCATCTTCGTATTCATCATTCAGAGTGCCTGAATCCCGCGGTTCAACAATGTACCAATCATCGTTCTAACAATAGCCCTCATCCGGCTGAAAAAGGGTCGATTTCATGGGCACCATGCTCATGATACACACCTGAATCTCCCGGCTGCAGATAAACAGTATTTCATTACGCGTGCCAACATCAAATATTATTAATAGTTTTCTGCGTTTCCATTCATTGGCCTTGTGAACAAGAGAAAAATTCCCCGGCAACAGACACTTCCAGACTCCCATTTTCTACACCGAGCGAGAGACACGCTGCTTGTTGTACATTCAATAGCCTTGTTTTAGCTTCATTTTAATTTTTACATTCATTTATATACACCATGCCAAAGCATGTTAGCAAAGCATGTTACATGTCAATGTTACATGCGCCAATGATTTCATTTTCGACATCGTTTAGTTGTATCCGTTAGTCGAGAGCCACTGCTTCAGCGCAGCAGCGTCACGCTTCTTGTAGGCAGCCCTGCCCCTAATTCTGTCCTTGGCCGTCTCCAGCGTACGGTTGAAGCTGTTTGTGTCCTTGTCCTTGAAGAACTCCTCAACTTCGTCAATGATGGCAACATCAGTGAAGGGTTTCAAGCTTAGGCCAATGAAGCGATCGACCACAATGGGGTTTCCAAGCTTGGCGGCGACAAGATCCCAGTTGTTTTTCATGAAATCCCACTGGATGGTACGGCCAGTAGGGTGAGCGGCCAGGTTGCCACCAAGCACGTGCATATCGGCCGCGGGGACGGAGTTTTGGGGAGGAGACGAGTTGAAGTTGAAGGGGACGAGGTTGTTCTTGATAAGATCGGCATCTTCCACAGTGGCAAGGCAGCTGAGAGCAATGAGCTTGCCGTCAATGGCCTTTGTGCTGAACCACTCCTTCTTGAGGACTTCGACGTTGCGAGCGGCGTTGTCGGCGAGACCGGCGCGCCAGACAATGCTTCGCAGAGACGGGTGGATGGGATTGGCCTCTGGGTTTTCCACCCAAGCGTTGAATCGCTTGATACCTTCCGCCTTGACCCTGTTCGATGGTTAGTAATAGTTGCTTTGCCAAGTTTTTACACTTGAACACGTGATATCAAGTGAACAAGAAGAGAAGAAGAAAAGGATTCACTTACTCGGGGTGGCCAGCAGAAAGAGCGCTTAGAAGGAGTTCCTTGCGCAGAATACCGCCAAGGTAATCCTCGCCCTCGGGGAACTCCCATCCAACCTGCTTAACCTTGTCACTAATCAGCTTGACGGTAAAGTTGTTAATACCCTTCTTAATCTCCTTGTCTTCTTCAAAGACAGACTTGAGTTCTCTAATGCAGTCAAGAACCTGGCTCCAGACGAGAGGGTGGGTCTCCTTCTGGAAGCCCTGAATGAAGCCCAGGAGGGCTGACGAAGAGCTGTTGCCGGCGAAAGCAAGATCCGCAGTTGAGCCAAGAGTGAAAATCTTGTCCTCGGTGCCAAGCTTATCGAGCTGAGTGCTCAGCTTGGCCAGGCGAGAGGGAGGGTAAGCTACACGGTAGAAGCCAGTTGCGCCGCTATTGAGCTTATAGAAATCCTCATCAATGTCAAGGATGGTATCCTCCTTCTTGGTCAGGGACAGATCGGCAACACCAGCCTCGCCCTTCTTTCCAGCCACGCCAAGGGGAACCCACCAAGTGGTGGTGTCATCTTCGGGCTTGACATCGCCGGTAGACAGGAAACGAGACTGCTTGATGGCAATCTGTCCTGGCTTCTCTTCAACAGTCAGGACCGGGTGTCCAATTTTGGAAATCCAAGGATACATGATTTCGTTAATGTCCTTGCCGGAGGCCTCAGTCAGCGCATCCCAAAGGGCCTTGGTTTTGGCGTTGCCATAGGCGTGGGCCTTGAGGTAGTTGGAGACACCCTTGAGGAAAGTCTCAACTCCGAGATGGTTGGCAAGCATGCGGATGGCAGAGCATCCCTTGAGGTAGCTGATGTGATCAAAGATCTGGTTGACGTCGAGAGCGTCGCGGACAGGCACGTGGATGGAGTGACTGGCGCGAATACCGTCGAGGCGGAAGGCATTCTGCATGCCCTCGTTGACGAATTGAGACCAAACCTCCCACTCGGGGTGCAGGTGGTCGACGGCGTGCCATCCGACCCAGGTAGCGAAACCTTCATTGAGCCACAGCTCATCCCACCAGTCCATAGTGACCAGGTTGCCGAACCATTGGTGAGCAAGTTCGTGAGCAACGACGTAGGCGACAGAGTTTTTGAATCGGCTATCGGAAGTCTTCTCGTCAAAGAGGACCTGGGTGGTGCGGTAGGTAACGAGACCCCAGTTCTCCATGGCGCCGTGGGTGAACTCATGGACGGCAAGCAGATCGGACTTGGGCAGCGGGTAGTCAATGTCGAAGATCTCGGAGAAGTAGTCGATGATCTTGGGGGCGTGCTGGAGAGCCCAACGGCCCTGTTCCTTGAGACCACGGGTGGTGTAGACACGGACGGGAATCTGCTTTCCATTGTATCGGCGGTCGGTCAGCTGCTCGATGTACTCAAAGTCACCGACAGCCCATGCCAGGAGGTAGGAGCTCATAAGAGGAGAAGTCTCGAAAGACACAACGTGCCATCCTTCCTTGGACGGCTTGATCTCCTTGACCGGCATGTTGCTCAGGGCGACCTGGTCGACGGGAATCTCGACATCAAGGTCGTAGGTGGCTTTTAGGTTAGGCTCGTCGAAGCAGGGGAAAGCTCGACGGGCATCGCAAGATTCGAACTGGGTGCTGAGCATGTAGTGCCATTCGTCATCGTGGGGGACCGAGGCGGCGGGGGTTTCAGCGGGCCTGTATTTGCTGCGGTAGAAACCAGCCATCTCGTTGTTGATGATGCCTTCGAATTCGATGACGACGGAAGCCTTTTTGGAAACGGGGATCTCCTGGTCAAAGGCGATGGTGACACGCTGAGCCTTGCCGTCGTAGGAGACATTGGAGGACTCCCACTTCTGCTCAGACTTTGTGTGGTCGACCAGGACCTTGGCATTGTGTACTTTGAGCTCGAGGGAGTTGAGGACAACCTCTTTGGTAGGCTTGACGATTTCGGATTGGATGCTGTGACGGACATTGTGTCAACAGGCAATTGTAGAAAGGAGGATGAAGCTGTTGAAGCTACTGCAGCTGATGCTTTTTTACTTACGTCACAGTGCCCTTGTAGGTCCAAGCCTTGAAGTCGAGGTCGCGCAAGGACAGGACATAGTGGGAGGGCTTGATGTTATCGGGGAGAACGTCGCGGTCGGTCATTTTGTGCGGATTCGCAGCTCTGGCGTGTGCAGAGCAAGATCGAGAGGGTATCAAAGGAAGAAGACTGTATGGAGAGAGAGGAGGGGCAGCAGGTTAGCCTTATGAATGGAGCTTTGTTTGCACCAATTACCTAAGCAGTGCAGAGGCAAAGTGGTGAGATCTCGGTATAGGCAAGGTGCAGTGGATAGGAAGGGTCCGGAATAGGGAATAAGGACTGAAGTTGATTTGCAGAAGAGGCCTGGTCGGATTCGAACCTCCAATCCGAAATGAAGCTTGGCCGAGCTCTGCATTTTCGTGCTTTAGCGGCCACCTTGTTCCGCATTGAGCCGCTGGCCGTTGCGGGGCGCCGACGCTGGCGGGGCCACTGCTTCGGAGCTCGTTTTGCAAAAGTGCCGTGCAATGGTGACGATGCATTGAATTGGAAGGTGGAAGTAGATGTTGAAAAGGACAAGAACCAGAGCATTTCGGCTTCAGTTGTGCCTTTCCACCTTGTCTTGTTGCTTCGCCCCTTGTGCATCATTGAAGACACGAGCTGGGCAGCTTTCGATCCCCGGCGCCGTGGCTTGCCGCTAAGCCGTTGCATCGCTGCGATATAAAAGACTTGGAGAGCAGGCTGTAGCGCCAGGAATGGACCCAATCAAACGATGGAAGCAGAAGAATATGGGCGTGAATAATGCAAACATGGTTGCGATTATTCGATGAGAGATGAGGCAGGAATGGAAGAAGATACATGACATGGAATGAAACGATTGATATGAGGAGAGCAGAAGAGAGATGATGAAGAAAGAAAGGTAGCAGACATACCTCCGAATACCAGGAGATGAAGACGACCAAGATGAATAAGAAGACGACAAAGAGGACATGGGCCGAGACACAGACCGAGAGGATGTTGACAGTGACAACCCAGGCCACAAGGCTGAAGACAAAGACGGACCCCAAGACCCGTGAAACCGTCGAGTCTGATACTGCAAAGCCGCCGCTCCTCGTCCCAGCCCAACCACTCCCGCCGTGCCACCAATCTGTGGCCTCCCACAACTCCATGCAGCTACCGACGCATCATCAGCAGCGAACCGTAAACTCGGCGTCGGCTTCGGCGCAGCAAGCACCAGCCGCCTCGTCACCCACCCGCTCATGACCGATGGGGAGAAAAAATTCTTGTCCAGGAAAAAGACCAAAAAAAAAAAAAACTCTTTTTTAACTCATGACAAAGGTGGAAATAACAAAATAGTATCAAATCCCAGTAAATAGGAAGATGGCTGAAAGGACAGAAAACCCAATCAAGCAGTTAATCTTCCTTGTGAGAGCCTATCATACAAAAGAAAATAGGTACTTAGTAGAGCTCGGGTTAAGATAAAAGTTGAAAGTTGAAAAAAGCACCAAATTCCCGCTCTCTGGCTCCACTCTTTTTGTTCAGTCTACAGTAACACCAGGCAATTCCTACCAATCAGCACCAAAGTCCCTCGCAAAACAGGCACTTTTGTAGCCCCAAGTCTGCCAATCGGATGATACATGGTATATAAATACCTAATATTAAAGAACCTTCTCATTAATCAGTTTCACCCTGTACGTAAAAAAATGAAAGAAAAGCATCCCCTAGTCCCCGCTTCGGCTTCGGCTCTCATCCGCAGTAGTACCTAGTACAAGCCGAGAGCCGAGATCAAAACGCAAAGTCCAACTACAAGCTTCAACATCACCAGGACAGAGAAGAAGAAATTTGTTTCTTCAAATCGTAGATTCTTATTCATATCTAGATCTAGAAAAAAAAAAAAAAAAAAACCAATTTAAAGAAAAAGAAACAAAAAGTGAAAAAAAAGACGCTGTCCTCTTAACAAGCATATACCTATATAAAACATAAAAAAAAAAGTCAAGAGGATCGCTCTCAAAAGACACCCAAATCAAAACCAAGTCAAATGAAAGAACAATGATACGCTCGAAAATAATAAACAGACAAGAGCCAATTGATGATGAAAAAGAGAAGGCCGCCATCAAAAGACGCTGCTGAGCACCAGCTCTACCCAGAATGACTCCCGTTCAATCAAAAAGATATTCACACACAAGCAAGTATAGCATAGAATGATAATGCAGTGCTTCCCGTAAAACGCCATGTTCTACTCAAGAGCCTCAATCTCCAAAAAATTCAACTAGGAAAAGGGGAAAGAACGGAGAGAGAACAAAGAGAGTATAAGAGAAGAATTTAAACAGAAGAAACAAGGCAGAGAGACCAGGCAAGCGTCCTAATTCGTCCATCTTCCACGGCAAGGCGAGATATGGCATAGCATTGGCATAGGTGACGATGCAATCTACGCGCTGGACTCTTCCTGCTGCACCTTGGCAGCAACAGCATCCCACCACTGGCTGTGAGCAGCTCGATCAACCGCCCCAACCTTGTCCAGCAAGTCAGACATCTGTCTAACATTCTCGACAAACTCGGACAAACCAAGGCTAGCAAGCTTCTCGCCCGCGGTGTTGGCAGCTTTGACCTTTTCGCTGGCCGATCCAGAAGCCAGACGGGCTAGGATGTTGCCTCGTAAACGTGTGAGGAGAAGACGCAAGACTGGGTCGCGTGGCTCTGTAGATCGGATAGCCATTTCCCGGCTCGCCGTCAACACCTTGGTCACCAGAGCACGCAAGTGAGTCTTGGTAGGAAGAGGCATGGAACGGCCCGCCTCCAGAGCAGCCATGACGCCGTCAACTGCTGTATCTACCGAAGCGTGATTGGCCTCGAGGACGGCCATGACGCGTGCCGCTTCAGTCTTCCACGCTGAGCGTACATCTCGCTTCATGAGATTCTTGCATTGCAGCAGCACGGCGCCCGCAGTGATGATTCGTTGGATCATGGCCGACACCTGGTTGATGCGTGCCTGGTCAAGACGGAGCATCTCGGGAATCTGGTCGGCGCCAACAGGGGTAGGCTGTGTAAAGACATCCACAAGCATCTGCGCATAAATCTTGGAGGCAGTTGGTCGTGACTTGGGGTGGTTAATGTTCTCAACGTCTCGTTTCTGAACCTCGGCCATGACCTTGGCCCTTGCCGATCGCCATGCTGCTTCGGCAGCAGGCAGGTCTTCCTGCTTGTCTTCAAACTCCTCAGCAAATCGTTTCGACTCATACGTAGCAGCTGACTCTATTAGTGAGGGAGCCGCCGCCTTGAGTAGGTAATTAATGTAGTCGCAAAGCAAGACGTCGACGAAATGATCCAGAGCCTCAATCTTGTCAATCACGCTGCCGTCGCTCAGTCTGTTTTGGATCAAGTCTTTGAGCTGGTCATCTCGGAACGGCGCACAGAGCTTGGGCAGAAGAGACGCCATGGCTGAGAAGAATCTTTCGTATGAAAAGCTCCCCATTTCAAATTGCTTGTGCGCAATTTCGACATCCAGGATTTCGCCAATCAGATTGTACATGGGGTTACCCTCCTTCAAGGGACGTTGGAGCCTGTCCTTGATGTGGCCAGCCCTCAGCATGAACAAGCGGAAATTCGCTTCCTTCGGGGCATCGTCCATGGCCGCCCTCATATGAGCGTACAGTGGTCGTGAGACGACGGCCTGTTTCTCCACGTACTCTTCAGCCGGAATTTGGTATCGCTTGTTAATGGCCAGCTCGTGAACAATAATGCGGTTGTCTGGAATCAGTCCGTTGAGGCCCGTCTTGGTAGTTGCTGTTTTAGCCTGGCTCTTGCTAGCGGGCGTTGACGGAGGAGTAAGCATCTGCGAATCCGACGAAACAAAGTTGCTAGCCGTTGCTTGAGCATCCCCAGAGGCACTTTCGCTGTCGGCAACTCGGGGCTTGGTATCACCAAGTTTCTTGACCCTACGTGATTTTCTGGCTTCGCTTATAGCCTGGAAGATCATCTTCCTTCCCTTCTCAGCACCTGCCAACTGCTTTATCCTAACAATGAGCATAAGCTGACTATCTTGAATGCTTTGTTGATAGAGCGCCGCGGCCGCTTCATCCGACGTCTCTTTGACAGTGTGGAAGATGGCATCTAATTCCACAATCTGCATCAACATGACCTCGATGAGGGCGTCCGAATCTCTTGACTTCCAAGCTATAAATGCATTGTAGAACGCCGAGTATGCCTGTGGAAAGGTCGTCTGCAGTGAAGGAGGCATGGTGTACCGGTTAGCTGGCGTCAGCCAAGCCAAAATATTTTCAAAGGAGATCAAGACATCCTTTGCCTTGTCGACTAGGTCCTGTAGCTGAGGGTTATTCAAGTCTGCCGCAGGCAGTCGATGGCCGGCAAACAGCGCTTCCTCATCTCTAGCTTCGGCCCCCTCATCGACGTTGTTTAGCACCTGGTCAGGATGTCCAAGAATGAGAAATGCGCTCAAGAAAGTGCGAACCGCAGCCATCTCCTCGACAGAGCCTGGCTCGCCCTCTTGGAGGCCACAAATCCTCAGAAGCTGGGATGTGATGAGCACAACGTGTGGCTGAGCCAATAGGCTAACAACGGCGTCAAAGGATGTATCGCGTATCCCATCAACACTGAGGCCGAGAGCATAAAACTGCTGGATAGTCTTCCTTCTCGCACACCCGCGCCACCAGGTCTGGATCTTATTGGCCGCCTCATCTTCACTCAACACCGGACGCAAAGCCACGTCCTTTGCAAGAGGTAGTGCCTCGGCAGAGGACTTCTTGGCAACGACACTCTGGCCCCTGGCGCGCTTCACTGCAGACTTGTTGAGAAGCTCCTCTCGTCGTTTCTGCGCTTCGGCCATGCGCTCCTCCATCTGCGCCTTCATCTTTGCAATTTCCTGCTCGCGACGCTCCTTGGTTGACTCGGCAACCAGCTTGGCCTTTTTGACTTCTTCGGCACAGTTGGCCACAATCTCGGCCAAGTTGCGCTGCCGGGCCTGTTGCGCCGCCAAGGCACGCTCCTCTCTGGCAGTCTGTCCTCGGGGAGCCGCTTTTGCCATGGCAGCCCTCAACCGAACCTTTTCGGCATGAGCAGCCCTGTCAGCCAGCCGGGCGCGGCGGTCCTCTAGGAAGTTTGTGCGTCGGACGTGCTGTGCATTGTATTTGCTGCTGTCGCTATTGCGGCGGCTGGTGGGCTGGATGGATGAGCAGCGAGAGTGGGCGGAAGACATGGAGTTGCGGCGCGATGAGGCCGCCGAATCCCTGCGGCGTATTTGTGAGGGTCGGTAGAAGCGGGCGGCGATTCGCGGCGGAGGCGTAAAGATGCGTCTTTCGCTGTCCTGCATGTCTTCTTCCACGGATGGCATGCCGAGATCAAAGTCCATGTCTATGCCCAGGCCCAGGTCGTCGTCTGAGAATGCGCAGTCGGAGTCTTCATAGTGGTCCACGGGGTCCGTCAGGTCCACGGATGAGCGACGCGCGGCATCTGCCTCGCTGGTTTCAGCCATGGTGAGAGTTGTAGTCGCGACCGTAGGGCGATGTTGGTTGCCAGTTCCGGCGGGACAGCCGGCAGTGTCTTTATAACAAAATACGAAACCAGCAGGCGTCGTCTGCAGGGGAATCGAGGCCAATCCCTCTAGGCCACCGCCAGTTTGACAAGTGTGTAGACAAGGTAGGGTTAGATCCGATAACCAAGTATCCGCGGCGTGGTTCTTGAATTTCGTCGGACAAGGCAGCGATATAGAGAGTGTGAGGTGGTGCGCCGCTTCGTCCTGGTGCAAACAACGAAAATCCCAATAACTGCCCTTTTACCAGGCAATGGTACTAAGAGAAAAAAAAACCAAGGTGTGGCTTGTGCCGAAGGAGGAAAACAATATCAACAGGAGGGAACAGCCAGCGACAGACAGAGGCCTCGCTGCGCAGAGACGCGATGTGGTATTAGAGGGAAGATGCCGTCAGAAAGGCCCCGGTCCGAGTTTCACGAGCTCTGCATGCATACGAGGCTGGTTTCGAAGGAGGAATCGCCAGAGCAGGGTGGTGAATCAGCGATGACGGATGACTGATCCGGATTTACAGAAGGGGAAAGGCGGTGTCGGGGCGGTGGCGGAGGGGCGGTACCGGTACCTGGGCGTTGCGGCGTTAGCAGTGCCTGTAGCGCCACGGATTGACTGGAGCTGCTGCAGGTCATCTACAATTATCCATGCGACAGAAGCAAGAAGCTGAGATGCCTGTAGATGTAGGGACGTTTTCCAGATCTCTCCAGATTTCATTCTACCTAATGTGCCTTGCATTTATTTCTTGTGTATTTTTTTGCTAATGATCAAGCAGCTCACATTGAACTACCCTAAGGGTATCAGTGATCAGAAGCGGCATCATTCAATCTCAGCTCAGCCCAGGCCAGCAAGCAGCATTCAAAGTACCGGTACCTGCACGCTGAACGTCATCTGCGCAGGCAAAGAGGTCATGCAAGTGTATCGAGTCAGCTCCAGGGCAGCTCTCGACTGCCTAATTGGCCTCTTGTTAATCCATGCCAAAACGACGGGCGCCTAATAGGCATTCACTCGTGCTTCACGAAATGCGAATTAGGTAGCAGTATTTGAGATCCGAGACAGCGATTGCTTTCTTCTCAACCGTGATCAATACTCATCGACTGCTGTAGTGTCGCAAACAGTACCTATGCCTGTACCAGTACCTCATCTCAATCCCCCCGTGCGCAAAATAAACAGCGGGGGTGTTAATATGAGACGCCCACCGATTGATTGGCAATCAACCTTCCATTCCTTTCCACGCCAGCCACGCCCAGCATTTCCTCTGATCAAGTCAAGAATCGGCCTACCAGGTTTCAGACCAGAGGATTATCATATCATGAGACTGTTCATCTTCCATAGAAGGAGCTAGCATCTGTTTCTCCAGCCCCCTATACGCATCTACCGAGGAGTACTTGTCTATATACTTGGGCGTGCCAATTTCAATCTCAACCCCCATTTCTATTAATAGCACCGCCGTTCCGAATCTCAAATCCACATTCAAACCTTCTGCTGCTATGGGGCACGGCAGAAAAAGAAGAATGGAACAACAACAAAGGGGCAACCTAATGGTCGGTACATCTATACAAGATTTAGTTGCCTGGTCAGGCAACAGACTCGGCACTGCATGCTACTCTCTTTAAACGCGCGCTCAGGCCGCTGCCCACGTTATGCGGGCAACACACACGCAGGCATTGATGATATCAGATGGACCCCTGCCCTGAATCGGCGCCGAGAAGAAGAAAAAGACTCCGGAAACCCCGTGCTCGAATCAAAGCACCAGCCCAACATACAGCACTGAAATCGAATATACCAGTAACCCAGTGCTACCATTCATGCAGCATACATCCATCCCAATTGTCAGAGCACACGTACCTTTTCATCCCATATCCGTTCCACAGCGCCACTTTCGCCCTTTTTTTCCCCGCGTAAAACGCCGCAAGACACAGAGGCATGCATGCATATGCACGTCTTTCTTTTTCGTGTCTCAGGCCATCTCCATCAAAACCTTCATGCACGTAACAGCCCCGACTTTTTTTCTTTACCCATCCCTGGAAAGCTCGGGGGGGGGGTTGGACTCCTTGTGTCTCAGTGTCATGCACGTCATGTTTCTACTTTGCTTACATTGTGTTCCTAAATTTCTTGTCAAAGCGATGATAAGACTATGTAGCGTAAAGTTTTACATTCGATAGATGTGTGAAATGTGAAATAGATGATTGACTATTCACTATTTAAGCCGCCGGTAGAAATAGAATAAATATGACTATTGCAATAAGATGTATTTATAAAACGCACATCACTTTTTACACAGCAAAATAGAGTAAACAATCAAATGTAACACACTTATTCAGTCCCCCATTCGGGTTCACCATCTTTCAAGCAAAGATGTATATATAATATATAATATGTACATATACTCCGTAGTTTGTGTGCGTGTTCGTATCTTCTGTGTTGTGTTGCGTGTGTTTTACCAAAAAAAAAACCATAACCATACCATCGTATTTCCCTTCCATTCGAACCATTTACGCTTCCTGTTGATCCGCGTAATGCATTACTCTTCCATAAAAAAGAAGCAGAATAAAAAAAAAACAGAATGGTACTGATAAGAAGAAGAAGAAGAAAATCAAATCCGTGCCAACGCCTGTCCCTTGCTGTGCCTGCTAAATCTTTTTTGCTTTGCTTCTGCTCTGCTCTGCTCTGCTTCCTCACTAATGCTTTGGGAAAAAAGCTCTCCCCCCTCCCTAAATAGTTGTTTTGACCCGCAGGCCAAGATGCATTCTAAAAAGTTACTTGTGGAAAAGAATATAAAAAAAAATTGAAGAGTGGAAAAGGAAAATGGTTCAATCATGCGAATTGGTAGCTCTCGCTGTGGTGTCTTCTGCCGTCAGGCCCTGCTCTCCCCTTTTCGTGCAGTCGGTTGACCCATTCTAGGACCGTCTCGTAACACAGCACATATTGCTGTAGGCTCTGAACCATGCTGATTCTCTGCTCGCGGAAGTCTTCTACCGTCTTTTGGATCAAGTCGAGCGAATCGTCTTGCATCCAAGACAGGTCGAGGGTTGGGTGCACCTCAATCTGCCTCTCTTCAAACCTTGGTTGGTGGTCCAGATCGAACTTGAAGCTCATCTGCCTATTCGTCATGGGGGAAATGGCATCATCCAAATCCATCAGCATGTCGGCTGTCGGCGCTTGCACTTGTGGCTGTCCTCCTCCCGGCATGTGGGAAAGTCGTTGGCGTTTCATCATGTCAATCACACTGTCGACAGTGCAGAAAGCGCCTGTCCGGCCACATCCCGCAGAGCAATGGACCAGCATGGGACGACTTGCGCTATCAGCCTCGGGCTCGTCATACCAAGTAATCGGCGCAAGGCCATTAGGAATCTTGCTGGATCCCATAATCGAAGCTGTCTCAACGGGAAGAGCCGCCCGCTGCATGACGTTGGCGAGCTCCACCAAAGCAAGGAGGTGAGATGGCTGAGCTGGTGTTCCAAAGTCGGGCCATGAAGAGAAATGCAGATGCGTAATCTCCCTCATAGGTGCAAAGGGGTGGGCAGAATGACTGAGTGCAAACTTCCGAACGGTGACAAACGTGTCAGGCTGCGCTGGAGCAGGATTCGTCGCAGGCGCCTCGAGAGTGGTGGTGGTGTTTGCTCGTTTTCGGCTAGCCTCACCCGATGGCATCGTGTTTTGTGTCGTTGCAGTATTAGACTTATACTTATCAAGGTCGAGAGACGCCTTCTTCTCTGACATCTTTCTCAGCTGAATGGGGCCGAATTCTCGATCATTCCAGTATGTGTGGCACTTCAATTGGCCACCTTCAGATTCGGCTGTCAACATGATGATGACACGCACGTCTTGTTCCCAGACAACCGACCAGAAATCCTAGTGAGGTACAACAGGTTAGCTACTACGAACAATCTTTTTTATCCCATTCCTACAAGATGATGCACTACGCTCTAATACTTACCTCAAACGTGGCGGGCAGAGGACCCTGGCTTGCAATATATCTCTTGTTGCTTCTGGATGCGGTAAGATGACTGGCGTTGATGTAGTCACAAGATCCCTCGGGCTTGTTCTGGAGCTTGACGCGGGCATGTTCAAAGGGGAGAATGTCCTTGTAGCGGTTCTTGCCGCCCTTTTCAACACCGCAAAGCTGGACTCTGCCGTTCATGGCGGGATTGTGGGACGGATTGTTCTCATTGAACGCAGCATACGCATTCTGCATTCGAGTCTTTTCATCCTGCTCAATCCGCAAAAATCGATCCGACACCTTCTTGCCATGGTCTGGTTGGTCTGCGGCATCGCGAAGCCACTGAGGAAGCTCCCCTGGCTCAAGCCCCTGTGGCCAAGAGACGTCACGCTGGCCTACACCGTCTGCAAGATCCATATTCTGGCGAATATTGGAAAAGAAAGGGTTCTTGGTCGTAGGAAGCATGACGCCGCCAATCACAGGGGCAAGACCGCCGCCAATGGGACCGGGCCCGCCGTTTGATTTCGATGAGTCGCTTGATGAATTGTCGATCATATCGGGATTTGTGTCCAGCAGTCCCTGGAAGCCACCCCTGAGGATGCCCGTCTCCCCCAAGAAGCCCTCATTGGTGAATTTTTTAATCATATTCTGGGCGGCGACCGTATCGCGGTTATCTGATGAACGGGCATCATAAACGATAATCCAGGATGCGTCACGCCAGGTGCTAAACTTTTCTCCTGCGGCGTCGTTGTTTTGGAACGTCTGCTGCAACTTTTCGGTGTTGTACGTCGCTCGCTTCAACAGAGTGGTGGGTATACATAGGTTAAGCGCTCCCCTAATTCGAGAGGCAGCGTAGTTTGCAGAAGAGCGTATATCGAGCAGTAAAACGCCGTCGTCGTCTTCCTTTTTGATAAGCTCTTTGAGAGCAGCGGCACTAATCATGGACGGCTGTCCGGGCTCCAGCTTGGTAGGCATGGTGACTGATCTCCGGATCTCCGACATCTGGGGTGAAGGAGGCTCGGGTCGGTGCTCCATTACAGACAATCGAGGATCTCTATCCTCAGCTCGGGTCAATGTCGTCCGGCTTTGGGCAGGGTCCATGGGTCGCGGGGACTCAAACCTCGGGATGCTACCTGAGAACTGCAGGGTGGGCAAGGATGCTTCAGAGTTCCGCTTCGACTCAGATGACATGTAGGCAGAGTCCTGGAGGCTAACCTGGTCAATATCCATGCGGCTAGGTGGTTGATCTCTGGCAGAGCTCAGAGCTCGAGGAAACGAGCTTTCAGAGCCCGTATCGCTAGCATGCGTGTGCCATCTAGGTGCGTGTGGGCGTTTGGGAGCTGAGGGCTGGATGTAGTGAGAAGTCGACAGGGCAAACGAGGCTCCCCTGTTCAAGTCAACCTGCCGTCTAAACGCCTCGTATTCTTCAAACCCCGGGTTGGACTCGAGGGTGATTGACTTGGGAAGAGCAGCCGCAAAGGACTTGACCGAAGACGATGCCGGGCTCCAGTTGTTGTTCCCCAGGCCAGAGGATTCCCGGGGATCGTGGGCAGAGTCGTTGTTGACAACCAGGCCAAAGTAGTTGGGACTTGATGGGCGTATCTCAGGTCGATGCGGGGACAGCTTGGGCGGGTGGTTCTGGCCAACGGAATAGGGAGACGAGATGGGCGTCGTCGACATGCCCCCATTCATGCCCGCGCGAGATGACAGCGAGAGGGAATGTGAGTGAGAAGTGATGGGAGCGTTAGTCTTTAGTGTGTAGTGGACAGGCGTCCTGTCGCCAGCTCGAGAGTCATGCATGGCCTGGGCCTGATGGTCAAGTGGAGGCGTCGATAGCATCTACGATGGCGGTCATCGGCAGCTCAAGAGGGCTTCGAGCCAGGTGGATGCCGTGAGGTGAAAGCGAGGCAGAACAAAGCGATGATGAATGATTTTAACAGAGGAGTTTGGAGCGCTTTTCTCTTCGTGGTGCCCCAGCGTCCCCGTAAATGGCGTCAAAAGTCAGCTAGCTCAGGGCCGGTACTGCTCCGAGTCGTTTGCTGCAGTAATGTCGAGTGGAATCTGGAAGATGGATGAAGACTGATGAGTGGCAATCGTAGATCCGCGGTGGCTCTTTAAATCGAACGTGGTGGCAACAGAGCCGAAATGAGGGTAATAGAAGAAGGATGTGGCGCCGGTGTCTATAAACAGATGTGCGAGCACCCAGGGTGGTGAAAGAGGAGCAGCAATGATGACGAGCTGAGATAATGGCCGTCTGCCGCAGGATCTAGATGGTGGCCGGCAAGACAAGAAGAAGCAGATTGACAAGACAAGGTAAAAGGGGGGGTCTTGGAGAAGAGAACAGAACGATGCTTTGCATATGAGGCGGGAAAAGATGGAGCAGAACCGAAAACAAGAAAGAAGAGTGAAGCCGGGAGAAGGCCCAGAACTTGGTTTGAGCGGCTGCCAGTCCGTCTCGGCAGATGCGTCGTGGGCAGAGAGAGATTGGATGAAGGGGGCAAAAGAACGACTCTGGAGCTGCTCGTGTTGCAGAGCCCTTCAGGTGCTTCTGGATGGACCCAACGTGCTGGTGAGGATCCCACCCCGGGGGCTTTTTCGTCAAGATTAGCGCGCAGAAAAGAAGGGGTTTTCACCATGAGAGAGGGTGAGGGTGGGTGTGGGATTTGGGGCGGGCGGTGGGAAAAAGGGAGACGAGACAGCCAGATGCTTGCTGGTTGCTAGCACGAGTACCGGCGAGTACACGCCGCAGAAGCAACTGGACAGAGGGCCTGGGAATGTGTGTGGGAGGGCGACAGGGGCCGTCGAGGTACTGCAAGGTACCGCGGCGCAGAGGAGACGGGCGACGGTGCAGCGCTGGTACGTGGCGGTACTTGATGAGGAGTGGATGCACCGACTCATCTAGTGTGTCTACACGGCGCTGGTATGATTCTGATGATGATGGATGATGATGTTGACGAGGATTGCTGCAAAAGTGGCAGCACGGAACAAGCAGAATGTGAGCAGAGGCTGAAGGGTTTTGCGGGCCTCGTCTGCACTACGCAAGGCGTGGCAACGGCCTGGTGCTGCCACTTCCAGCGCTCCAGCGCTCCAGCACTCGTCAGTTACAGTACGTGGCAGAAGCTGCAGAGGTACATCGAGGTACCTGAGCCCCCAGGATGACGGCGGTGGTCCGGGGCTGGAAGAGAAGAGTCGCTGGACGCTGATCGCGTGCGGTAGGGATCGTCGCTGGCGGAGAGCACAGAAGGGTCTGGGCCGTGGTTGTGGTTTTGCAATCCGGTTTACAAGGACAGGATCCGCGAGATGGGGGGGGTCGCATTAACCTGACCTGACCTGTTACCTGGCAGCATTCAATATTGTTTGCTCTCATGGTACATACAAGAATCCATGTTGAGAGAAGACATGGACGCTGGGCTCTCCATTTTTCTTCCATCTTTTTCTTTCTTCAGAACATGTCTTACAGCATGGCATTACAAGATTTGTTCTTGAAGCTCCTCTGTGTCTTTCTGTAACAGAACATGACGCTCAAGAGAGTTACCGAGAGAACGATACCGTTTACCTATTTGCGTTAACCGCAGCCTCGATAGAAATCAATCTCATCGACCCATCCATTCCGATACGGGCGCCTCCTCCGTCCGTTAGCCAGTTCCCCCGTCAATGAGACGGCAGCAGCGTCAAGCATCTCGAAAAAAGAACAAAACGCTGCAGCCACCGTCTCGCTACAGTACGGTACAGGCACACGCGGAAAAAAGCTCCCAGGCCCTCGTCTACCGTCCAAAGTTCCCAAAAAGAAAGGGCCCCACCACCATCGTCATTGCGGCGCCAAAAGCCCAAGAATCCCCGCTAAGACTCCCCCCCATAAGGTCCCCGTAAAAAAAAGCGCCCCCCCAATCCACAGCGCCAGGGCCAACCAGAGCGCGGGTGGCGCTGCCGCAAAACGTCACCGGCCCCTTTGAGTCTTGGTCGCTGGGAGTCTAGACTTTGGCAGCCCCAAAAGAAAAAGCGGCTCCGCGATACTCCGTGTCTCTGCATCCCTGTCACGTTGTACCGCTGTGTATACGCTTGCGATGCTTTGACGTCCAATGCATTTCTTTTTTCGGTAGTCTAGCTGTTCCCCCGTGGATCTTCATCGTTGCTTCAGAATGGCACAAGGCATTGCTGGCTCAACGGACGTTTTCATCCGGGAATTGCTTCAGGAGCAGGGCCTTGGTTGTAATTCATTGCGAGCCTCCACGCATACTAACTCGTAGATCCATTTCATCCAACCACCAAAGCTCTTTATCTCCACTGCCCTCCATCGTAACCAGCACACCGAAAGAGCACGAAAAAGCAAGTGCTGCAGCTAAGCATCCCGTACTCGTGCTACGATTACTCTCGTCCAGGGCTAGCGATTGATAATCGTGGACTAGAATTTCCGCTCCATCCATCCACCAGCGGGTGCCTGCCGCGGAAGCTTGATTTGATTCTCTGTGCCAATCCAATGCTCTGCAGCTGCAAATTGCCGGCTCGTCACGCTCACCTCATACACGCACAGAAGCAGAAGCGAATTGTCATGTCGCACAGGAAAAGGAAAACTAAACACGCGCGCTCTCGCCCTGCTGTGCTGTTGCTGCTCCCGTTCCCTGCACTGCACTGTATTGTAGCTTATGAAGCAGAAGCACCATGAATTTAGCACCCAGCAGGCCCGGCCACGTTATTGCGCGGTACCTCGCTGTACTTTTGCCCGCGCTGTTCCCAATTCCCTCCTCTCCTCCAAGACAAAGGCGCCAAGGCGAGCGGCCAGCTGAGATTTAAAAACGGGGGTACAGCAAAAGGGCAGCTCTCCTTTGGGGTATGACGTAGCTGTCTCAAAACGGCATAACGGCTGTAAGCGGCGCTCTGTCCGCCTTCCTAAACGGTGCCTGCTAAGAAGAGAGGCATCCTCAATGGAAATAGAAAAGCAGACCACGATGCCAGAGTCTGCCAAATTACTGCTGGGCGCAGCACAAGTGGAAATGCATAGCCGCAGGGAAAGGGGGCCGTCGAGACGGTCATGGACAGGTACGAGTGTCAAACCACCGCTGCAAGTAGACTATCGATAGCAGTAGCATGAATATCCATGCACCCGCTATGGAGAACTAAACACACACGAAAAAGCTACACACCACACCCTCCATGTTGACTCTCTCCCTTTGGCAGGCCTCGATCTGTAAGGCCTTGTCTTGTGCGGAGTGTTCGGAGCGGTACGGAGTCCTTCGATGCCATTGACAGCTCCAGACCACTGCCGTTGCTCCTTCTCCCGCCTCTTGCGTTCCAGACTCGTCCATCCGAATCATTCGGCGTCGTATGCCGATTCCTGTGAGCACGGAACTTGAACCCATCTCGCCGCTCATCTCAATCTTACACCGGATGACAAGGCCAGCTGCCCACTGGGTTTTTTACAGTAATTACTAGACTTCGCCCAAATGCCCTCACGACCAGTCAAGAGTTGCCAGTTTTCGTGTGCCCCTGCTCGAGGGCCCCTCATGTGCCGTCCACCAAGACTAAGGATGCATTGCTGAGATGACCCCAGCAGAGCTTCGGAGCGTGGCTAACCTTTTGCAAAGTGCTGTAGCCTCAGGTGTCACAGCATCCCTCCTACTGTATAGCCAGAATTAAAGTCTCCGAAGAGGCAAGGTCAGCAGTCCATGTATGTAATGGTACCACGTCCAGCTTCTACACGATAACAGCTCATCGCCTATGAAACCTCAAATTACGAAGCAAAGGCAAGTCCCATAGTTCAGGAACGTCGTGCATAGCCTCATCTCTCTAGTAGCGGTAAGAGCGGGTAAAACGGGCACCCGGAACCATGGTCAATGTGTCTCAAAAACTGCATCTTTTTGCTATCAAGTAGACGCATAACGAAAAGATATTCCGAATCTTCATTCCACGATTCATTGGTCCTACTACTGTCATTAGTCCTTTCCAATACTATTGGAATTAGTAGTTAGTATCAGCAAGGGGTGTGAACCCGAGATTTTCTCTCAATTTTGCTTTCCTGGCCTTCTGGCCCTGCTTCAGCCTGGCCCGATTCCCGAGTCACGCAATCTCTGTCGGGTCACGCAATCGCCAAAACACCTTTTCTTCCCCACAACGTCTCGTGAGGTCTGGGTACACGCGAGCAGCGATCCCAGCGGGATTGGGATACAAAATCCTGTCTTTGGGGGTTCTAGGCCCTCTGAAGATCCGAGACCGCGAAAAACCCGAGGCCTCGTCTGTAGAAGCCTGAGACTTGAGTGCATTTTCATTTTTCAAGATTCTTGCAAGGCTGACCTCAGCTTTTCGAGGCACTACCGATGTGATTTCAAGCCTTCACTAACATCTTATTCATTCCCGCCGTGCAGGGCACAGTGATTGGCCTGTGGTCACTGGATCCGATCCGTGTTAGCGGACTTTATCAAAATAACGTGGCAGCACCAGCAAAGCAGCACGTTCTTTTTTTCTCTAGACGCACAGAGCCACTTGGACTAACAATAAGCACCCACGTATTCCCGCTAAAAAGGCAGCGGTTAGATGCATCACTGTGCTTGAGGGGGAGGGGCCAAATAACGCACGCTGCTGCCCTGCCCTGTTGCTGACGGTTCTCTCTGGTAGGAGGTAGTATTCGAGAGTTGGCTTTGGGATATCTCAGAGAAACTCGGCTCCACAAGTTATTCTCAATACGTTGGATATTGGGTATATCGACCCTTTGTGGCAAAGTTGCCACAGCACTTGGCATGATGCCCGTCAATACGACTTAATACATGTACACATCACCATGAGCATCACGCACGCCCCATATACCGGTCTCCAGAAAAACGGAGAAGTGGGGTGACTCCGGGCAACTGTGGCTTACTGTAATGAATTTACCTCATCCGTGCTGTTCTCAACTGATTTCTAGCTTCGGATACTTGCTCGTAGCCTGCAAATATCATATTAGTGCAGTATTTCGTATATCCTCATCTTTGTTAAATACACAATCTTACTCAAAAGGAATTGATTATCAAGACAACACATCTTCAAGGCCCACAAAAGCTGTTGAAAAAATATAATTGAGGCTTCTAAAATAAGAGCAGTCTCCACGCCTCGGCTACATCGTGCCTTGCATATCGTTATTAAACATGTCGTAGCTCAAAATCCGATGATGTCTATGCCATATCAACTGACATGCTCCTTTCATTGAGATCTGCCACACGGATCAGCGGAAGTCGAGGCTGTGTCTGGGACAAAACGGTAGATCACTTGTAGCGGGCGATCATGGAGAATTTTCGTGTTGCGTCTGAGCAGTACGGATCGGACCGAGTACATTAAATGCGCTTGTTTTCATGGAACCAGATTGGTTGTCCAGAGTCCGAATTAAAGTGTTGGACTTTTGTTTTACTGATTTACCCTATACTTTTTTGGCCCAAGCTGCTAATTTAGGAACGGATGCCTTATAAGTCTCGGCATTGTATAATTGCTATTTTCCCTCATCTTCAATAGCTGTAGGTTCTCTTTCACATACTGCAACTGCAGATCTTTCATCCGTCGAAATGGAATGCTACCCCAATTCCCCAAATATTTCACACACCAATCTGATAAGATAGGCAAACAACATACATACATAGTATATCATCTGCCTATCAAATCTCCCCCCAATTCCCTATGCCGCCAAAACCCGCCAGGGCGCGCCCTATTTACAAGTACACTCTTTCTTCGTCTTCTACACGCGTATAGCCCAAACACAGTACGCCGTTAACAGATAACGAACCCCCTTTCCCTAGTTTTGCCCCAGAAAAAAAAAACCATTCAGATAAAGCCGTTTTGGCGCGAAAAGAACCAATTTTGCGGAGGCGCCAAATCCCCGCAATGTAAGAGCTTGTGGTTCTACTTAGTCATCGCCCGATTGTATGAGGGTATATGGAGAGGGGGGGAGTTGAGGTGCGGTTTGTTGGAATAAGGGCGCGATAATTGGGCTTTTATGAGAATTGAAGTTTCCATTCCCAAGCTTCTTTGTAAAGATCTGTAAACATCGTGAAGACTACGGTAGAACAAGGCCATACCCGGTAACAGCCAGTCTGAGATTCAATGTAAGTTGCTGTACACGAACCTCTCTCTCTTCCCCTATCAAAACACTGATACGACAAAAGCCTCAGCCTCATCCTCACCTTCAAAAAGTGTTCAAAGGGAACTAATAGAGTAAAGAACACTTCAATCATGTCTCAATCCCCAGAAGACCGCCTCAAGGCCCGCAAGCCCGTTCCCACGCCCGTCCCGGCATATCTCCCAACTGCCGGATCTCCCTTGAGCGTTGACAAGCATCTCTACGCTGCCATTCAGCAGGCCCCGCGAGTTCTCGTGGAGGAGTTCACCGTGCCCATTCGATCAGGCAGGGCTTGGGAGGCACCGGCCGGGTCGATTATCGAGATAAGCACGCCCGAGGGACCGCAGGTTGGTAAGCTGCGTCATGTTGTTGCCCGTTGTCCTATATAGGCTTCACCCTCCGATATGGTTCCTTATACAAAAGGGATGATATGCACAGCTAACGCAACCCAAAAGGCGACCTCAACATCTGGAACCGCCACAACCCCCGCGAACGCTTCTGGGCGTCACGGACCAGACAACTCCATTCCACACACGTCACAACGCACGACCGCCTGTGGTCCAACCTCCCCTACATGCGGCCCCTCGTCACAATCATCTCCGACAGCCTCGCCTGGTACGGCAAGGACGAAAACGGCGGCCGCGTGCACGACCTGCTCGGAACACGCTGCGACCCGTACATCAACACCGTGCTGTCCGGATCGCAGTACGACTTCCACTGCCACTCCAACCTGAGCCGGGCCGTGGCCAAGTGGGGGCTGCGAGAGGATGACGTCCACGATGTGCTGAACTTGTTCCAGGTTACGGGGCTGGATGACAAGGGGCGGTACTTTATGAGTCCCTGTCCGGCGGAGAAGGGCGATTCGATTGAGTTTCTGGCGGAGCAGGATGTGCTCATGGCGTTGAGTATGTTTTGATATTCCACGTTTTGAAGTGCCATGACCACGTAGTAATGGATCCGAGGCGCTTTGCAAGCAGGGCATTTAGCTAACTGGATACTTTTTCCTAACAGGTACTTGTCCCGGCGGTGATCTCTCCCTCTGGGGCTTTGGAAGCGACAGCGAAAAGGAGATGATCAAGGTCTGCCGTCCCCTGCACGTCAAGGTATATCAGCTCCAGGACAAAGAGCTCTTGCAAAAGAGCGGGTGGAAGCCTGCGGAGACGGCGGGATATAAGGGTATGCATGGAGTCTTCTCTCCGGAAGGAGAGACCGCTCAGCGAAAATAGATGAAATTCGGAGGACGTGTGACCTAGAGTATATAGATGGCTGCTCTTCTTTCGTCTACTAGCACTAGAATAGTTGAAATATTGAGCGAGAGAATACAGATGCTCGTCTCTTGCCGGGCAGTATTGTACGATGCATTTTCATTATTCGTCTGGCACATGCCTAAAGATGTTGAAAGGGCGAATGGGAGCTGTGGGGTTAATACCCGAATAATGGTATAATTCAACTATCCTTACAACTCCAATTCCGTTACTGCCATTCTGTTCTATAAAACAAAACCGAGGTCGCGCGGCATACAATTTTTGTGTGTGTATTTTTGTATGTATTTGCTGAAGAAAACACGACCCAATTACTTCCATAGCTTGCCCAGGGAAACCTCCTTATCATCATGCTTGTTGAGAATCTTGGCCGTTGCCAGCTCAAAATCCTCTTGTGTGACGTGCACTCTCCTCTCACGGAGGGCGTACATGCCCGCTTCTGTGCACACACCCTTCAGCTCGGCTCCAGAGCAGCCATTCATCTTCTCTGCAATCTTGGTGAGGTTGATGCCTCTGGTCAAGTTCATCTTTCGGCTGTGGATTCGGAGAATGTCGGCTCGTGCCTCGATGCTAGGCGGGGGGAATTCGATCTTGCGGTCGATACGGCCGGGTCGCAGCAGAGCGGGGTCGAGAATGTCGAGACGATTCGTGGCCATGATGACCTTGATGTTCTTGGTGGGCTCGAAGCCATCCAGCTGGTTGAGCAGCTCCAACATGGTTCGCTGGACCTCGGAGTCGCCACCCGATGAGCCCTCAACTCGAGAGGAACCAATGCTGTCGATTTCATCCATGAAGATGATTGAGGGGGCATGCTCTCGGGCCATGATGAAGAGCTCTCGGACCATTCGGCTACCCTCACCAATGTATTTCTGCACCAGTTCTGAACCAGAGACTCTGATAAACTTGCAAGCTGTGTGGTGGGCTACAGCTCTGGCCAGCAGAGTCTTTCCTGTACCTGGGGGTCCGTATAGCAGGACACCCTTGGGCTGGGCAATGCCCAGAGATTCGAATAGCTCCGGGTGCTTCAGACCCAGCTCTATAACCTCCTTGATCTCCTTGATCTGCTGATCCAATCCACCAATCATGTCGTATGTGCTGTCGGGGACCTTTTCTACCATCATGAGCGATACCAGGGGATCGACCGATGACGGCAGCATCTTTTCCAATTTGTAGCTGTCTGACAGCAGTGTGACTCTCTTTCCGGGGGTAAGCTTGGCGATTTCGACATTGTCGGAGACATCGACAACTAGGGTGAGACGATAGTCAGTAGCTGCGGGCAGGTAGATACCTTATGGAGATGACGATGGTGATGACCAACCATATTTGCCTTCGGGATGTACCTTGACGAGAACCTTCTTGGTGCTCATCACTTTGACGACCTCTCCAACGTAGGATCCGGGCTGTTGTAGCAGGCCCAGCTCTTCTCTCAGTAACCGCACGCGGGAATTGTAGTCATTGCGTTGGGCCTCGAGACGGCGGAGGGCAGCTTGACCCTTGAGGATCTCTAGCTTCATCGCCTCGATCTTGTTGCGGTAGTACTCGTCGAGCGCCATCTTGGGCGGGCTCTCAGCGGGGCTGCAAAGGGAGGAGAAGGGAGAATCGATAGTGGTGCTTTGGGGGGATCTGCTGCGGCCGTGATATGCGTCGTCAAGATGTTAATCGTATAGAATGCTGAATGGCAGGGCGTTGCTGCTTAGTGTACAGACGAATTGGGGCCAAGTTGAAGCTGCGCAAGGCTACAGCTGGTGCTCGTAAGCCAGGCGGCCAGCAGGGCGGGCTGTCGTTGGGCAGCGGAATATCCATCTGCCGGGCTCCGCCCGGTCAGAGCTGAGCTGAGCGCTGCTCAAGCTAGCACCGTCCTAACATTGAAGCTTGCGCACCCAATCAAAAGCTAGAGAATGCCAAAGCGAGACTAGCTGAGTGAGGCATGCACGTCAAAAGCCACACCGTTTTAGCCCCAAGCCCAAGCGTCAGTGTGTCCCATATCGCGGGCGCATTTGCATGCTAATGTAAAGGTGTTTTGCGATTGTAGATGCAAGTTCCGCAGCTCTACCCACTCGAAGCCACTCTTTACCCAGATATCTACTGTTCACCGCTACCCAAAATCATCAAGACCTGCAAACAATTTTGAGCGCATAATGAATCCCCATCCTCGTAGTAACCATTAGGTAGCAACCGGCGCCTTATCCTAATCACCTCGTCCATCGTGCCACCGCCAAAGATAAGCACAATGACGTTGTCCACAGCCGCCAAGAGCAGGCCTTGCAGGTCACGAACTCGGAACTGATGATCATGCCAGGCGATAGGTCAAAAATGTCGTGAGCGCGGCCCGCCAGACGGTGAAGCGGCCCAAGGCTGCCCTATTTCTTCTTTGTTTTCGTTTTGCTTTTTTTTGACTCTTCCCCGGTCTTTGTTTTCTCGAGCCTTTCATTGTGACGAAGCAAGGGAGACGCCTGACGCATCTGCTGCATGCCATTTGATGCAAATAGCGGGCTGCGCGTGCTAGTTCATGTGTCATCTTGCAGCAGCTCAGCGCAACTCAGCGCAGCTCCTCCGCAAATAGCACGGCTGAGGCAGCAAAGAGACGCATTCGAAGTCGTCCAAGCCTTGGGCACCGGCGATATACAGAATATACAAGATATACAAGCCATCTGGGTCTATTGCTCGGTAGGCGCTGAGAAGCGACTTTTAGAGTTCCGCCGCTGGGTCGGTCTGGCAAGAGGTGGCCGAGCCTCAGCTACTAATATAGCTCCAGGCCTCATTAGCGCTGCCTGCTGCTGCTGCTGCTTCTACCTCTTCCTTTCTACATCACCACCACCAGATCTTCTTTGACCCTTCCACATCTTCTCTCCGCAACGTGTCTTCTCCCCCATGTCTCTGATGCTACAAATCCAAGCCACCATCATCGACACACACGCTCCCTGATCCCGTGTTCAGAACCTCTCCACTCTGCTAGAGCTCACTAGCCCCATCTATCTAGGCCGCTGGACGACAGGGATACCCTCGACGTCGGACGTTATCTCAGCCTTTTTTTTTCCCTTTTCTATTAGAGGCCTGCCTAGCTCTCGTCTAGCAGACGTGCGAAGCTCATCCTCAACTCCGTCGCGGCATCGTCGCTGCTTGCTTCGACCGCCATGGACCCCTCGCAGCAGGACAACGCGCCTCCCGCGCATCGCGCCAGCACGTCCTCTGGCATGATGTCACCCACAGATACACGAACGAACCCGCTGTCCAGACATTCGTCCATAATTGGCGAGAGCGTGCCAGAAAACTATCACTCGACAGACACCGTACGGCGGCGACCCGAGGGATATGGTAGGACAAGCGATACTGTCGTACCCAATAGATTCGGAGGTTGTAGATGCTAACCCGTCAAAGGCACCATCCAGGGGTCATCGAGCATCCGAAGCAGTCAAACCCTAGGCGAGCCTTCCATCGAGCGCCCACAGGCAGCGCGAAACATTCAGGCTGCTCCTGGCCGTTCAACGTCTGCTGCAGGTCCCGAAAGGAGTCAGTCTTACGCCCGCCTCCGAAAGCCGCCATTGTCGCGGCGCACCTCAACGAACACACCACACAAAGGCGCAGTGTTTTCTGCAGATGACGACGCCTACGAAGTCCAGGCAGACGCCGCCGAACGTCGCGCTGGCCTATCGACGCGCCGACGCCAGCCACCTCCCTTGGGACTCACTCGCATCCAGTCGTATCGCAGTGGTGAAGAGGAGCAAGAATCCGAACAAGACGACGAAAATAGTGTAGCGGGAGAAGAACACGAAGAGGAGGAGGAGCTACCGTTGGACGAGCATGTTGATTGCGAATCCGAAGGTGAAATTAGCGAAGCCGAAAGCTTCACCCTCAAAGACAGACAACAGGCCATTAACCAAACACACCCGTTTGGTATTCGAGTCTGGAAGCCTGCGTTGTACAAGAAAGACCGATCGATCCAAAAGTTTGCTCAGGCAGATATTCATTCAACGCCTGGTGGTAGAGTAAGCAACTGGCTGCTCCTTTTCAACTTGGCCTGGACCATCTTCTTTGGGTGGTGGATAGCCTGCCTGGCAGCTTTTGGCGCAATCATCTGCCTTTTGTTTGCTGCTGCGCCCAGCGGCAGAGAGTATGGGAGAGTCCTATGGGGTCTAGCGGGCTATTTATTCTACCCCTTTGGCAAGTTTATTCGGCTTGAAAAGGATGAGGCCTACATGGACGAGGATCAGGACGAAGGTAGAAGCATCTCAGAATATGAACAATGGCAGAATGGTGACCTCGAATACGGCCGGCTGTTCTTTGGACCTGATCGACACCGTTCCATCATCGGCCGCTCCAGGAGGAGCTTGGATTCGGAGGCGCCCAGCGAGACGGAGAGCCTACTAGGGCGAGGGCGCCGCCAGGACTCTAGCGATCTACACCCTCGCTTGAAGCGGAGGCTATTTGGCCGTGGAGAGTGGAATATTGGCCGCATCATCTTCTTCGTCTTCTTCTACTGCCTCATCTCACCCTCCTTGATCCTCGTGTCTGGCATCTGCTGGTTCCTCGTCTTTTGGATTCCCATGGGCAAGGTGACCATGCTGCTATTCGACCACCTCAGGCGACACCCTCTCGCTCTATCCTTTGAGTCTCACATCAGCTACGCTCGAGTAGACGATGCTCCCGACTCATCCATCCTCGTCTGCACCTATCGTGCTGTTGGATCAAAGTACTGGAAGTATACCATTGATGGCACCAACATCTTCCTAATCAACCTCATGGTCGTTGTTGTGTTTGTCATCGCCGACTGGCTCATTCTGGACCGGATCCTAGGACTGGAGATTCTCATCACGTCGCCTGCCTTTTTGTTTTCTGCGGGCTTGCTCTCCATCATCCCGCTGGCATACTTTATTGGCCAGGCCGTAGCATCCATCTCTGCTCAGTCCTCCATGGGCTTGGGTGCTGCCATCAACGCCCTCTTTGCCACTGTTGTCGAGGTTTTCCTCTACTGCGTTGCACTGAACCAGGGCAAAGGTCAACTTGTCGAGGGAAGCATTGTGGGAAGTATATTTGCCGGTATCCTGTTCTTGCCGGGCATCTCCATGTGCTTTGGAGCCCTGAAGCGAAAGACTCAGCGGTTCAACGCCAAATCGGCCGGCGTGACATCTACCATGTTGCTCTTTGCCGTGGTGGGCGCTTTTGGTCCGACGCTATTCTACCAAATCTACGGCTCCCATGAGCTCAACTGCATGGACTGCGAAGATTACGCCTATGGTGGCTTCAACGAAGAGGGCGCTGCGAGGGACTGTCGCCGGTGCTACTTTTCGCAAGTGCCTGCTCTAGACGACCGATTTTATCTCGAGGCCGTGCGTCCATACTGCTACGCGGCAGCCTTCTTGCTCTTCTTCTCATACCTCGTTGGACTCTGGTTTACGCTGCGTACTCACGCTGCCGTCATCTGGAATGCAGAGGTGGAAGAAAAGAGACATGAAGAGGCCATGCACGCGTCGACGACTCTTCGTCCCCCGCATCAACCATCCACGGCCGACGGTACCGGGGCTGATATCCGCGATTCGCATCTCTACAAGCGCATCCTGGGCCAGTCTCTAAAGCAGGTCGGCTTACCGGACGCCTCCCGGCCGGGCTCCACGACTGGCCAGGATGCTGGTGGGCTAAACATGACTCCTCACGTGGTGCCGCCCAAGGGTACTGCTGATGAGGATCAACCGCCCTTGCGCTCAACGATCAAGGTTCCCGGTCTCAGCCAGGTCGACAACAGCGTTCTCGTACGTGAGGTCGCCGAGATCGCAGCCACAGCGGCCACAATTGCCTCCCGTGACCGATATGTGCATAAGGCGTCCAGCACCGGCGTTGCTACACCGCGGCCGCACGGCGCCAGCCGGCCAAGCCACCTCCATGATGTCGAAGAGGACGCCGCTACTGCGGGTGCTGCAACTGCTCAAGCAGGGGGCCATGGAGGCCACGACGCGCCAAACTGGAGCCGCACCAAGAGTACTGTGATCCTGCTGGGGGCCACCATCTTGTACGCCATAATTGCCGAGATTCTGGTCGACACTGTCGACGTCGTGCTGGAAAGCTTTGCCATTGACCAAAAATTTCTCGGACTGACCCTCTTTGCTCTAGTCCCCAATACTACCGAATTCTTGGTAAGCACACAGGGGATCATTCCCACCCAATCCTCTGAACCCGTGCCCACGTTGCTTTTTTTTTTTTTTTTTTTTTTTTTTTTCTTTTGCCTGGGCTGGGCTGACGCTAATTGAATTTGTCTAGAACGCCATTTCTTTCGCCATGAATGGAAACATTGCACTATCGATGGAGATTGGCTCCGCATATGCTCTCCAAGTGTGCCTGCTTCAAATCCCTTGCCTAGTACTCTTCTCGGCTGTCTTCCCAAACATCCCGGTAGGAGGTGATGCTGCCAAGTATACGTTTTCTTTGCTCTTCCCGCAGTGGGACTTGGTCACCGTCGTCCTGTGCGTATTCCTGCTCAGCTACGTGTACGGCGAAGGCAAGAGCAACTATTTCAAGGGCAGCATCCTCCTGCTGACATACCTTGTGGTGGTGATTGGGTACTACTTCAGCGGCTACACCGAGGGATCCATGGGAATGCAGCGGTTCGACGTGATGGGGGCCGATGGCAAGTATCAGAAGTTTAAGACGATTGGCAGATCAACAAACGGGAGAGCGTTCCAAGTGATTTAAGCCAAGACTGCGGGGAGCTGCAGCAGCAATTTTTTCATCTCGTTAGTTTGATAAAAAATATCCGCCAGGGTCGAACGACAGGCTGCATTCGTCAGGTAGTCTTGTTCGTCAGTGTTACTTTGGCTTTTCCATTGCTCTGTTCTCTTTGCCCCAATCAGCTTTTGGGAAAGTGGGTGCTCCATCTTGCAGCGTGGGTTACCTGCATGCTTTTTCTTCTTCTTTTTCCTCTTTTACCTTTGTTGGAAGGGTAAACTGCCCGGGGTATTTGTCTTGTTTTGCAGAGCCGGCATGTTCCTTTGAGCGAATCGGGTGCATTTTCTTTCCTTCTTTTTCTTTGCTCAATTTTCTCTCGTCACCACTACCTATCTCATACCTATAGCATGGCTTATTTGAAATTGTTCCACGGGATGGCAGGCTGCACGGCAGTTGCATGTATTTGTGTAATACTACCCAACTTAGGCTGAGTCTCATTTTTATGGCTGTTTCCTTTTTTTTTTTTTTCCTTTTCTGTCTTTAGTGTTACGCGGCAAGCCTGATGTGGCATGAAGTCGACAGATGCATCTATACGAAAAACGAAAATCTCTTGTCTTGTTAACATTTGTACTACTGTGTGATTCCCGGCATATAAAATACCACCATGACCATCATGGCTGTTAAAAGTGTGAATTAATATAAATCCCTGCATGAGCCGCGTGACCATGTGCGTCCTTCACTCTCACTCTCACTCACTTTCTCTCTTGAAACATATGCCTGGCCCATCCGGAAGACGACGGCAAGCTCTTCAAATCCAAAACGGAATGACAGCCGCCCAAAGATGGCAGCAGCATGTTCTAGATTCTAGATCTTTCTCCACCAACAAGGTGTCAACTATACACATACAACAAATACACACATGAAGTTTCCAGTCTTTTTCACTAACGCGGGAGTCGAACGTTTAGCTCCCGGAGACGCAAAAAAACAGGGTCCTGGCTTTGCCCGAATAGGAAGCGCAGTGCATATCTTGCATGAGGACCCTGGATTGGGGTGGAGCGAGAACATGCTCTACTCGGTATCAGAAAATGGCTTTACTTTGGTTGTGCCCCTTTGCTATTGCTGATACTACAACTAGTGAATGAGCTGGTGGTCTGTTAGTGCAGCTTGAATGAAACGGTGTTTACGGAGTAAAATAGAGTAAAAGTATCTATATATCTACATGTAGATGGAGAGAGAGAAAACACGTGGGAGCAAAGGAGATGATAGATAGGTAGGCATGTAGTATGTGCAGGTAGGGCTATAAGATGGTTTGTTTTACCGCAAGTTCGCCCAGCCCCATAATTCGTGCGTCCGGCATCGCGATGGAGCGATATGTCGTTTTTACGGTGGTGGCAGTAAGTAGTTTGGAAGGGCAAAAAAAAAAAGGAACAAGGGGGTTGGGTTGGGATGGATCGCTCAGCTGACTATCTTAAAATTTCCAAATCTTTGAACCCCCTTCCCTTTTTTTTTTTTTTTTCATCTCTTTCTCATACTCCGTGACGATGCTAGGCGGATGGAGGATGGGCTGCTGGAGTTTCCCTTTCCGGACGTGAGGAATCCGCACATACCGATCGGGGGCTGTGGATTTTTCTGGTGTTTGAACTTGGACCCTGGCTTTGTTTTTTTTTTTTATAAGCGCCTCTGGTTTGTTAGTGGGAGAGAAAAAGTCGTGTCAAAGATTGGATCCTTGTTTGATATTACTCGATAGTTACTACTATTAGGTAGTAGTGATGATCAGCGTGTAGTAGTAGATGTTACTCCGTTAAAGGATCATAATAAAAAACAAACGATTCGTAATAGACATACCGGGTGTTGCTGCCCCCTGTTCCGATATATGCACATACTTTGTACGGACGATGGGTAAAAGTGCCGAAAGCCAGGGGTAAATATGAGAGAGGCAGTGACATCTGACAAGCCGGAGCTAGGATGGGCGATTAAAGTTTTTTTTTCTTCTCTCAGTCTTTTTTTGTGTGGTTCATGGGTATGACCGCCGGATCGTGCTCCGTATGAGCTCCGTATGATATACTAGTAGTAGCAGGTATCGTGAAGTGGATTTTGGGGGGGAGGCTGGGTATATAAAGCTAGAGAGATGGAATGAGAATTGGAAAGGGGCGAGCGTGAGCGTGATTGCGTATCTGTCTGTCTTGTCTTGTTCTTTTCCTGCTCTTCTTCTTCTTCTTTTTTGAGTCTGAGCAAAAGAAATACGCCGGGAGTTTTCTGTTTGACAGCTGCTTCCACCATCTTGAGTGCCAATTTCTGCCTTTATATATCAGCATTTTATATCACAACCACAGCTTCACATACAGACAGACGGACAGATATACATCACCTCATTAGAAGATATATTTACGGGCCTTCACCGGGTGCAGCTCAATGCCTGCAGTCGAGCCCATCCTGACCGAAATCTCCGCCTCGACGTCGCCAACAGTCACGTCGCCGTCCTCGCCAACAGCCACGGTCACGTCTCCAAGCGACCAGAATCTCGCTTCTCTGGCGGGTATCGACAAAGGCAGCCAAGATGAGAAAAAGCGTGCAAGTGATGCCACTGCGGTAGTTGAAATCCGTCCAGATGATGATGTGGAGGCCCAGCGCGAAAATGAGAGCCGAGATCAAGACGAGCTGGGCCTTTCTATTCCGGCGCCTGATACGAGCAGAGATGCGTGGCTGTTCCTGGGGGCGTGTTTCATGATGGAGGCCATGGTATGGGGTAAGCTGAATGAGTAATGCCTAGTATTGATATTAGATGTGTGCTGATACGAGCAATGGACAGGCTTCCCATTTGCCTTTGGCATCTTCCAAGACTACTACCGCACTCATCAGCCATTTGAAGGCTCGTCCAAGACGGCCATTATAGGAACTTGCGCCACGGTAAGCATTGACAATCCTTCTTATGAAATTAACAGACGAACTGACTCTTGCTCCAGGGCATCATGTATCTCGACGCCCCCCTCGTCATTGCCCTCGCCCGCCTCTATCCCAAGCAGGGCCGCTTCAATCCCACCATCGGCCTGCTCATGATGTGCGTCGCCCTCGCGCTGTCCTCGTTTGCCACCAACACGACGCATCTCATCCTCACGCAGGGCGCGCTGTACGGCATCGGCGGCTCCATCGCCTACAACCCGTGCCTGATGTACGTCGACGAGTGGTTCGACCGCCGCAAGGGCCTGGCCTATGGCTTGATGTGGTCCGGCACCGGTCTTGGGGGCTTCACGATCCCGCTGGTGCTTGAAGCATTGCTCAACCGCTATGGGTTCCGGGCCACGCTGCGGATATGGGCCGTGGCGCTCTTTGTCCTGACGATGCCGCTCGTCTACTTTGTGAAGCCGCGTCTGCCGCCTTCAATGACTGCGCACATCAAGCCCCTGGACTGGAGCTTCATGAGGACTCGCGTCTTTGCCATATACCAGCTCGGCAACGTCATCGAGGGCATGGGCTTCTTCTTGCCGGGCATTTTCCTCCCGACATACGCGCAGGATGTTCTCGGCGCGGGCTCTTTTGCCTCTGCGGCCACGCTGCTGGTGCTCAATATCGGGTCAGTCATTGGGCCTGTCACGATGGGGACGCTGGTTGACAGATTGCACGTTACGACGTGCATTCTGATATCAACCGTAGGCGCTGTTTTTGGTCTTCTTCTTCTATGGGGTCTAGGATCGAATATCGGCATTTTATACGTCTTTAGTCTTGCTTACGGCCTCTTTGCCGGGTCTTTTACAACTTCTTGGCCAGGCATCATGAGGCACGTCGTCAAGGTGGCCACTGCAAGGGACAAGGCAGCCACTGCTGGAGATATCGACGGCGTCAGCGTGAGCAAGTATGATCCTCTCATGGTGATTGCTTTCCTGTCGATTGGCAGAGGCGTGGGAAACATTATCGCGGGCCCGCTGAGCGAGGCTCTGATTAAAGGTATGCCGTGGCAGGGCCAGGCGACCGGGGGTTATGGGAGCGGGTATGGCGTTTTGATTGTGTTTACGGGTGCTACGGCTTTGGCGGGAGGTGTGAGCTTTGTTGCGAAGAAATTGGGATGGATGGAATAGATGGGTTTTGTATCATGGGCTTTGACTGTTGAGTTTATATAGATGGGTATCAATGTTGCCACTCAAATTGACAATTACAGCGTATCAACATGGTTTTGTAAATTTAACAAATGGGTGACTGTCTTGCTTTCACTGCTTTCTGATAATTACAGACAATACGATTATAGGTTGTTCTGACAAGTACGTCACGCCCGCCTAGACTCCAGCGTCTCTCCTGATTGACCTATCGGTACTAGGAAGCTCATATACTTAATGAAGAAAGCTGCAATTGCAGTTTTTTACTTGTTCATTAATGATTCTGTTATATCTGCTGCCCTTGATACCTCTGCTACCTGCAAAGTTCTCCGTATACGGCAACTTTCCTTTACCCAGCACAACTACTCTGTAAAAAGCGAGGGTATTTTCTCAGCAAGCCATTCTTTATCAATCTTTGTCTTGCAAAGAATCTCCTCTTTGCTTCCCTCCATAGGTCTAGCGCCCTTCTCATAAAGCAGCTCAATAGTCTCCTTTGGAAGCTCAGATTCCGTCATTGCCTTGTACAGCAGCTTGCTACCAAACTCTCCCATCAACATGGGCAGAGGACCCATCTCCAACATCATTTCAATATATTCTACGTGTTTATAAGTCACTGCAGCTCTAAGCAATAGCGCTTTGAGAGACTCTTCTTTTTTTGGATCAGTAGTCGTCTCAAAAAAGTCTCGGATCATGGTCTTGTTGTCAGTCTCTACTGCGTAATCAACAACCGTCAACTGACCGTCGTCTTCGTTTCCAAAACTACCACCCCTTTCAAGAAGCAACCGGACCACAGCTGTGTAGCCGTGACCTGCCGCTTTTTCGACAGGCCCCTCGAGCCATTTATCACGTTCGTTGGGATCGGCGCCGAGGTCTAAAAGTAACTGGGTTGCATCCAAATCACCATGGAATGCTGCCAGGCTCAGCAGCCCGTCTTCAAATAGTCTTTTAACGCTGATATCAGCACCCATGTCGATAAGTAGCCGGAGAGCAGCGCCCTGCTCATTGCATAGTGCGCTGAAAATGGCATGGCCAAGCTCAGCAGCCCCCAAAGAAGTATTCAGGATGCTGGGCAACTTGTTCATCAATTCCACAGCCCCGAAATACGCTGTAAGTTCCAACGCTGTAATGATCGTGGCATGGCTTGCTCTAGAATCGCCGGCCTCGTAGAATTGTACTTCGGACATAACCTGAGCTGCGTTTTTTTGGTATAGACAAAGTTACTAATTGTGATGTATAACGTACAGACGTTTGTGATTGTGGTTTCTGCTTCCGGAAATCACTGTTGTCGCATTTGGTCAAAGTACTCTTGCTTCGTATAATGTACTAATCGTATGGCATCGCTCTCTTCGTCGACAGTGACCAGTCCGTGGCAACTCGAGACTATGAGATCAACTTCCGGGACGCTGTCATCATCAAACTCTTGTGGGACACTGCCGCTATCCAGTTCCATATGCACTGCGAGAGCACGCTGAAGCTCTATTTTTTTAAGTTGTCTCTTTGCATGGCAAAGCCAAGACAAAGCACTTGTCGCCAGATGACGAAAACCTGGTTTTTGCTCCTTGATCCTCTTTATTGTATCGTCATAAACGGCTCTTAGCACTTCGAGTTTCTGATCTTCCCTCTGATCCTGGCTTCTTTGCTGGAATTTTTTCAATGATTGCTTCATTTCCCTTGGTGTGACCCTATCTTCCAGAGTGCCGAGGTAGAGCTGTGCTAGGAGGAACCTGTGCCAATTGTGAGCGCATGATTTACCAGCATCTCTATAGAGGGTTGGGTACTAACATTCCTTGAGCAATGTTCGTAATATCTGACTTTATTTGCTCTTTTAGATTGATATTATCGTGAACAAACTTGGGAAGTATCGACATGTGACCATCGAGATACTTGTATATATCGTCCCGGCTGGCCACAACATCTAATGAAATGCATCCTTGGAACACATTTTTTATTTCTAAAATTGGTCGTGAGGTTACGAAAATCTTGGCGTTGATTTCTTTCTGGATTTTGAAGATTTCAGAGAGAAATAAAGGTCGTTCTTTAATCCGGCATTCGTCCAATGCATCAATTGCGATGAAGACTCGGGAGAAGGTTTTGACAACAAATTGCAGAGCACTTGCAATTTCATCCAAGGACGGCAGGGTTTTCCTGTAATAATGCTTGTCATGGAGAGATTTCACAGCTTCGGGTCGCGACGATTGAGAGAAACACAGCTGTCTCAGGAGACTTGCCATGAGTTTATCAGCGGTTTGTTGGTCTTGGCGCTTGAAGATGTAGTAGTTATACGCAATACCGACTGTTGCACCAGGTATACCGGGGCAAAACAACGTTTGCTTATCCGTCGATAACCAGTCTTGATATTCCTTTGAGTCGAGGAGCCATTGCCCTGTGCCCTGTTGACGCCTGGAAAGGTAGTCGTTTTGTTGGCTGCTGTAATTGGAATCCGCAAGCCAGTTTAAAATCTTGAGGTCCTCCTCTGAACTCATTCGGGATCTGATATCTTTCACGTTTGTCTCAATGTTGGCTACAGTGTCTCTGACTATAATTCCATTAGGACCAGCTTTGCCCTCAAGTTCTCGTATACGGGGGTGGACAACCTTGCGTAAGGACCTCGCTAAGTCTCTGTTCTGCTTCCACTTTGCTTGGAAGAATGATACCGAGGAGGTCTTTTGCATACGCACCAGCTGTCATTGCCGCAAAGCCTTGCCACTCTTTACTCTTATGGGAGTCAGAGTAATCGCATATTCCGCCTATCACCAAGCAAGGAAAATTGTTCATCAATCCTGCCGCTTCCATCTCAAAGCACAAGACATCTTTTTTCAGCTGAAAGCTTGTCTCAAATAAGGGCATCTTTCATGACCTGGTTCGCAGAAGCGATAAGGCCGTAGTGAACTGCAGGGTCATCTTCATCTTCTGTACGCTCGCAGCGTAAGACCAAGTTGGATTCGTCCTTTACGCATACTGCCGTACAACCTCCCTCGTCGTGGACTACCTCGGGTCGAAATAGCATGTCGCTGGCTGTCTTTGGACGTCCAAACAACTTGTTGAGTCTCTTTCTTGTTGCTAAAACACTTTCAATGTTTTCCTTGAGCTGATGACCATCGAGCATATATCTGGTCTGCAGGCTTGCTACCGCCGAGCGTAAAACGGCTGGAGACTGGTTCAGAAACCTCGTGTGCTGGGAGGCTTCTCCCTGGATCGTCTTTCCAAAGTCATATTGGAATACGCCTCCGTTGCCAGCCGAGGGTGCGCTGACCCCCAAGCGAATATCGTGTCTCTTGCTGGGGGCACCGCCGCCAAGACCGACGAGAAGACCAATTCTGATATTGGGAAACGTTCGTAGTAAGTTGGTCGCTACGTTGGATGCAGAGGCAGTTCCGTATTCCAAGGGAAGAACAGCAATGGCAACGTTGTGCTTTCCCATAGAGCCTAGGATGCAGTTGTTGGAGTCATGTGACGGCTGGTCTTCTAGCGGTGCATGCTGCTCATCAAGAAATGCCGCCGCCGCAATCTGCTCTGTAGAGAGAGCGCAGATCCATCCAACAGTGTAGTTTCTGGGGTCAGACATTGCATGCCCTTGCTGGTACAAGAGAGCGAAAGACGAAAGAGGCGTAATTTGGTCAATCAAGTGCGAAATCGGCCCGGCGTTGAGTCTACAGCGCCGGGCAGGGAGCGCAATAAATTAGGGACATTCATTTTCATCAGCTCTGTTTCGCATATTAGGGTTTTCTCTGTTTTCATTCCCTGCCGCGTACGCATGTTCATCTCGTGATCCTGATCTCAGCCCCCTCCTTGATCCTACGGCTCTCCGAGGCATCCCTCATTGGGCAGCCTGCCTCTGTGGAAATGCCACCACCATGCAATCATTACAAGGGGCATCCAGGGTCATAATAGCTATCCAAATTATTCGCATTCATTTACACAAATACGTCTTCAGCATCAAGGTATCTGTCAGTGAATAAATTTGAGGCGCCACTGCACGTGTTGCTAGGCACAGGCAGAGCCACTAGAACTACTAGACCCACGTCTGTCTAAATATTTCCGCCGGCGTGAAATCGCAAATCCGACCATGAAAGGCGGAAAACCAGAGCGCAAAGTGAATTAGCATGTGCCAGTAGCGACATAAGGACCTTTTCTGAGCCAAATGCCATTGCTTCACGTGTGGCTTGGCCCTCGGGTTCAAAGCTCGTCCATTTCCACCTTCGCCCTTCGTTTTCTCAATGTACCGAACATCATCAACGGGGTACGAAGGCATAACGATATAAGCATCCATGCACTCGAGTCTCTTCTTCACCATCAGGGCAAGCCCCAACCAGCAATGAAAAGATAGAAAAAAGACACGCCTGTCAGACGTCCATCGACACCCACCCTACCAGTGCGCCCGAAGGCATGACCACGGATAGGGTCGAGATCATCAAGAAGAAAACAGCTCTCTATACAGCAGAAGCACGAGGCTACTGCCGCCATCCTTGCGGACAGAGCGAGAGGACCAGAAAATTCACTCTTGGGTATCGAGGATATGCAATCATCAACCAGGGTGGATTCGATGGCTCTTTTGGGAACCAAAGCAAGAGACAAATACTATAGAAATGATTCTCCTGTTGAAGTTGTTAGCCATCCTGAATTCCACTTGAACATCCTGACCACTGTGGCCGCAATGATGGGAGAAATCACTGCAGGCCACAGTTAGGGGTACACATACTGAAGTATTGTCGACGTAAAGAAGAAAAGAGAAAAAAAATCAAAAGCACGGCGGGCGAAGCAGACATTTATACCTGCTCTGGTGGGGCGCCCTGACCGCCCAGCTTTTTTTTTTTTTTCTGCCGCAAAACGAAAACACAACAGCAGCGGAGCAGCCCCACCGCATTCACTTTAGCTCGTGGCTGCCAAATCTCCGTTATCGAGCTTATCTTGGTAGAGCGACAGGGGTGCACTGCAAAAAAATGAATCGCGAGAGCCTCTTTGCTGAGCTAGTGAGAAGAAGTGCCGAGATGCACGGTTGCTGTGAAGAAATTTTCTGCTTTTTGCACTGATTGATGTTGAGATATTGCGTAAGAATAATTGCAGATGCCTTGTCATTTTGTGGTTCTTGAAAGTTTTCAGTGGGTAGTTGTTACGCTAGTGAAAGATGTGCTGATTGTTGTGTTTGCCTCTATCGAGAACTTCGATATAGCTTCAAAAGTTTCGCGGGTGATTTTGCCAAATGCTGAATACACCAACAAAAACATGTGTCCTAATACTGTACCTAATCGTAAAGATACGTTCCTAATATCTACCCCAAAGATCATATTTATCTTGTAAATTGTCCTTCATCATTCGTTCCTCGTTCCAACAGCTATAAACGTAAAATCCAATCCATCCGCTCAGCTTCAGGGTAGTCCACACGCAATCATCACCATCAACAACATCACATCACTCTCTATACAGCCCCTCCTCATCAATCCACCCCAACACCTCCCCATCAACCATCTCCTCCAACTCCTCCCTCTCACTCTCCCCCTTCTTCACCAACTCCCTCACCCTCGAACTACTCACACCACTCCCCTTCCTCCCCTCCACCAAATCCACCCTTCCAGCCCACGCCTTATCCCCCCCAACCTCATCCAACCCGCCCTCTCCAAGCCCCTTCACATATCCCAACTGCTCATCCTCCCCGCCCCACTCATCATCCGTCCTCATCGTCACCCGTAGTCTCGCCCTCTCGAAAAACGGCCCGAGCGCCGCCCTCATTCCGCCCGTGTTGTAATACTTTGGATTGAATATCCGAATCACGGTATCAAAGCCTGCTAGGAAAATCTGCTCCGGCTCTGGATATCCTCCGGCGGCGTAGAACCCGCTCTCGGCAATCGCCCTCGCCTTGTCGTGGAAAAACGGCATCTTCGTCACCGCCAGGTCAATCTCCGGCCGCCCCTCTTCATTTGTAGCGGCGAGGCTCTTCAACAGCTCATGCCCAAACCCTTCCATCATCCCCAGCCGCGTCGGGAAACTCGCCGGCTTGGGCGCCTTATCCGCATTATTCACAGACAACAACAGCATCAATCTCGGTGAAGACGACGACGAAGAAGAAGATGCCCACTCAAGAGCCGACTTTGCCATCTCAGCATGGGCCCGCGTCGGCGGATTGAAGCTCGAGTCTAGCACCACTAATCTCTGCCGCAGCTTCGAATTTGATTTCGATGGCCGCGGAGCTGGCTCCCTGCTGCTGCTGCTCCCGCCGTGATGCGGCAGCGTGCACAGGACCCGGAAGACATCTGGCGATGAGTGGAACGATGAGAGCGAGCGAGAGAAGAAATCGACTAGTTGCTTCGGATTGGGGCGCATGGTTGATAATCCTGCCGCTGAATCGGTCATGACGCTGCGCTGAAACGGGACACGAGATGGATTAATAGCCGTGATGATGGTAGAAAGGCACTGAAGCGCTTGATTATACGTAGCATCCGATCTGATCTGAAGTGGCATGAGACGCGGGGCATTTTCGGCATATCAACCGCAAACCTGACTAACACGAGAACAAGCATCGTAGGCCACAACAAAATCATTCTATTCTGGCTTCAACACCACAATTACCATCAAACAGTCTAGCTAGATATATATATCCCAAAATTGTGGAAGCGAAAAAAAAAAGAACAAAAAAAAAAAAGGTAAACCGCCGTCTCGTCGCCTGCGCCCGCCCATGGAACGTAAAAAATCAAGAAGCCTGCTCTGAGCCCTGCGCATCCATCACTCCTCGTGAAAACCACTCAGAAATGGTCGCAAATCGGTCAGTGCTATTCTCTAGGTCCGCCTTGAATATCTCATGCCGCCCTGCTCGCTCCCTTTGGCCCTCTCTCATCTTGCGAATCACCTCGTTCTCACCAGCACACTTTGGGCACTCAATCTCGTCATCCTCGCCGCCGCCGCGTAGACATCGCTGGTGGAAGCTGTGCTTGCACATAAAATGCACAGCTGGAAGGTCTAGCCCTTGGCCACAATCGGAGCATCGCGTGGCCTGGAAAACGGCAGGCTTTGAGCCCAAGTCTTCCAGATCGCTTCGCCTCTTTTCCGTATCGGTACGCAGTGTGGATATTCTGTGCCGGTTTTGAGCAATTTCCTTGCGCTCCCGGGTGATTGTCTCGCGAAGATACGGCTTGATCATGCCCATTGTAGCTACGCCGCCCCCGGAACTCTGCCCGACAAGAGTCTGGACGACCTGAAGCGGGGCCATGAGCCCGTCCTTGTCAATCTTTGCTAGGATAGCTGCCAACTCGTCGGGCCCAGCTTCCTCCAGCACTCGAGGATCCGAGGTGAGATAGGACAAGGCCGCCGGATATAGCTGCGGTTCCTCTGGGCCGTACTTTCTCAGAGCCTTTAGTGCGCCGCGTGTGTCTTTTGCCGTAGTATAGGATCTGAATATGTCGGATAGCAGCCCAGCTTGCTCCTTGACCAAAACGGTGCCGTCTTGGAAGTTGGACAAATGCGATAACAGAAGCACATTTGAGCTCTCCATGGGCACATGCTCCCCCTCAATCAGTTTTTTCGCCTTTGCTTCCCACTCTTCCTTGTGCAAACTTCCCTTCTTTTCATTAGACTTGTGCAAGTACATCTCAAACAAGGTAGTGTACAGATCGCTGCTATGAACAGTTCGCAGTTTTTCTTCCTCGAGACATGCTTCCAAAAAGGTGATGAATTCATCGGGATGATCGATAAACGATGAAAATGCCGTTCGTGGTGGTGGGGGGTTGTATTTGGGTATCGGAATATCGTCTTCGTCGGGTACAATGGTAGTTTCGTTTGGCTTTGCGCTGCCTGGTGTGCCTGTGGCAGGGCTAATGTATGAAGGCAAGACGAGAAGGTTGGTGAGATTCTGCACGGCGCTGGCCGCTCCGGCAGTGAATCCTGTACTGGAAGTAGCTGTTCCAGAGACTTCAGCGGGTAGCACCACTGTCCGCCGTGGTCGGTAGTTGCTAGTATAATAATCCACAAAGAGCTTCGTAGCATCTTTGGGGCAATGCTCTATGAGGACTCTGGCATATTTTTGCATACACGGATATGCCTGGAGAGCTTTGGTTAGTATGATTTTGGACGAAAAGGGCAAGGGGAGATGCTCACGATGGCAGGATCCTGATGCCATATATAGTCCAGCGCTTCATCGTAGCTCTTTGAGTCCTCGATCAGGATATCCACGACAAGCTCGGTCTCGCCATGCTTTTTGGCAAGGAATGCAGCTTGCTGGTAGTAGCCACCCTGTCGACACATGGTGATGGCTGTGTCTAGATCAAACTTCAAGTCTCCGGGAGCCATGATGAACTCTTCCAACTTCTTGATATCCTTTAATTTGGCATAGCAGTTGAGCAAGAGCGTTGTGTGATCGGAGGTTGCCTTTCCATGATGGTGAAGTTTTTCCAAGTACAAAATCAGATTGTGTATTCTTTGCGTATCCAGAAACTGATTTCGTCAGCGTGGCCCATCTTTTGAGCGAGATGAAAAGTGTATAGGCTTCTTACCTTTCTGATGACTTGCGAGGGCTCAGTGGCATCAATCGCTCGAATATACTGATTCATTGCCCCGTCGTAGTCTGATTTTTGGTACAGGTGATCGCCGAATTTACGATAGATTAGGCTCTGTTGCTCGTTGCTCATCCCCGAGTTCTGGGCCAACTCGATTGCGAGAGGATACATGTTGCGCTGGTAGAGCATCTCAAGGCGCTGCTGAAGTGGCTTCTCATGATATCGGAAAATCTGAATAGCGTCCAATTAGTATTTATGGCTGACCATTGAAAATTTGGCAATGCCATACCTTTCCTTCCTCTGTAATTGTGAACAAATCTCCCCATACTTCAATTATGAATCGAACTGGAGAGATGAGTGTCTCTGTATGGCCAACCACTCGAAGATCCGCTTCCAACAGAACAAAAGTCCATGCGTTAAATAGACCATCTGCCGTCGCTGAACCAAATCTCCTCCGTAAGGCCTCGGGATCCCGGCTGCTGCTGACTGACGACGGGCCCGCAACCGCAAAGTAGTCGTTGTGGATGGATATAAGCCGCTTGGGAGACTCATATGCTCGAGGGGGCCCGCGCCCATCCAACCTGTATGTATAAAGGGCGTCATCTCGGGCGACAATGATATCTCCGGTCCCAGGATCGACCGTCATGCAGCCTGCGGCGCAGCCAGAGTCTTCGATGGTTTTGGGCGGTGAGCCCTGTCCTCTCTTGGAAAGCGCGAGCTGCAGTATCCTCGATACCGTAGAGATGAAGAGTGTCGTCGAGCTCTCTTGGGTTGCCAATTGGACACCAGTCACCGGTTCTTCCGATTCGTACACGATCCGCTGCTTTGTCCCCAAGTCATGAACAAGGTCTCCCCGAATGACGGTCACAGCGCCGTTCGCAAAGCCCACGGCGATTTGAGTCAGGTCGTCGAGCGCAGTAAACGCTGATATCTTGATTCAAAGTTAGTTGACCAGTCCCTAGAATCCCCCCCACCCCCAATCATGCCACAATAACTTACGGGAAACTGCCGCCTCCCATTATTGATCGTCAAGGTACTGAGGCATGTCGGCATATTTGTCTTCTTAACCAACCTGTCCAACGCCCACGCCTTTAGGATCGGCTCACTGCTCATATCTTCCTAGAGAAACATCAGCAACGAGAGGGCTTCTACCGCAAACTGCGAGGAACCGCTCAAAGCTCACCGCAACCGTCACCAGCAAGCTCGTCCCCTCCACTTGACGCATATGCGTGATCCGCGCCTCGTGCGCCTGAAACGTCCTCATCACCTTCCAGCCCTTGCCAATGATGCTGACATATCCATCGCTCGAGCCGAGAAACAGGCTGTCGGAGCCTGCGCAGATGCTGGCGATTTCGTTGCCCTCGAAGAGCTGGCGGGTTTCATTGTCAGGCAGCGCTACCTGCGAGACGTCGAAGAAGTCGAATGACTTCCACTGCAGGCACGGATGTTAGCGGTCGGGAGAACATTTGCAAGCCACATCTCAATTCCAACGGAAGAGCATAGATGCGGTAAGAGGTAGATAATGCCGGTGTTGGCTCACGTACTGAGATGGCCATCTTGTCGCCTTGGAGAGGCGGTGGTTGGAGAGTCGCAGTAGCGCTTCAGCGCACGATGACGATGGCGGGACACAGCTGGCTGCTGGAGCTACGCCGAAGCTCAAGCCAGGCCAGTGGTTGGGCTAGTTGGCGCCACAGTGGCTCATGCTAAATACGTCCGAGTGCCTAAACAGCAATGGCCAGTTAGGCACTCACTCAACCTCACGAATCAATGCAGTAGATGCCTCTGTTCAGAATAAAAATTCACTGTAATATATAATTTCATTCTTGAGCAGGAAATTAATCTCAGATTATACGCCTGTGTCAAATCTTGTTGCCAGTGACCTCTACAAAGCCGATAATAAGATGGTAAGACCGCTCCCAGATACATGTCTTCCATCGCTATACTCGTCAACTAATAGGATCCCGCTGGTTGTGCTTTCAAAGAGCTAGTCTCTTCTTCTTTTCTTTGCACAGCACGAAAAACAAAACAAATTCAATACTGCTCGCATCTTCCCGTAGGCTAAAGGGTATCACGTTGTCACATCTTTGAAGTCTCTACCCCACCGGCTGAAAGAGAAAAGGGAAAAAGTGTAAAGGAAGAGAGGGAAAAAGTGTAAAGGAAGAGAGGGAAAAAAAAAAAAAATTGGACGAAAAGAAATGGAGAAAGACAGAGAGAGAAGAAGAGGAAAAAAAAGAAAAAGAAAAAGAAAAAGAAAAAGAAAAAGAAAAAGAAAAGAAAAACAATCCTTAACCCAGCCACGCATATAAGCCTGTCTATCGAATACGGACAGAACTTCCTCCGAAACGCCCGGTAAAAAGCAAACTGATAAAATTGGTAGTTGTAATAGTTGAAATGGCAAGTTTAGTCCTCCTTGGAATCTGGTGTTAGCGGGATATCCTCTTGGTTCTCGGCAAGGCTCTTCTTAGCAGGTACCTCTCGGGGGCTGGCGAGTGCAACGCTGCCGCTCACGCTGTCGGGTCGATTGTGTCCCAGGCGGCCACTTCTAACGCTTGCACCGTCGCCCTGCTTGGTATAAATACTGTTGCGTTCGCTCGGAATGGCTGGCGCCACGCCCGTTGCAGAGTAGATGCTGTTTCGCTCTGCTCCCAGCCTGGAGGCGTTGTGGATGCCAGATGCGTCGATGTTGGCACTGAGAACACTCAGTGGTAGACTCTCACGGCTGCCACCCCAAAGTGACGAGGGCGCGAGGGCTCGCACAGACGCATCGGTATCCATCGACCGACGACGGCCTCGCTTGCTCGACGAGGCTAGAGTCAAGATGGATGCATTGTCTGTAAGGAGGTTATTGGCCGTAGCTGTGGTGTATGTCGTCAGATGGTTTGGCGGGATGAGATGTGATGGTATAGCCGATGCCGGCGAAGTCGTAGGGAACGGTTGGCTGAACTGAATCGACTGGGTGATGCTGTGAGTCGGTGCTACCGGGGCTTGCCCATGGGGAGCAAATGACTGAATAGTGGTCAATGTTGTAGCGAGTGATCTGACTGATGGAGACGGGCTCGAAAATGTGCTATCGCCACCTCTTCTGGATTCGTGGCCCCCGTTGACTGTCCTGCTTGTTCCCGTCACAGAGCTCGGCGCGATGATGGATCGAGGCGGGTCAGCTTCGGTCTCGGTTGATATGGTCATTGTCAGGCTCCTCCCTCCTGAAGTCGGTGGTGCATATCCATCTGCCGAGAAGCGAGTGGGCTGATCGATTGTCGACAGGCTGCAGTCGGTGCGGCCAGTAGCAAACGAGTACGAGCTTTGTCCATTGGGATGATTGCTACTAACGTGGCCGGACTGAGGATACGGGTTGTTGAGCTTGGGACCACGCTTTATCCTAATGTGTCGCTTCTGTCGCTCGCCATCGGATGACGACTTGAAGTTGGTAAGCTTCTTGACCCATGTTGAAAACGGCCTTCTCCTTTGCTGTGCTTGGCGATCTATCGACGGTTAGCCTTTTTGGAATGAATGCCGTTGAGAACCCAACAAGAGATGTATGTTGCTTGGGCTGAAACGCCCTAAAATGCTACGCGACGCAGGCAACGACGAAGAGAGCGGCGAAAAGCAAGGAGACAGTACCGTGAGCCTCTGATGAGATGAAGTCGGTAGTCGCCATCAAGGGCGAGCGAGTGGGAATGCCGCGGGTGCGGCTCGAAGGGAGAAGCGGATTTGGTGTTGGCGCGATGGCGAGCAGCGTCAGGTCAGGCTGAGATGGAGATTAAAGATGGAGATTCAAGAAGGGGGAGAGGGGGCCTTGCAAAGGCGAAGACTCGCGGAATCGGCTATCGGGACGGCAGTCTCTCAGGCGTCCAACGGCGGCAACAAAGGAGCGTGGCGTGCAGAAATAGATGCGAGGGAGAAGCGCAGACGGCAGATCGCGAAGAGGTTGAAGCCCGTCCAACCATCCTGACGGTGCAACGCTAGAAGGAATAGCGTCGCTCGAGCATCATTTCGGCATTCAAAGCGCAGGGGTCCATCACGTGATGCGCGGGATCACATGGAGGAATGGAAGGTCGCTGACGATGACGAAATGCTGCATCTGCATTGGGAGAAAGAGGGTCTCAGCCTTTTGCTTGTGCATCTGCGGTCGAGCTAAGCAGCGCCATGATCCGGATAGCTCTGCCTCAAGTGGGCGCTTCTATGAAGAGCTGCAAGTTCGGCAATAGAGTTCTGCGACTACCTTGGGCTACATCCACCTCCCCGCGTTTCCCAGCGCTTCCCCGAGTATTCCTCCTCCCGCAATAGACCCTGACTCGAAGCGGCGCTGGATTTGGTCGACGATCCATGCCCGAAGTGGTGGCAAGCTAATCTTACATAAACCCTGGATCCAGTTTCACGTCACGATTCCCCGTGGATCGGCCTTCAGCTCGCCAACGCCGGGAGCTTGTTCAAACGTCTGTTTCGGCCTCGGTTTCGGCTTGTAATGAAGCATCATGTGCCATGTCCATCAGGCCGCTCCCAGAGGATGTCGTTGGCAAAATCAGATCCTCGTCGACCATCACGTCGCTGAACGGCGTTGTCTGCGGCCTGCTCAAGAATTCGCTTGATGCTGGCGCCACCAATGTCAATGTCTACGTCGAGCATGGCCGAGGAAACTGTACCGTAGAAGACAATGGACTGGGCATTGTCCCGGCAGATTTTGCAGAGAATGGAGGCCTTGGAAAATCTTTTTGTATGAAAATTAAATTCTACGGCTGACTGAGTGGATACTGACCTTTTTTTGTGAAGATTCATCCAAATTTCCCGCCCAGCAAGGACTGCATGGCAGGCAGGGAACGTTTTTGGCCTCTTTGAGCACTTTGTCTCTACTTACGGTGACGTCTCACCATCAAGGCCATAACTCCCATAACTTGCTGTCGATTCACCACGGCAAACTCTTAAAGAGACAGACACAATCCTCTATTGGAGAGAGATTCGATGTATTTGACCATGGCACGCGAGTTGCGGTTAATGACTTATTTGGCTCGCTTCCTGTTCGCGTTAAACATCGTGCCACTCTCTTCGCAGATCGACCGAGGCTTGACAAGGAATGGGGACGCCTAGTTCTCGATGTGGTTGGGCTATTGGTGGCGTGGACTTCCGGAGTTACTGTGTTCTTGTGTGATATCAAGGGACAGCGCGAGCTGCGTCTAAAGCCACCAGAAAATGCGAGTATGGTTCCCAGAGCACTACGATACTTTGTACAAGCCTCGCTGGCAGATTCTGGTGAAATGGACTCGTGGGTGCCAGTATCAGCGACTGCCGGCCATGTTGCTATCAAAGGCTGCATTTCTCTGACTCCGGTGGCAACACGCCGATCTCAGTTTATGAGCATAGGCATATTACCCATCTCAAACGAGTATGGGAATAATGTCCTTTACGAAGAAGTAAACAAATTGTTCAAGAGTTCAGATTTTGGGATAGATGAGGGCAAAGTAGGAGAGAATGGTGACCGTGCTGGCCCAATTTCTCAGAAGAAGAGCAAGGGAGCAGACCAGTGGCCTATTTTCTACTTGCGAATCACACTCAAGGGGGGCGAAGATGTCTTTGATATGGACAACATCTCTAACCCCTCGCACGGAGACCTTCAGAAGATCATCGATTTGCTGAGAGCCATGACTTATAGCTTTCTGAAGAAGCACTACTTGCGCCCACAAAAGGTTCAGCTATCTTCAGACAAGTCTGTGTTTTCGACAGCGCCACATCGCAGCACTAAAACGTCAAAAAGACACAAGCACCCATCATCACAGGCTTCAATACCCCCATCTTCACAAGATTTACTGCCAGATTCCTCCTCATCCCTGTCAGACAGCCCTTTTGACGGCTGGAATAGGATGAAGATTGGCCCACGAATGGAAACTAAGCCAGCAGAGAAAGCGACGCGGCGTGAACCTACTCCAGCTCCCCCCAGTACCATTACAGCAGAGAGACTAGTTGGAGAAGGTGGAAAGCTGCTCCGCAAACCCTTTCAGATCCCAGAATCGTCTGGTCCTGAAGCAGAGAGCATGAATGCCAGTGAAACTGATGCTGGGAACGTCTGCGAATTGGGCTCTCTTTTGCTTGCTGAGCGTCCAAAGAGAACAGTAGAATCATCGAGTCAAACGACCAAACGGTTAAAAGTGGGCGATTCAGATGTTGCGGATGGGAAATCAGAAGAGAAGAGAGGGATCAGAGGGGGAGAAGAGCCCGAATGGCTGCAAGATGTGCTCAAGTCGTGGCGCAATCCAGTCTTTGAGCCCACCCAGCCGCTTATACCACGTATCAACGATGACGCGCCGGCACCAATGCGTGAGACAACGCTGGTTCATGGCTTACATCGATGTCGAACAGATGTCAATGGAGGAGTCAAATTCGAAGCTGCATCCATAGGCATAGAAGGGCGTGTGTCACGATCAGCTCTAGAAGGAGCAGAAGTCATTGCACAAGTCGACAAGAAGTTCATTATGCTGAAACTCCCGCTTCAAGACATGAAAGATGCTCCAAAACCAGGCAGCTCTTGCGCCCTGGTGATGCTGGACCAACATGCTGCTGATGAGAGATGCCGTCTAGAAGATCTCATGACGGAGTATTTCAGAGAAGACCCTTCTAGTGGGATTCTCAGAGCAGTCGTCGAGTCTCTGGAGCAACCGCTTATATTTGAAACTTTGGAGCGCGAAAATGGACTGCTACAGCGGTATCAGGAGCACCTCGAGGCATGGGGCATCATGTACAAGACTGCCCAACAAGCGGCGGTATACACTGTTACGGCGACGGCTCTGCCTCCGAGTATCTTGGAACGCTGTCGCGGCGAGCCGCGGCTTTTGGTGGATTTGATACGCAAAGAGATATGGAAGCTTCACGACGAAGGCATCATTCCTCCACGGCCGCGCAGTGCTGGAAAGGGCACGTTGAATCAAGCTTTAATGGCGCACTTTCATGGCTGTCCGAGAGGGATCCTCGAGATGTTGCATTCGAGGGCCTGTCGAAGTAAGTTGCTCTCCTACTAAATGCCACGTGTTCTATCTGTTTGCTAACGAATGTGTGTGCTTTGCAGGTGCCATCATGTTCAATGATGTTTTATCGGCTGGAGAGTGCGAGCATCTCGTGCGACGGCTTGCGCGATGCGCGTTCCCTTTCCAATGCGCGCATGGACGACCGAGTTTGGTGCCATTGGTGGATTTGGGATCGGCGTGTCGCATTCGAGCGTGGGATGAGAATGGGGATGCTGGGAAAGATTTGAAAGTGTGGAAGAGATGGATCGACGCATAGCATAAGAGGAGCGTGTAATGAAGCTTGCATGAAAGTACGCATGTCACGCAGTATAACACCGGCGCAGGTTTTGCTACTGGATACTATATGATTTATCATGATGTATACGTATATATATATTTATATATGTATGTATAATAGTACACAGTATATCGTATCCGATGTGGAAACAGGAGGAAAACAGCCTTTGAAACTCCCCATGGCCTCACACGACGTGTTTTCGACATGAACTCATTAAACAAGACTGGTATCCAACTATGTACAGGCAACAGCTCACACCCCTAGTATCTGCAGTTGAACAGCTGAGGAAAAAAATCAAAACCCGCCCATGATGAAAAACAAACAAAAACGCCTGCGATGCTCGTTTCGCTTTTTGATCCAATGAAAAACGTGATGTGTCGAGAGAATATACCAAGCATTAAAGAGGAGGGGAAAAAAGGTATATGCGTATAATGGGGGGAAAAAAAAGGAAGCCATGTTTTGTCGTAGAAAAATGAAATGCGCGAGACTTCCAAGAGTTTCGTGGTTCTCTTACTCAGTCTTCTCATTCTTCTTGGCTTCTTCTTCTTTTTTCCTGGCCTCCTCTTCTTCTTTGCGCTGCTTGACTTCTTCGTCAGACATTTGGACCCATTCGCTAATGTCGTGGTTCCAGCGGTGACTGCAAAGTAATATGTCAGCATATAATTCCGCCAGAGGAAAATCAAACAAAATAACGTCAATTGATAAAAAAGGCGGAAAAAAAAAAGAGAGAATTGAAAGAAAGTGCAGCCTAAATGGGGCTGTGCTGGTGCTGGAGCAGATCCAGATCGTAGTTTGGCTGCAGGGCTGCAATGCCAAGACTTCAGCCTCCCTCGAAAATGACGACAGCGCTTTTTGTTAAGGAGAAGCGGGCAGAGGAGTAAAAAAAAAAAAGGGTCGCTTTCCCCTTCAACTCCGAATAACCAAGTGACGATTCACCCAAGCAAGACATTTATTTGATCCCTCGATGAAATGCGAAAAGAAAGAACGAGGCACTAGGGGGATAAAAAGAAAAAAAAAGGTAAAATAATGGCAATCGCTTACTTTTGAAACTCCTCGACAACCAAGCTCTTGTCGCCGTACTCGTCGCGCAGAATCTGCTCAAAGTTGTACGGGATGCGCGCCTTGACGCCCTCAAACTCGGTGACGCGCATGGGCCACAGGTCCTGGCTGCCGTAGCGATGCTTATTCTTGCAGCTCCAGACGCCCGGGCGGTCGGCCTCGCGCTCGCGCACGCCGGTGATGTCGATGAACATGCCGTTGGTGGTGTCGATCCAGCGCGCGTCGATGATGTTCATGCCGTCGCCGCGGTCAATGTCGACGTGGTGCGGGTTGATGTCGAGCAGATACGTCTTGGAGTTGCCGTTGAAGTCGTGGGTGTGCTCGGTGCGGTTCATGTTGTCGCCCAGCCACTGCATGGTGTTGTTGGACACCTGCACGTCCAGGTCGTAGTCCCACGGCATGATCTGGCCGTTCCACCACCAGCCCAGCAGCGTGCCGTGGGCGAGCCATGTCTCGACGCCGTGCTCGTGCAAGGTCGTCAGGTAGCTGCGGACCAGCTGGCGCAGCACGTCGCGGTGCTCGCCGTAGGGGATCTCGGCCTTGAAGTAGCGCTTGTCGTAGTGGCCCAGCGCGAGGCTGCCGCCGGGCTCGATGAAGTATTTGGGCGTCTTGTCTCGCTTGAGGCGGTCGAAGCGCGCGGTTGGCGAGGCGCCGGCGGGGGAGATGGACAGGGCGGCGACGAGGAGCGAAACCACGGATGAGGCTATCATTGCGGCGGTGGCGTGGTGTAAGTCGGATCGTATATGCAGAGGAGAGTAGAAGAGAAGAGTATAGCCGGGCGCAGTAGACTTTCAAAGGCGAAAAGAGTCCAAGCTGGCTTGTAGCAAACGAGAATCACTGCCCAGTCAAGGATAGCATGTACCGGTATTCCACAGTCTGGGATTCCCTGAATCAAGATCGAGTATCGAAAGTCCCCTCCCAAGGGAGATGAGATGGAGCAAAGCTAGTAGCGACTACTAGTCCCGCTGATATGGTCCAAGGGTGCTCCCAAAAAAATGATGAAGCACGGGCGTTATAGGATCGGGTTCTGATCGTTTCAAAACAGCAGCGCCAAGCGAATGTAAGACTTTCTGTTGAAATGGAGTAACCAATTGGATGGGAGAAAGCCAGGAGTAGGCCCGAAAGAGGGCGCTTGGTCACACAATGAGACGCAAAAGAAAACCAAAAAGCCCAAAAAGAGAAGAACGGTTGTAAAGGATACAAGCAGTTTTGAAAATTAGAGAAATGAGGAAAAAAAAGGGGAGAGGGGAGAGGAGGGGAGGAGAATTAGAGACGACGAGCTGAGATGGAACGGGGGAGCAAGGATTGGTGGTTAGGTCGGCTACGCGGTGCCTTTTTGGGTGGGAAGGTGCCTTGGGATAAGGGAATAGCGTTTGTGGGCGGGCGTGTGCAGCAGAGGCTCAGTGCGGAGGTGCTATAAATGACAATGCGGCGGCCCTGCCAAGAGACTGTGACAGCTGTAGACAATGGGCCAGAATAGCCTCTGTTGTACAGCAACTTGAAAGTTGAAGGGAAGGAGGAGAGAAATGGGAAAAGGGAAAAGGGGGCAAAGAAGCAGCTTCTTGTGGCTTTGCTCGCGCTCGTTCGCGCCTCGTCTCTTTTCAGTGTCCAGCGTTCCTCTTACTAAACCCGGCAGACAGAAGCTGTTTTCCATCTTCCCCGTCTCTGCAGCAAAAAAAAAAGCCCAGCCTGACGCTGCCCCAAGAATTACGTGGCTTGACAGCAGAATGACGGCGGCCAAGGCCACGCGACATTGACTTTCCGTCCTATCCCACCGCGGCCTCCTGTCACCAAATCATTCTAAAACACCCACTTTCTCACTTGTCTTCACAACATTCGCCTCACGCCAAAAGCAGCAAGGGCTGCGTAATCGCCAAGGCCCCAAGTCTGCTGGGTGATTAGTTCAAACGTCTGCAACTGCTGTTCCCACTGCGAGAACACGATACAGCACGCACTCCCTTCTTTTTTAGTCCCGTCCTAAGGAACATTATAGGAAAAATACACGGGACAGGGGAGGGGGCTAATGCAGGCGGGCCCTTGTTTGAAGCCCAGGATTCATACATGCGTTGGGTGGAGCGACGTTGCGATGGGAATAAAAATCCGGAGAAGGGCACGCGGGTTGTGGGAGGAGAGGATTCGTGTGGCATAGCGCATGGCAGGGCCGCTGCTAAAGAGTCTGTGAGGCGCTGAATCTGCTCGTGGCTGAATCTGCTCGTGTGAGACGACGATCGTCCGGCCGTGGGTTGCCTGTTTTGCCGTAGCACCATCTGCGCAGATACGATGCTTCGGGTTTCTGGCCGGTCTATGCATTTTACCGCATGCAACGGCGTTATTTGTGGCCTGCAGCAGTCTTGAATTCGCCCACTCATGCAATTCATCACTCTCTCTGCAGACAAGGTAAGGCCGTAAGCAAAAGAATCCTTCTCATCTCCTCTCATCCTCATTCTTACTGTCCAGCCAAGCACCAAACCACAAACAACCTAACGCCCAGCGCTAAGCCCCTCGCGGCAACCAGTCGTGTGTCGGCCTCTGCTCCTCGTCTCCAGCCACACGCCTCCTTGCGTCATCGCTGCGCAAAAGAGGACAAATTGGAAGCCACCGGCGCCCCGCCGCTTGGGGCTGTTCCCAAATCCGGCCTTTCTTCACCAACCAATCGCAAGGGGTACTGTGTACCTTATCGCACAGCGCTTTGCCGCCGACAAACCCAAGTAGGGAATACACAAAGCAGCAAACCCACTCAGCCTCGCGCCCGCCAAGCAACTTCTCCTTTCTGATTTGATTAAACCACAGCTACATGCAGTGAGCCCCCTAAAAAAATCACAGGTTTGCCAAGACCCAAGGAGCACAGCGCTTGAGACTGATCATTTCCCCATTGCTCTCTAGTACGGAGCACATTCACAGTAAATGAGCACACGACACAAGAAAAGCCAAGAAAAACAAGGGGGGAGGGCAACTTCTCGTTTTTGCTTACAAGTACGACGAGTACAAGGTTAGAGTTGCTCTGCTTTTGCTTGGCTCTTCGTTTGTTATTTTTACACGCACCACCATCGCCGCTACTTATCACCGAACAAGAGCGCACGCCCCCTTTCAAGGAAAAAAAGAGAAAAAGAAAAAGAAAAAAAAAATGGCAAATTCGTGCCGGCCGCATGTACCATCCGGCAGTCAATGTCTGCTATTGTTCAGTAGCATTGTCCGAAACCCACGCACGCGAGATTCTAGAACCTCCCCCCAAGCTTCCCTCTTTCCTCTTAATTGCCAATCTCACTCCACCCACCGCAACGCGTATCTCTCGTCAAGTGCACCGTTTTTTGTCCCCCCATTCTCCTGGGATGGGATAGCCCAGCAAGGAAAAAGAGGCTTGCGCTGTTTCGCTTGCAATGGCTCTGCCGCATTTCCCGGGGAGTCCACTTGAGCTGCAGAAGCCTACGCCAGCGTTCGGGAGAAAAATGCCGATCGGCCCGGCATTCGTCGCAGGAGAGACGGGGGCTGCTTAAAACTACAATACAGGCTGAGGCGGCAGGCGCTGACCCAGATATGTATGTACGTGGGGTGTTTCACGCCTGTGCTCTTTGTTATGGAGTTGGGTAGCAGAGGGGAAAGGATGAATTCTCCAAAAAGATATGAGTGAAAAATAGAGAAGTGGTCCATACTGGTAAAGACAGAGAAGGGTAATAATGAAGCGAAAAAAAAAAAAAAAAAAAGAACACCCTCTAAGAGGGCTGGCGGATCTCTCCCGCCGGGAATTGAACCCGGGTCTCAAGCGTGACAAGCTTGCATACTGACCACTATACTACGGAAGATATAACTGACTGTGGACAGCCAGTGTAGCGGATCGATCTTGGATGGTGCTGAGCTATTGTATTCTATATACTGCACGCGCTATCTTAGATAGCCCCCCAAATCCTGTGAACATGCCACGCCGCATCACATCCCAACTCGACACAGTAAAAGATTAAAACGAAATCATGTTTTGCTGGGTATCGACGAGTAGAACTCCCTTATCCATTCTACTCTTGAACACACAAATTTATTGATACATCAAATATCACCACCCTCTCGACCTGAAAATAGAAAAGAAAAGAGAAAAGAGTACATGCTTCTCCCAGAACATCTTACCAGCCATTTGCCAAGGCCCGTCCATCAATCTATTCCATTTCATCACCGTCATTCGTCACTCATTCTGAAAACAAAAACACAGAACAGAAAAACAGGATGCCTCTTTCTTTTTTGATAAAACCATCATACATTATCGCGCAAACACCTTAACAATGCCGTCGCCCCCTCCGCTAACCACCCACTTGCCGTCCTGACTCCATACGCATGTGCAGGTGCCCTCCCCCCGCATTACCCGATGACTTGTGATTTCTTGAATACATGTCCTCTTCTCCAAACTCCAGAACCGGAGCGAGGCGTCGTGGCCGGCACTCACCAGCTCGCGCCCATCAGGGCTGAGTGACAGGCTGGAGATGGCGTCGGGATGGGCCAGCATGTTATACGTGCATTGACCTAGTAGAAAATTAGTACTTTTATTCTTGGGGAGGGAGATGTATAGTAACTTACCGCTATTGGCATCAAAGAATCGTACAAAGCGATCCTCGTGGCCAGAGATGATGGTGCCCTCAACGCCAGAGCCTGCCATTGATCGTCCACCAGTTGGTCCTCCCATGGCCGGATCTTCTTCTCCGCCAATATTGGTGCCGTGATGCTGGTTCCCCTGGTCCAATCCGATGGTGGTAGCCACCACCGCATTGACGCTTGTCTTGTTCGTGCCGTCATACGTCTCCAGGCTGTCCATGGAGCCAACCTGCTCGCCCGTCTTGGTATCATACACAATCACAGCCGCATCCGAATAGGAGACGACAAAGGTCTCTCCTGAGCCTCCAAGAGGCGCAATGCAGGTTGGGCTTGCCTTGGATCCATCTGTTCTCGACAAGACATGCACAAGTGTGTGATTAAAGGGTGAGCTTGAAGCCACCGTGGGTTGGGGAGAATTAGAAAAGCCACTACCAGAGCTCATCGAGTTGCCACGCACTCGTCCGCGGCCTGATTGCGCTCGCGTTGGTGCCGGCTGCGGTGAGGTTGGCTGAGGAGGAGCGCTCACTGACCAGAGTCGCACAGTCCCGTCTGCTGCGCCAGAGACGAGCAGTATTCGGTCGGGAGTTCCGTAGTTGCTCGCGTTGCCAAATACAGCCCCCAAAGTGGTGGGCAAGACACAGAGCGCCCATACAGCGTCCGTGTGTCCTTCCAGCGTCGCCTTGGGATCGACCCTGCCACGTTCCCAAACTCGGACGGTGGCATCTTGGCCTCCAGAGAAGATCCAGCCATCACCCTGAGCACGACCTCCAGTGGAGAAATTGGGAGCGAGAGACCATGATGCCAGCGATAAGATGGCACCAGCGTGGCCGCGGTGTGTAAAGTTTGCAGTCACGTCTAAATCAGACGCGGCATTGTTAGAAGTGGCGGCGCTGCCGTCCAGTCGTGGGACGTGGAATCGCTTAATCATGCCGTCATCGCCAGCTGTGCAAATCTCAGGCTCGCCAGGGCTACCTCCGCCCGAAAATATGACCGTACGAATGGTGTTGAGGTGTCCCCTCAGACCAAATCTTAGCTTGAAGCTCCCGCTTTCAGCCTTTTGGTTTGCGCCAGTCAGCAAATCGTGATCACTATTGCGTCGCTTAGACATGGAGCTCTTTCTTCGGTGAGGCCCTGGACCTCGATTCGGGGACTTTGTCAAGTAATCAGCGTTTGGAAACGCGTCGGTATCGGATCGGTAATTAGAGG